TAGTTTGGAAGGTGTGAAGCATGCGTGCTCACAGTTGGTGGGTGGGGAGTATTTGAGTTCGCCTGCGATCATCTTGCGGAGGACGGACTTTGAGTCTCCACCGTGGTCCTCATCGTCTGCCGCTATGGATGGAGTAGGGGTGATGGAACGAGCAGAAGCGGCATCTGTCCGCGAACAAAGGAGACGTCGGGTGCCCGTTCACTTTCATGCCAAGTTTTCCGCTTCTTCTTGGGCGGTGGTGTTGCAGACTTGCTCGAGTCGGATGTGGATGGTGCTATGGGCAATCGCTGGACGAACGAGGATTGTTAAAGAGAGAAGACTCATTTGCCTTCACAAATCAGTACCTTCTTCAAAGCGAGCCAGTTCGAAGATGGCTTTTGCGCAGTGGTTGTCTGGAGAGACATGGTCACGGATGAGGATCGCAGTCCTGTACTCGCTTACTTACCTGCTTACAAGGAGATTAGGATCCATTGTATTCCGCAATTTGCTTCACTGACTGTGGGAAAAATAGCTCAGCGGCGGCCCCCAAAGACTTTGTTCACAAGAATTGAGTGGCAGTGAGACCCTCAACACCGCTGATTCCGCCACATCGCATGCCTGAATCGTCATTCAGTCGAAATCAGGTCGAAATGCTGTTGAACTGCTCTGAGCTGCCTCTCACCAGCCGCGACACTGGCAAGCAGGCGGGTAGCTTCCACCATAACTAGCCCACAAGGACGACTTGCCCCAGCTGGTCTGCAACTCTACGACACCCTTGCTTTGGACTGATCTACACGTTTGGTTCGAACTCGTTTCTCCGAGTCTACACGCCTCGATATCTTGCTGCTTCTATCGTCTGACTCATTTATCCTGAGCGGAAGCGATGGATCTACAAACGGTGAACGAGCTGCTAGCAGGCAGCGTTGGAGGCGCAGCTCAAGTGCTGGTCGGACAACCGCTGGACACGGTCAAGACGCGTGCGCAGATCGCCCCGAGTTCAGTGCCTCTGCTTATATGCGTACGCGAGTAACCCCGGACTTACGCCCACCGTCCTCGCGTGACAGAGGGTATGTTTGTGAGTTGTCTTTCTTTATCTCATTTATCCGTACGAGGAAGGCAGTAGCAATTTAGTGGTCTGGATTGTCTAAGCGGGGTGGACTAGGAAGACACTTCCTGGCGCGGATGTCAAGGGTACCGAGAGAATGGGACACTGTTGACCACCCTATCATTCCAGTGGCAGAGATGTATCTGCGGCGGTTGTCTGTGCGTTGACGCATTCCACCTGTCGTTGGATGCGTATGCCCAGTCAGCGCATGTCCCCTTCCTCTCTGTCCGTCTCATGTCGATGCAATCCGAGTCTATGCCTGCGGTAGGACTGTTGCAGGTGATGAGTGAAATGAAGATGACCGCCGCGGTTGACCTATGGGATGCATGATCAGCGTCCGCACTCGCAGGACGATGAGTATCTGGTCTTGAATCGTGCATGACGTCTTACGGACTCTCGCCAGTCCAGACATACTCTTCGATCTTTTGCGCCGCTCTCCCTGGTGGCACATACGAGACTGTCTTCCCCAGAGGTCCCCTTGGAGATACCGCTCTATCAGACAAATGACGCGTGCGAGCCCGACTGCTAACTCCACTCAGAAAGGGCCCATGGACATTCTCGCGCAGACGGTTCGCAAGGAGGGCTTCTTCGCGCTCTACAAAGGTCCGTCGCCGGAGATCTGATGCAGTCAATGATCGCCTAACGCAGTGACCGAACGATTGCAGGCATGGCGAGCCCGCTCGTCGGCATCGCAGGTGTGAACTCGCTCCTGTTCGCCGCGTACGGCGTCTCGAAGCGGATCATCTCGCCGTTCCCCCAGCTGTCCCTCAAGGAAATCGCGGCCGCCGGCGCGCTCGCTGGTGCGGCAAACGCGATCCTCGCCAGCCCAGGTGCGTGCGGCCCTCTTCGCGGGATGCGAGGAGAACTGACCGTAATTGGCGCCGTTGTCGCAGTGGAGATGTTCAAAGTGCGGATGCAGGGCCAGTACGGTACGCCAGGCGACAAGCGGTTGCGCGCCGTCATGCGCGAGATGTGGCAGGAGTGGGGGCTCAGGAAGGGCGTCATGCGCGGGTATTGGGTGCGCGCATCTCGTTGATATCTTGGTCCTCGACGGAGCTTATTGAGCGATGATGGTCCACGGCAGGTAACTGTGGCGAGGGAGATTCCGGCCTATGCTGGGTGAGTTGCGCCGGTGCTCCGCGGTGTTCTGCCCCGCTGAGCTCTCGAGATCACACGCGCGGCGTGATGCAGGTTTTATACTGGTGAGTTCGACCGGGTGGATGCGAGCCGTACCTGTGCGGCGACCGTCTGATTATCTATTCCCAGCGTTTGAGTTTTCGAAGCGCAACTTCACGCAGAGGTATGGGAGCCAGATCCCGGTGTGGGCCCTGCTCGCGAGCGGCTCTACGGGCGGGGTGAGTCGCCCGTCGCTCGTCGGGACACCTAGCTGACCGGGGTGCAGATTGCATATTGGCTGGCGTGCTATCCGTTGGGTGGGTGGTGATGATCCCCCGCGTGTATTCAAGCATCACCCCGCTGACGCGTTGCGCAGATGTCGTCAAGTCCCGCGTACAGCTCCGGGCGACGCCGCCCACGGGTACGCCGGTCCAATACATTGCACGCGAGCTGAAGACCATTGTATTGGAGAGTGGATGGTGGGCGTCCCTGTGTCTTGATGCGGCCTCCTTGCGCTGAAACGTTCACTTCCTGCAGGACCGGGCTGTTTCGTGGGCTTTCTCCGTCGCGTACGTGTTCCATCGATGAGCAGCACGAGCGTTGCGCTGATTGACTGTCCGTGCTCATCTATCTGCGTAGTCCTGCGAAGGTACGAAGTGTGATTACGGGCTGTGGCGTGATACTCATGCGCGTCTGTGAAGCATACCTGCCGCCGCGAGTACGTTTGCTGCATTTGAGCTGACGAGAGGTGAGTGCCGCTGGTGTGCGTCCGACGATAGCTTCTTGACTCATGGTGATGTCTTCCGTTAGAGTATCTGCTGGAAGTGACGGGCGTGTGAGCTTCGGTTGGCTCAGGTATACCACTTGAAGGAAATGGAGTCTGGCGAGCGGATGCTATCAGAGGTTTGATTCAGTGGTCCTGACCTCCCGGCGGAAGGTGTGGCTTCCTCATACATGCATACGAAGGAGTGTATTGTCAGGGCGATGCCTATTCTGCTTGCTCTCGTGACTACCTTGTCGAGGAGAGAAGTTGCTGCCCAAGCCGCGGATATGTTGAAGAGATGCCAGGTTCCCAATTCCACACTGCTGGGGAAATCAGATGGGTGCTCCCATTCGGGGCCTCATTCAGCAGTTGCTTGACTACCGCTGTCCGCTTTCCTGGGCGTCCCTCTGAACATCCCAGAATGCAGATTGCAGGGCTTCGGGTTGCAAGCGCCCTGCCACGTCGGACTACAACCTGCTGCGTGTATCACGAACACGACTAGTTATCGTTGAACGAGACACCGTCATTGCGGTCTGCCTTCGGTGGAAGCCAGATTCTACGTGTATCTCGTGCACATAGAACACAGCACGCGCACTGCGATTCCTACGCGCTGGCATCGACGGGAAATTACCTGTCAATCGAGCAGCAGAAGTCATGTGGAACACACCTCATTCCGACCCTCGGGCTCGACGGGCTTCTTTGCAAAGTCAGTGCGAGAAGTGCGTCCAGCGGTCTCGATGTCCCTGTTATACAGTAAGTACATTCTCCGCGGTCACGTTGACTGACCTTTCTGTGATCGCTGATTGGCCACGCCCTTGATGAACAAAGATTCCAGGATGTGATGAGAGCGTGGCGAGGCGATGCACAGGCCACGCTGGACGGTTCTGCTGGGTTGTGCGTGGCCGGGGAGACTTCTAATTGCCCTGATATGGCGCTTTTGAGACTGTTCATCACGGACGAAGGAGAGGGTTTCGCTGATGCTGCGAGTCGCGGGCGGATGGACTCACCCGTCCACCCACAAGGTCAGTGTCCGCTGGCGACGCAGTCCATCATCATATGCTCAACTGAATCAGTTCTGCGACTATAGGCTTTGCTTCGCTGTGAGACGCGTGCATACCGATGCGACGATAATCTGCCAGGCCGAAAACCTTCTCTGACTGGCGTGATGTCGGACGTTCGCCGGCGTGCGCGTGGTCATGAGCCGCAGAACGGGACACCTGCAGTTGGCCGCTGCCCATGCAGTGTGCGTCTGGTAGATATGCTCGCGGTGAGAACAACAGCTGCCTGTTATGGGAACACACCACTGGGCTGCGGCGCCTGCTGTAGCTCTGCTCCATCTCTACTCGCGCGCCCTTCGCGTGGAGGTGAGCAAGTGTAGGTAGCGTCATGCGCTTACATGCAGGTGGGTCTCGGTGGCGAGTGGCGAGTGGGGGGCCGAGCGTCGTAGCACCTATAGAGGGCGTGTCCAGCGCACGCCGCATCTCCTCACTCTTCTTCACGTCGCCCACAACGATTATCGCAGCACTCACGAGGCCAGACAACGCGTCTTTGTAAGTACTTACGACCGTTTACGTCCATGATCAGACCCGAATGCGCAAACTGCGTGAGTCCGAGTTTCACGTCCGAGAAGAGACAGCGCTAATCAGCTCGCCATTAGGCTCCCGGAGATGGGCAGACGCGCTCAGTCAACAGCGGCGTTGTGCTGGGCGTTTTGGGCGGGATGGCGCTGATCGCTCTGCTCGTGGTCGTTGTCGTTCCCGTTGCGCGGCGCCAAGGGCGGAGGCGCAGGCGTATGGGCGGCCGGGAGGACGTGGAGAGTGGAATACTTCCTTCTCGGCGATCATCTTCCCGTCATCAAAAGATGCAGCAGCTCGAGATCCCAGCCGGTCCGGACGTGCTCCTGCCCCTCATCGATCCAGTGTCGACCATAAGCTGGTCAGATCTCCGCTCGAAGAACACAAGCGTTGATTCACTTCAAGAGGCCGGCCTATACTCCTTCCGCACCGACGCCGCCACCACCTCGCACCCCGGCCTCGACGACCCGGACATGGACCGCGGCGACACGGGACGGCAACAGGAGGTCGACGACGCCCAAATGTCAGCGGGGGCGTTGAAACTCAGTCCGACGCCCCCGGGGCTCCCGTCCAAGATTGGCGCCAGCACAGCTCCTGGAGGAGGGTCGTACTCATCTATGCCCGCAACCAGCTCGGACGCTGCCCTCCATGTTGGCATGTACCCCCTCAGCCCCGTCTCGCCCGTCTTCACCATGTCCAGGGGTGCGAGCCGTTCCCGGCCGGGCACCGCGCGCACAGGCATGGAGCCCCTCATCGAGGATGGCACCCCCAGCGCCGGTCCGCCCCCATTGCGGCAACTACCATCGCCGCCGTCCTCGCCTGATCAATACGAACCAAACTTCCGCGGCAGCACAACCAGACGACGCCCGAGCGTCACCGCCAGTCATACCGCGCCCTCTGCCATCACCTATCGCCCCGCTCGTCGACGACGACGGCCGTCCCGCTCACCGCCGCCTTCCAGACCAGCCTCCTCTCAGGCACGCAGTCCGCGCACGCGTCCACGAGCACGCACCGATACCCCTCCCTGGCCGTCCCTGCGTCCCGCTCGCGTGCGAGCTCCGTCTCGCTCGCACCGATACCCGACCTGTCGCCCACGGAGCGTCCGACCGACGCTGCCCGCCGCATGAGCATGAGCACGACCGAGCTGCGCCACCGCCACCCCTCATCTGCCGCAGCCACCCAGGGCAGTCACTCCGCGTCGCACGGGACTGTGACGCGATCCGGCACGCCCAGCCACGGCGCGACGCATGCGGGCATCCAGCCACGCATCCCAGAGTACGGCGAGGCGGGCCCGTCGACGTGGCAGCGCCGGAGGAGCATGCAGCTCGAGCGTAGCCCGCCGCCGTTCACGGGCTCGCCGTCCCCGCTCTCGCCCCCGCCCTCCGCGCGCCCCATCCGGCCGCTCCCCGTCCCCGGCGCGCCCGCCGGCGCACGGCCACACTCTCAGTCTCAGTCACACACCCAGCACGAAGCCCAGTCGCACCAGCACCTCCCGCCGATCGTCAGGAAGCGCGACAGCCCCGCGCTCCGGCCGCTCCCCGCGTCGCCGTTCGTGCAGGCGGGCGCGGTCAGCCGGCAATCGAGCCTCAGCGCGGGCACGCGCACACGGTCGAGCAGCGTGATGAGCGAGCGGTCCATGCCTCGCCAGCTTCCCCCACTCGCCCCGCTGCCCCCGCTCGAGTTTGGTGCGGAGTTTGTGCCGGACGGGGATGCGAGGAGCGTGCGATCGCGGGGGAAGTAATGGGTTATCTGGGTGCAAGGAGGGGCGAGGAGAAGGGCTTGGCGGGCCCGACGGGGATGGGGAGAAGGAAGGAAGGAGGAAGATCACTCTCACGCTGTGCGATTGCTGCTGCTTACTGTCGTTCTGACTTGCTATGATTGAGATGGGACCTCGTGGACGGGCATGACAGCGTACCCACCTGCACGACCTTCCGCATTATTTATCGCTCTGCTCTGTGTTGTATATCGATACCTCTATATGTCCGTATCCCGGCCGTATTGTAGCTTACACTTGCATCCCTCTTCCTCGTCTACGCGGTGTCGTCCGGCGGGCCCTTCTTCCACTTGTCCCACATGCGCGTACAGACATTGCGCGCGAGCACGAATGGCTCCGCCGTCTGCGCCTTCTCGACGATGCGGCCCGCGAACTTGAGCTGGTCGCCCGAGTGCAGCGTCTCGTGTGTGAGCGTGAGCAATTTATGTGAGGGCGCGAGTAGCCGGTCGATCTGCTCCCAGATGGAGGGGAAGGGTGGAGGCATGGGCAGGAGGATTGACTGGCCACTAGAGGTCATCGTCAGTATGCAGTGATACTCAGAGCGCTCCGAAGTCGACAAATAGTAAAGGAGATATTGACCGGCATTCTTGCGAAGTACAGGCATTGGTATCGGATTGCGCTCGGGCGACGCGAACACCCACTTCCCGATAATGATTGAGTGCAGAGACAGTGCGAGCAGTCCTCTCCGCTGGACCTCGGGGTGATCTTGGTCACCGCTCATGAATTGCTCCACCGGGCCCCTGCTTACAGCAAGATCTATAGACCGCAGGACGCACGCAGAGATCGGCTGGGCTGCGGTGGTGCAGAACAGGCACATTACCCTGCACTAGGAAGCATAAACTTTCGGAGGATACCGTTGTGCAATCCTTTCTCGAGCTCCGTTAAGACCTCGAACAATCCCGCCTGACCACAGCTCGTGGTTGCATCGCGCCAAGGGCCGTCCTGCCCTTCTGTGCGTGTTGTGCGGAACGGTCTATCAATCGTTTGCTTGCTGAAAGCAGCATGAAATGGTTTGCGGGAATCCACCACTGCATCACCGATTGAGTCCCAACCGTGAATGAGCTCCGTCGGCATGGTCGGATGAAAGTACATGGCACAACTCTGGTAAGAGGGGACGAAGGGGAAACACACCTCATGTCGGGAAACGGTCTCCTTGCCGATGCCAGTGCCCGACTCTTATCTACTTGCGCGTCCTCCTTGGGTTGTTGACCCCCGCGCGCCTGCTCCTGTTGCTGCTGCTGCCACGCGTCGGTCCGGTCCTGCTTGTACTTGTCCCACTGCGCCTGACGCTCGATGTTGTGCATCATGAGGTCAAGCTTCTCCTGCGTCGCCCAGCGACTCTTGCTGAACCAGACGTAGTAGCCCTCCTCCCAGTACCGCACGTCGTCGTGCTGCCGCGCGTGGCCCTCCTGGCCCTCCGGTGTCTCGCCGATGAGGATGTACAGCAGGGACGGGATGCGCTGGCCCTCTGGTGGGAGCGGGTACCGGGCTGGCGCGGGCGCGGGCTTGCCTTCGTGCGCGGTGATGGCGCGCTGAACTTCGTGCGCGAAGACGCGACGGATGCAGAAGGTTCGGCACCAGGGCTCGCGCTGTTCCAGGCGACCGCGTACGCTCTGGGAGCAGTAGGTGAAGCACCGCTCGTCTACCTTCGGCGAGTGCGTGCCTGTGGGATATATGTCAATGTCACCGAGCAGCAGAACGAGACGTCGCACCTTTCGCCTGGCGGACAATCTTGACCGACGGGAACTGTGACCAGAAGATCGGGTACGGCCTGGCCGGCGCCGAGTTTGATGATTCGTCCACTGGCTTGCCTCCGCGGTCGGTTGAGGACATGACAGCAGCAAGTTCAAGACGAAACAAACCGATGGTGAGAGTAAGAAAGTAAGAGCAGGATGAGGCTGAGGGTCGAGCGTACGCCACCGCCACCCCGCTGCCGAGATTTGAGCGGAGATCGAAGACGCGCATAGACCCCCGAATTTCTCGCGCATTTTCTTTCTTTTCACCGTCGCGCCGTCTGAAGAATCGCCGTCGCAGCTCACGCACAGGGAGCCTCGCGCTCTCTTCTTCCAGCTGTGGGGAAAGTCCCCGGAGATGCAGACTCAACCCTCGTTCAACTGGTGGAAAGCGGCCGCCCCCAAGCACGGCGGGACCGGACGAGGACGGAGGGAAAGGCTTTGCGCGGGCTGCTTGCCTGGTGAGCACCCCTGCTAGCTCTCTCCCGTCTGCCGCGCGACTTGCGGTCGTGTGCTCGGTGACGGCGCCGAGGTGCGAAGATATGAGCACGTCGGTTGCTCGGGTGCGTGGCTTGTGGTCGGGCGATGCGTTGCTCATAGACATAGTTATGCGATTGCGGGCACCTTGCTGCTCGTCAACGGAATGGGGCTTACTCTCATTCGGCGCGACACACCTGTCTTTATTTTTCTCCTCTCGGAACATTCGCTGTTCTCATGGCTGTATGTACGGTGTGCGGCGTGAGTTGTAAAATTTGGTGAGTGCACGCGTTGACACGGTTCCCTTGTGATGCTTCAAACTTTTTGAATTTCTTCAAGGAGTATACCTGCAGCGTCCGCGTTGCAGGGCGGGCTCCAGACTTGACACCTCTGATCTTGTTGCTTTGATTGTGTATGTTCCTTTACTGACCTACATCTTCTATAGCAGGTGCATTGGAGGGTTGTCTTCGAGACGTCGGGCTCTTGTATGTCATCTGCAATGTCGCATAAACTCAATACGATATATGTAGTGCAAGACCGTTGGCACCCTATCCTTAAATCTACGCATATATGCAGCTTTGACGTGCTGTAGCGGGGTGAACGTGTTTGCGTGCCATATCCTGGGCGTCGTGCCGGGCATACAAAATCAAATAAGCAACCGTTCTTTCAAGCGGTCCGCCACTGTCTCGATGGCGAGGCGAACGCCTTCATATGGTCTTCCGTGGCATTAACAGATGCCACATCTTATTGCCGGTCGATACGGCCGCTCACCGGTCACCCTCGACCCAGTTGGTGGCATTGTAGGCAGGTCGCACCTTGAATACATAACTGAATGCTCATGCTAAAGTTACAGGAGACTGATTCTGAGGTGGCTGCTTCACGGCTTAAGCTGTCCATAACAGTCCTGGCCGACTGGGTGGTGGTGCGGCCACGAGCGAAGCGTTACTATCGCGTCTCATAGACGACTTAACGTGAAAGACCTACTAGGCTCGCGTTTCGGTGCGCTGTTGCCGGTTTGCAGTGCGCAAAAATTCTCAGGTACGTTTTGAACACGTCTCAAACTGCGGATCACAAAATGCACTGGTCATGCCTCGTCTGTTTCGTCTGTGCCACTCTGTGGGTAGGACTCTAAGTAACTCCTCACACGGACGTGTATGTCACCAACTCTCCATTATATTTAACTGCGATCCATAGGCCAAGTCTATCCGGAGAAATTTGGCCACTGAATAATATGGAACTTGGATTCTCGACCAACATCCCCGAGACAGCATATATGGTATTGACGGAAGGTGTGTCAGTGTTAGTCTCCATCGCAGACCAAAGCCGACAAGTGTCATGTCAGTGTTTGAGACAGCGGCTCGCCCTTTCGCCTTGTCTGAGCGAACGCCGGTCCTTGTCCTCCAACCTTTGCGCACCTGCAAGCACACGATTCCGCAATCTAGCTGCATACATCTCACGCGGTTCCGGCGGTCAGCTCTTGTCTCCAAACAGCTTGCCGTAGAATATGAGCATAGTGTCCCCGTCCGACACCTGGCGAGTCAAGCTCGAGCTGAGCTTCACGGTGACCCTCGTTCAGGCTGTACTGTACTCAGGGTAGTCTGAGTCTGTGCCAGGTCAACGGCGGATCCAAATCGGCGGGTCAGCGGATTACGGGCGTGCTCTCCAAGCAAATGGACATACACTTCTGCTTTCGCCGTTCCCTCCTCCACTTCCGCACTAATTTACTGTCACACGGCACTGGCTGGCCAGTCCTGATGGCACGCATCCGTTCCTGCTTAGCTCAAGCTGACGATTCTGTTTGGCACTACTAGCCCTGCCTTTTTCGCTTTCATCCTATGTAATGACTGCACGATCTACCCTGTTTCAATGACCCATCGCTAAGTGAGAAGATTGCGTGTACAATCTCGTCACTATAACGTCTGCAACTGGTGTTCAATGGGAGCATCACTGGCAAGGGAGTGACCATTGGCAACAAGAATTGAGGATGGACTCGGACGGCTGGGTGCCTGCATGAGACGAGCATCTACCAAGTAGCATAACGGGCACTGGCACTTTGTTTGCGCCACACCGCCTGGCGGTGGTCACGGGATCAACGCGCCATCAACAGGCGTCAACAGAGACGCGTCGGGCGCGTGTGAGTGCGCCGGGCGGTTCGAAAGCGACGCCGCCTCCATCTTCCTCCCGCCCGATGACCAGCTCCCGGCGAACGCGCTCTCAGCTCGCTCTTCCTGCTTTTGACCTCAACCAGCTCGCGCGATCACCCCTCAAGGATGCCCGCCAGGCTATCCGCAACAACCAGTCTCCCCAGTCCAATCCGGAAACCGACCCTCGTCTCTTCTCTCCCCAGTCCAACCCTGAAACTGAACCCCTTCTCTACTCTCCTTTGCACAAGCAGCCGAAGCGTCCCTCATCCCCGTTCAAGGACACCAACACACTCGAGCGGGAATTAAAGCGCGCCAGGCATGACGACCAGCACGAGGAGAACCGGTCTCCGCTGCTCGGGCCACGCCGACCGCCGTCTGCATCGTCTATTCGCGACATGGTTCCCTCGGACACGCCGACTGTGTTTCGACGTGCGCAGTCTGTCCCCATCTGGCCGTCAGCCCCACTCATCGACCTGACCCGCGTGCCCCGCTCGCCCTCCAAGCCCTCGCCCGTTCTCCAATTCACCGCTCTCCCACCTGTACAGCTCGAACCCGCGAGTCCCGAGCCACCTGCGCAATTGGCGACTGACGATGCACCATCTCTCGTGCCCAGCCGTCCTTTTACCCCGGAACAAGCCACCTCGCCGCCTGCCTCGCCACTGTCCCCGCTCACGCCTCTCACTGACACCCCAGCACTCCCCGGCGTCGCGGGACCGTCCAGCGACGGCGATCTCACCCCCGCGCCATCCAGTGAGCTCTCCGCCGTGCCGTCCAGCGAAGCCGACGTCGACACGCCACGGCCCATCTTATTTCCATCGACGTCCGTAACCGCAACACCCTCGACCGGCCCAAGCCGCCTTCCTCGTCTGTCCTTCATGCCATCGACCCGGACGCCGTCTTCGAAGAAGCTCTCGCCGGCCAGACCGTCTAAGGCGTCGTCGAGGCGGCAGGAGAAGGCCCGCGCACAGCTCCTCGGGCCCATCCCGCTCGGCGGGCGCATGACACGCTCAGCAGCGCTCCGCCAGAGGGAGAATTTGAAGAAGGACGTGGAGGCGACGCCGAAGCCCGTTGCAGGGCCGTCCACGCCCGCTCCTCTCCGTACGTCCCGCTCCTCTCTCGCTCTTCTCTTCCCTCTCGCTCTCTCCTCTTCCCTTCCCTCTCTCGCTCTCGTGTTTACTTTCTTTCCTTCGTCCCCTGCGCCCTCGACTCCCTCCTCCTCGCCTCCCGTTTCCCCCGCTCTCTTTCCCGCGCCCTCTCTCTGTCTTGATGCAAGTACAGCAGGCCTGACTGACTAATGGAATGTACTAGGATTTACTCCCGCCAAACCCGTACCAGCCGCGGCGGACCTCTCGAACAAGCCAACGCCGCTCGGACTGGGCACCCACAAGCGGGGCACCTTCTCGTTCAGCTTCGCCCAGCCCACGGCGAGCTCCGCCGCCCGGTCCACGCCCGCGTCGCCCGAGAAAGGCAAGGGAAAGGAGAAGGCGCGCTCCGCCCTGCCCGTGCCGTCCACCTCGAGCTCGAGCTCGAGCTCAGACGCGAAGCCGTCGACTGCGATCGGGTGGACGCCGAATGCGAGTACGCAGTCGGACGGGACCCCGCTCAACTCGTCGCTGTCGTCGCTCTCGCTCGCCCTCCAGAAGCTGAGCATGCCCGCGCCCTCACGGCCTGGCACGAGCATGGGCTTCCATCCCGAGGCTGCCGCGACGAGCGACGGGTTGTCTACGGCGCGGCCGACTTACGCACGTCCGCCCGCCTCCCAGCCGCACCCACACACGTCCCAGCCTCAGTCGCACCCCCGCCCGAACTCGGCCGCTGCGGGCCCCGTGCGCGCACCTTCTGTGCAGCGTGCGGCGACGGTGAGTGACTTTTTCAGGACGCCGAGGCATGCTACGCGTGCTCCTCCCACTGCTGCCGCTGCCACTCCCACTCCCGCAACCACTACTACTATGACACCGGCCTCGGGTCCGAATCCAAGCGCAGGAACAGGAGGCCGTCCGCCAGAGAGGCAGAAACGGATCAATGTCTACACCGGGATCGTCCCGGGCAAGCCGCGGGGGAACCTCTCCTTCGGGAAACCCTCGACTGCGAGCGGCGCGGGCCCGTCGAACGCCGCACCGGGGCCGTCGAGCCCGGGCAAGAGTGCGTGGTCGATACTGCCGCCGCCGGCGAGCAAGCAGGGTGGGTTCGGTGTCGGTGGCGCAGGTAGGAGGGGGGGTAATCCAGGGGCCAGGCGGCTCTTCCCGCGGGCGAGCAAGAAGTCAAGCTTGCCTGTTGTGGAGGGGAGCCCCGTCAAGGGCGGCGTTGAGCCCGAGAACGGTGTCGGAGAGGAGAAGGAGGAGGCGGTGAATGAGGAGGGCGCGTCGATCATCGCGCGGGCGGTCGAGCGAGAACGAGCGGACGCGGTCCGGTCCGTATGTGCTAATCCTGCGGGGTCGCTAGCTGAGTCGATTGTCGGCGAGGAAGAGGTAGTCGTGGACGCGTCGATGCCCCCTCCGCCGCTGCCGCACAAGGCGAGTACAGGAGACCCTTCACCGGGCGCTGCGAACGTACCGACGAGTGTCAAGCGCGACCCCTCCCGGCGCGCCTCCATCGCCCTCAAGCTCTTCCGCGAGTCACGCTCACAACCCCAGTCTGCCCAGCCCTCCCCACGTACGCCCGTTCCCTCGTCGTCGACCGACCCGCAAGCTGGGCCCTCGACGGACTCGCCCGCCCTCGCAAAGCGGCACGCGCCGCCGTCGGCTTTCCACCACTTCAACCTCCGCCAACGGCCGGAGCCGCGCAGCGCGCCGAGCGTGCTGCGGCGGTCTGGCTCGGGAGCGCACGTCTCCGGGCGGAAGGAGAAGGAAGCCGGCGAGGGGAAGGGGAAGGGGAAGGACGAGGGAGGGATGCGCGGCGTGCTGAGGGAGTGCACGGTGTTCGTGGACGTGCGGACGGACGACGGGGACGACGCGGGGGGCTTGTTCGTGGACATGTTGGCGGACATGGGGGCGAAGGTGAGTCGCGTGCGCGGCGGGCTCCGCGGAGGCGGCGGGTCGACGGTGGACGGGTGCTGATGTTGTGGAAGGTCTTGACGCGCGTCGGGCAGACGTGCACGCATGTCGTCTTCAAGAACGGGCTGCTGAGCACGCTCACGCGTTACCGGTGCGAGTTGTTCGGGTACACAATTGCGCGCCGCTTCTCACATACTGCGTGCTAGGTTGCTGAAGGACCCACGCCCCCTGGTCGTTGGCATCGCGTGGGTCGTCGAGTGCGCGGAACAATGCACGCGCGTCGACGAGAGCAGGTTCTTGATCAGCCTCGACGGGGTCAACGTTGCCGGCACACAGAAGGTGCGCCTCATCGCTGCCAACGGCGTGGCATCCTTTGATGACCGATGCATTGTTCCTGTCCCTCTAGCGGCGACGATCCATGCTCCCTCGACAGTTCCACTCGCTGCAGTCCGCGGAGGCGGACGCAGCTTCGCCTGACAGTGCCAGCCCGAACTTGGCCTTCGTGCCCCGCGTTACTAGCCCGACGATGGCGGCGGATGGTCAGCGGTCCTCCTCGCGTAAGCACGTTTCGAGTCGTCTGCCGGTGTTCGATGCTGAAAGTCAATTCCGCTAGCTTCCGTCGTAGATACGGACGAGGCGAATCGTAGCGGCTCGAGCCTGAGCATGCACCCCCTGGAGAAGGCGCGGAGTCGGCGTCTGCATGGGTCGTGAGCTTGGATGAATGATGATGATGATGATGATGATGATGACGGTACCGGTCGTGGAGACTTTTGCAGATGTATACTAACCTACACGTTTTCTGGCATGCACGTAAGCTTATAGGCGTATTACTATTGAACACGGCGCGGGATTGCGCGGGGTTTTCGTTTACGGCCATGAATGATTCTTTGTTTCGAAGCCGCGCAAGGGTACGTTGACCAGGTAATGATTGTGGTTTGGTACAGGTGCTGTTATGGAGTTCCCTGCAAGTCGTTGAAAGCGTCGCCACATGTGCGCATTTTATTGGTCTTTTTTCTGCCTTCCTTCGCTCTCAAAGCTTCGCGCGCACGCACCACGCGTCCGTCTATCCACGCGTCCGTCTCTGCGCGTTTGTTGCTCTCTCGCGCACGAGCTGCCAAACTCGTACTGGGCGTTCAATATTTCAATGCCGGAAGGGGAGTCAACGGACGTCCAACGCCCCAGACGGGCGCTCACTCTCCCTTGTTACAACACTTTCCTGTTATGGTAACATGCCTTCCTTCTCTGTCAATACATTGCTCTCTTTTCAACTATCACGTCACGTCTCTCATCCGCCCCCTCCTTCACTCGTCACAGTTTTCGAATGTCGCTGCTCTTCTACGTCTCCTTCTGCCAATGTTAGTATTAAATGTCTCTCTTGGTCACGGTGTTCCCACGCGCTGTATGTACTTATACCATGCATGGATGCCATTCTCCCCATCTCCCCATCTCCCCATCTCCCGCCAGCCCGCCGCTCGCCCATCTGTATTCAAGTATTCCTCGCACTGGCAATTCAAGTCGACGTGTCGTCTTCGCATCATTGGGCGACGTCGCGTCATCATGATTAGTACTATATCGGGTCGGGATCTCGGCCGGGCACCCTAGTCGGGCACCCCATGCATTGCTCAAGAACGGCTAGGGATTTTCGGACAAAAGGTATGTCGCTGTGTTCGTTTCAATTGCAGCTATCGACTGGTATAACTACTACAAGAACCGGACAGGGATTTCGCTGCTTAGGCTCGACTGACCGAGTTCCCTGACCTGGCCGAGATCCGGGACCGATATAGTAAGTCATATGCTAGTCTGTCTTCACTGTGACTTACTCTGCCGCACTCGCAGAGCCCTACTCATCCGCCGTCCTCTCATCCTTTGAGCTGGAGCGCGTCAACCGATCGACTTCTGACTAGGTACCTGCGCAAGTAGGTCTGCGTGTTGAGGTTTGTGTTTCCTCGACGTATCACGCTTTTCTCGTTCATAGGCAGAGGTGGCACAGATCTCTGACAAATACCCTAAAAGAAAATCATGTAAGGCAAGATGGCCGAGCGGTCTAAGGCGCTGGAATCAGGTGTTTTGTCCGCAAATTGGATCAATCCAGAGGGAGAGCGTAGCACTGTGCACGGAACAAGGGCGCGAGTTCGAATCTCGCTCTTGTCATGTCCCCGTAACTTCGCATTTTTCTTGTTTTTGTACATACTGACTCGGACTGAGGATCTGCGTCTGTGTGAAGCCGCCGTCGACACGCCGCTTGTCCTCCACCACCTGCTCTCACCCATTCTCACCCATCGCCGCTCTTTGACCTCGTATGCGAACCAGTCACACCGACAACTATGGGCATCCACGGCCTCACAACATATCTGCGCGAGAGCAGGTCAGCGCTCGCCCATACTATTAGCTTCCCCAAGCAGCCCGGCCACCAGCCTCCAAAATCCACCACCATAGTTATTGATGGTTGGTCGTGAGTCTCCCGCTTGACCATTCACGCTGGTCCATCACCCATTCATACCTCTAGGTTCATCTTCGAGCTCGCTAGCTTGGCTGGGCTTCATTACATCTACGGCGGCGAGTATGAGGCGTTCTCCCGGCTGATCACGCAGGTCGTCACCGCCTGGAGGGCCGTCGGGCTGCATGTCTGCTTCGTGTTCGACGGTGAGCTCTCAGCATCCCCATAATCACCACACCTGAGCACGTCTCACACAGGTGTGTACCCTGCCCTCAAGTTTCCCACTCTCGTGTCTCGCGCAACGCAGACGACCATCCAAGTCGGCCTCCTCTTCTTCCGCACTTCCGCACAGGCCCGCTCGACCCCGCGCTTCCTCCGCGAAAACTCGCTTCTCCCGCCGCTCTCCTTCACCGTCTGCGTCCAGACGCTGCGCGATCTCGTCTCCTCGTCCGCAGCGCGGGTCGAGCCTCCCTGGCTCGAGGTCCACTTTGCAGACGAGGAAGGAGACCCGTACGCCGTCGCCCTCGCCGCGCGCCTGAACGCCTACGTCGTCGGGCGAGACTCGGACTTCGTCGTCCTCAACGCGGACGGCTACCAGGGGTACATCCCCCTCGATGAAATGATTTGGCTCGCGGAATCTGCGTCTGCCGCGGCCTCGGACGCGGGGAGCGTCCTGAGCTCCACGGACGGCGACGATGACGTCGACCCGAACGGCTTCAAGACCGTGCGCAAGTCCAAGACCCGCAAACGCGAGGCGGAGAACCCGCTCGTTGGGCGCGGCATTATCCCTCCCGCAGGTGACACCACCCTCGCGCTTGTCTGCAACGTCTACTCCCCAACCGCGCTCGCGACCACTCTCCAGCTCCCCGTCTCGCTCCTCCCCCTCCTCGGCGCGCTCGTCGGGAACGACTTTACTGGCGGCGTCGACGGCGCCCCCCGCCACGCACTGCATGCCCTCTTCTTCGAGCGGCAGCTCACCCTCCCGCAACGCATCACCCGTGTCGCGGGCACGCTCCGCTCCCTCCTGGACCCGGACCAGAAACGCAAGCGCAAGCGGCCGATCGGGAGCGTCATGGAGCTCATCGACGCCGCGGTGCATGCGCTTCTCCTCCGCCCGCCCGACACGATGGGCTCGGGCGAGCTTGACGCGATCGTCGAGCGCATCGTCGAGGCGACGCTTCAGTACGCCATCCCGCGTAGCGACGAGAATGGATTGGGGCCAGGACCGAACCGGGCGTGTCCGTGTCCACTGCACGGCGCCGGGACGTGTCGGCTCGTCGATTTCCTCTCCCCGCCTCGGGCGGTGGCGGACGAGCGGCCAGAGCCACCGATCAACACCGACCGCGCGCGCGTCGGCGAGCTGTACGTGGGCGCATACCGCCGCGGTGAGCTCTCCCCGCGCGCGCTCGACGTGCTGAGCACCGGGACGGCCTGGCCGCGGATCGCACTCGAGGATCCCGACAAGGAGAGCGTGTCAAAGAGCGTCGCACGTGCGATCCGTCAGTGGGGCTATGCCGTACTCGATGCGGGCGTCGGGCTGCCTGCGCCCCTAGCGGAGAACGATCAGGCGAAGGAGAACGGTGCGGTAGACTCGGACGACGAGCTCGTGGACGTGGTGGAGGAGAACTCGGACGACGAGGACCCGCTGTCTCCGCTCCGGGATGCACTCGAGCGGCTGGATAACCCTGCGGCTGACTCTGCGCGCGCGTCCGCTCTGTCCCCACCCACGCCGCTGCGCCCGAAGGTCGTCACGGAGTACGTGCGCCGCGGTACGCGCCTCGCGCCTGAAGAGATCACTGTGCCGCTCTTCAGCGATCTCCTGGAGGAGTTTTCCATTGCTGCTCCGGAGAGCCAGCAGGAGCCGGGGAGGCCCCTGCCCGTGCAGCTCTGGCCGGAGGATCTCCGCCTTACGTTCCTCCTGCGCGCCCTCGGCTCGGACACTCTTGGTGTTCGTACTTTACACGGTGCACGGCTCGTCGCCGTCCTCGCGGTGCGCTGGGTCGTCGCGCGGATGCACGCCCGTGCGGATGCAAACCCCACACAGAAGGAGAAGCAAAGCGAGCGATGGACCCGCGAGGAGGTCCGTGCGTTCCTCTCTGCGTTCTCATGGCCGCGCGCGAACGGAAAGGCGAGAGCATCTGAGCCGGACGACGTCCCCGGAGAGAGCGACGAGCCTGAGCCTGAGCCTGTCCCCATCGAAGAGCGGAACATCCAGCTCGTCACCCAGGTGAGCCTCGCGGGCGACGCGGTCGAGCACTTCGCGCAGCTCCTCCTGCTCAGTGACCTTGCACCGAACCCCATGCTCTATTTCTCCGGGCTGCGGTTCCACACCGCGTTGACGCTCCAGCCGAACACCGTCACTGGCACCTCGGACGATGATGAGATCTTGAGTATTTGTCTCGAGGGTCTGGAGTCCGCTCTCATGACAAAACCGACTAAGGCGAAGAAAAAACGTAAAGCAGGCGCGGGAGGCGAGGCTCCATCCACGGCGCCGCCGCTGCAACAGGGCCAGCGGCGCGGTCGCGCGCAGGCGGGGAACATGTACGATGTGTTGGCGGCGATGAGTGCGTGAAGGTATTTATTGATAATCTTGATGTAGCGATACCAATGTAAGGTGTATGATGTGTCGGACTGGTTGGGGTACAGTTCGCTGTGCTGTGTTACTTGCTATTGATGCTGTGTACGACTATGTATTTCCAAAGCAAAGTCAGTATCTTCTATCTCAGGGGCTGATGTGGATCCTAAGGCACGGTGCGAGTCGAACAAGCGGGTGATATTGTTACATCTTACATGATACATAATACATGGACTTGAACTTCGTGCGTAAGGGCAGTCGTGACATAGTTACTCCCAGCTTTAGAACGGCCACCCGGGGCGCCTGGTCACTACGGGGCTCTTTAGAAAGGTCTCACCGCTTTCTGCGGACGTAGACAATGCGAGCAATCCGATCTAGAACACCGTTAGCGGTCAACGATGCCCTCCAAAGGCGAGTACAAAGCAGCCTACCCCGATGAACTCCATGAACCGGTTCAGGTTCTCCTCGCGTACGGCCCCGCCCGGCGAGAGCGGGCTCGCTGCCGCTGCGTCGGTGCATTCCTCTATGCCGTACGCTTGTAGGAGCGAGAGGAGCTCTTGGTGGTGAGCTTGAAGAGGCCGTTGAAACGCGAAGGGAAGAAAGCGGGGCACTTGGGAAGCTCGAGCACTCCTGCGGCGAGCGGCGGTAGGAGGTAGTGGAGCTGCTCGTCGCCGGCGTGCGAGGGTGAGTGCAGCAACGAGTTCCTTCTCTTAGCGTCACTGGAGAGCGGACATACCGCACTGAGCAGAGATGATAGCGATGTAGATGTATGAACTTACGAATTGTGCAGCTGGATCTTGACCTGGAGGATGCGCCGCTTGTACTCGTTGACCTCGTTTTTGAGCTCGTTCGGGATCTGGACGTTGAGCTGCAAACGGCTTCATCGGCATGTTCGTTGGCATGCACGGTGTACGTTACCTGGTGGTCGACTCGCCGGGGACCTCCTTGCGCACGATCTCCGCCACGATGCCGTTCACTCTGGCGTTCAGCCACTTCTCGCGCTGCTCCTTCACGTTCGCGGCGAGGGCCTCCTGGAGCTCCTTCATGCGATCGTCTTGCTTCTTCTGTCTCTCCTTGAGCTGCTCGCCGGTCTGGTGGATCTGCGCCCCGGTACTGTCATGCGCGTTCAGCCCACACCGATACGTAACGACCTACCTCTCGCGCAGCTTCGATCCGAGGGCACAAGGACGCGACGCTCACGGTCTGCTTACCGAGCGAGTCGAACGTGCTCCCGAGCGTCGTGAGCGTGAGTTTCATCGTCGACAGCAGCTCGTTGACCGCCTGGAGCTCGGGATTCTGGCCAGCCTGTCCATCCGCATTGGGCGAGGTTGGGGAGGACGCAGGGGGGTTCCCTGTGCCCTGGCCACCCTGGCCTCCTTGCGATGTATGGCCGTTGCGTTGGTTGTCGCCCATGTTCTGCGAGGTGTTCTGCATAGATGAGCCTTGAGGATGGAGATGGCCTTCCGTCCATGCCTGCACATATAAGCTCGAGGGTATCTTCTATTCACGGCAGGCTCCGTGGACACGGCGCATCCTCGAGGACTGTGAGAAGCCTTCTCGACGTGACATGGGACCGAGCGAACGTGATTTCGTACCACAGAGTTTCCGTCTTCGTGGACGGCGCGAGCGTTCCCTGCAACGTGTTCGCTGCGAGGACTATGCTCGAGATAAGATCAGTCTGAGGAAGCATGCGATTTCGAATCGTCGGTGTGCCCTTCTGCTTTACGACACGCCGAGGCCCTGAAGAGACGCAGTGGATGCGAATATCGCTGATCAGGCTACGACCACTGGCAGGAACACCTTAGGGATGGATAACGTACCGTCGTTGACAGAACAAGGGGTTCATGCTATGGGTATCTGTCATATCATACTGACAATTCGCGCAGTGCGTACGGCATAGTAGCCTCGATGCACATCAGGGAATCCCCTTCAGAACGGTAAGCAATTACAGCGTTTGTGAAGTGGCGCAATCTTCCGACCAATTGCAAGCGCACGTAAGCCGCATGTGATCGCGATGCAAGATTGCGCGGCCCCGCTATCTGTTTTCTTCTTGACAAACCTCTTCTACGCATACCACAAGATTCGACCCGCTTATATCCTACATACAAGATGTCTAGAATGTCCTGCACTGAATACAAGAGCGTTCATCCTGCATGGTCTTGTTTGTTCGCGGCCACGGGCACCGCCCCTCCACGGCTTGAGTCACTATCAGTTCAACTTGAACTTCGAGCTCGACCACGACTCGGACGGACTCGAACTCATCCCTCTCGCTCAGTCACCCACTAACTGTATCCATTCGCTAACGACATTCATTTCCATTTCCCAGCACAGCAGACCCTGTCTTCGCGACTAGGAGTGGTGCTACACCGCCTGGTTCAACACTACCACTCGGATGCCTACCTGTCCAGGTTGTGCGAGTCCGTTCAAGGATGAGCGGGTCCTCACGAAGCACAAGAAGAAGTGCCAAGCTGTCGTTGATCAAGCACGCATCGCTTGGGAGATTGAGCAGAGCCGCGAGAGAGCCGCGAAGCGACGACGAGTAGACGGCAATGCGGGCGCGAATCCCAACGCCATGGTACGTGGTATTTGCCTGTTACTTACACTGTCTGTATGCTGATGCAGCCACTGGTAGTCTGTTCCGGTTCCCGGATCTTCTCAGGTCCCGATGCCCAATGTACCTTTGCCAGACGAGATCAGGGAAGATTATCCTGTTTTTGCATCATATGTAAGTTTATTATTGATCCTGCGTCTCGAGGGCCCACTAATGCGCAATGACAGGACTTTACAACGACAGCTGGGGCAAGCGACAACGCTTCGAGTCTACCTCTGACACCCGTGGGTGACTCGGAACCGGAGAGCAGCGCTGAACCAGCCATGCGCCGATCTACGCGTACCCGGATCATGACACAAAAGGTTCGGGATATGCTTCCCGAATCGTCAGGAACTGGCCTCGAACCCATCGACGAGGAGCCCGTCGATGACCAACCACCTAGCCCTGAAGTGCAGCCAGACCAGGGGCAATCTCGTCCTCGGGTTCGCCTGATCATTGCGGAGAAGTTCCGCACGATCGCGAACCGCTTTGGCCTGTCACGGCTGTACAAGGCCCGCCCGTCGACGGTCCCTGACGAGGAACTTGACGTCTCATCTTGCATGCCCGTGAATGGGCGTCCTCGAGCCTCCAAGTTGCGTCGTGCAGTCAGCGAGATCATCGCTCCTCTCCCCAATCTTAGTGCATGGCGGCTGTATCACCACTTTTGGAGCTATCCGACGCAGACGCGTGCGTCGCGAGCTGCAATGCAAGAGATCCTGTGCCAGCCTGATTTCTCTGGAGCCGACGCCGCAGCTGCAAACTTTGACAAGATCGACGCGATTCTCACGGCCAAGCATCCATGGACTGATGCAGCCGAAGGATGGAGGCAGGCAAGCGTGACGATTGGGATTCCTTCCGGTCATCGCTCCACCGAGGCGTCACGGCGCAGCGAGTACACGGCACGCCAACGCATTCGCCGACATGAACCATTCGAGGATATTCCTGCGGAGCAACCGATCGCAGGAGACCATTTCAGTATTCCTCAATTCTTTTATCAGCCACTTGTCCCCCTCATCAGCAGGGTCTTCGGCGAGTACCACATCTCCCGCGGGTTCCACTACCACCCATTCCATCTGACGTACCTCCCTCCTGATGCCCCGCCGGGTACACTGCCCGAGACCGTCCATGGCGAGCTATACACGTCGCAAGCATGGCTCGATGCCGACGCCGAGCTTCAGAACTCGCCCCGCGTTGAGGGCTGTGACCTGCCCCGGGCGATTGCGGCGATCATGTTATATTCAGATTCGACAAACCTGGCGCAATTCGGGAATGCAAAAGCATGGCCGATCTATGTCCTCTTCGGCAACCAGTCGAAATACGACCGTGCTCGTCCTTCTACCGCTGCCGGGTACCATGTTGCATATCTTCCATCAGTACGTCTACTGTTTAGATGTGCACATTGCACAAGACTTCTCATTACCATCTCTGTAGCTGCCGGACCACATCAAGGATCACATCCGTAAAATACACAGTGGTAAATCCGCTAATGGACCTCTTTTGACGCACTTGCGGCGCGAGCTCTTTCATGCAGCCTGGGCACTCCTGATACATGATCCCGAGTTCCTAGATGCATACAAGAACGGCATTGTTGTCGATTGTTCCGACGGCATCAAGCGACGCCTGTATCCGCGCATATTCACATATTCGGCCGACTATCCAGAAAAGTAAGCACACGGGATCTCGCGGATTATCGCGCTGACGCTCGTTCTATTATGCAAGGGTACTGATAGCAACAATACGTGACAAGGGCTTGTGCCCGTGCCCACGGTGCCTCATCAAGACAGACCAAATAAGTGAGCTCGGGACTGCCGCCGATCGTGCATGTAGGGAGGAAACTGCACGTCAGGATGACACTGTCCGACAAGGAAGGGTTGAGAGGGCATCTGCTCTGATTTACGACCAAGGCTACGTCGTTAACAGTGACCGGGTTGAGAAGGAACTAAAGGAGCAGTCACTCGTACCGACGCAGGTAAGTCTGCACGCGCTTGAGTCGCATCAGTACTGACACATCCATAGAACGCGTTCTCCGACATTGTTCGCAATTTCTTTGTGCTCCTCGTTGTTGATCTCTTGCACGAATTCGAACTTGGAGTCTGGAAAGCGGTGTTCACACACCTTATCCGCATTCTCGAGTCGCAACCTGGTAATCTGGTGGACCGGCTCGACGAGAAGTTGAATCATTGTTTTCCTTGATAACTCATAGGCTAAAGGTAGATCTCACAGTTTCCGACGAGTCCCTGGTTTCGGCACCTTCACAATTCGGAAGTTCGCATCAAATGTGTCGGAAATGAAGAAGCTGGCGGCACGGGACTTCGAGGATATTCTACAAGTAAGTACGGATGTTGTTTCGTATTCAAGCCACTTGCAACACTGACACATGTCAGTGCGCGATTCCGTGTTTCGAAGGTCTTCTGCCCGAACCCCATGACAGCAACATCCGCATGCTGCTCTTCACACTTGCGTATTGGCATAGCCTTGCCAAACTGCGTATGCATACTGATTCATCCTTGGATTTGCTCGATACAGCTACGACTACGCTTGGCGAGGCACTGCGCCAATTCAAGTCTGTGACATGCCCCGCTTTCGCGACTCAGGAGTCATCTGCCGAGTACAGTCGACGAGTCCGCAACCATACACGGCTCGTCAACAAAGGCCTTGCAACCACTGATTCAGCTCCGTCTGGGAAGCGACCGCGCACTCTCAATTTGAACACACCGAAGACACATTTCCTAGGCGATTATGTGGTAAATATTCGTGCGACTGGGACAACTGACTCGGGTTCGACACAGGCTGTGAGTTTCGAGATCCTATTCCTACGGTTACAGTGGTGCTCATGCCGGGTGATGACAGGGTGAATTCAAACATCGCGATATCAAGAGGCGCTACGCCCGCACCAACAAGAAGGAAACCGATGCGCAGATGGTCGCCCAAGATGTCATTTCGTCGAGACTGAACCACATGGCTGACGAGCTTCGCGATGCTGGGGTTGATGTTCCGGGGACGCGTTCGAAGGTGCAGCTTATTGATGATGAGGCTACCGATCCTACCACAGCCCAGCAGCAGCACCACATCGCTGCCGAACAACGAAACACTCTCTATCTCAGTCAGTTGATGGCTGACCACCCTGATGACCCAGCTCTCGTGTCGTTTGTGCATGACCTCAGGGCACATCTCCACGCGCGACTCCTTGCAATGGATCCATCATGGCCGACAAATGCGGGTTTGATCCTCGACCGCAACTGTCTCTTCACCCATGCAACAGCGCGTATCAATTTCACGACTTACGACCTACGCCGAGGTCAGGACATCATTCATGTTGGTACCGACAAGTGCTTCATCATGGCGCACACGCCCGACATCTCCGACGGTTCGCCGTACCCGTGGACTTACGCGCAAGTCCTTGGCATATACCACACTAATGTTCTTCGCCCAGGTACAAACAAGAAGGAGCGCATGGAGCTACTGTGGGTCCGGTGGCTCGAGCGTGATCAATCGTGGCCGAGCTCGGCGAACGATTTTAGACTTCCCCGGGTATCCTTCCTGCCGTCGAGCTCTCCTGACGCCTTCGGCTTCCTAGATCCCGCCAATGTTCTTCGCGCATCACACCTCCTCCCCGCATTCCACCATGGCCTCACATTCTCATTGCTCGGTCCCTCCCTCGCCCGAAATATCTCTGGGGACTGGCGATTCTACTACGTGAATAGGTTTGTGGACAGAGACATTTCCATGCGCTACATAGGCCTCGGAGTAGGCCACCAAGCGTGTCGTGCTCGCACTGTGGACCGGCTCAATGCTGCTATCACTTTCGCAGCTAGTGCAAGTACTAATGCGCCACCATCATCTGCCTCTGCTACTGCCACGCATCCTGTCTCACTAGCGAACAATGAAGGTGTATCCGCGCCGCCTCATGCTTCCGAAGACGATGGCGCCTCGAGCCAGGATGAGTATAGCTCAGATGAAGACCCACTACGGCCCGACTTGGATGGCGAAGGCTCGGACACTAGTGGATTCGAAGACGACCTGTGATATCTACCAGGTACGAAATCATGTGGTGTATATGCCGCATGCCTGATACAACATTAACATTTTGGCTGTAGCATTCTGCCGCCGGATGCACGGCAGTGTCGTCGAGCTTAAAAGCCGTAGATGTCAGCCAACGAACAGTCATTCTCCGCCGTCCCCTCTCTGCCTCTATTTGTCAAGCCAACATCGCAGTCGTTATATCATTCATTCGTTTACTTATCCATTCCCCTCGTAGTTATGTCTCTTACTCCCTCCTCTGAGTCCAACACTGGTGGCGCACTTGCCACCCCTCCTTCTGCCATAGTTGTTCCTCAGTCCCCACCCTCGGCGCCCGTCATGCGAGCCACCAGTGGCATCAGCAAGAAGCTCGAGAAGAAGGGTGCCCAGTTTGCCCTCCAGTATGATTTGTTCCGTTCCGTTCAGGCGATCATCGACGCGGGCCGTGCTCGGGATCCTGACGCTGCAGCGGGTACATACTCATCCTGGTTCGTTTCTTGCTCTGTCATGCATGTATGACACTGGTTGCTGATGACAGTGTGAAAGGGAGCGCAAGCTTCATGCCCTCTACGATAGTCTCCTTGCCATTGCACCTGAACTGGCCGACGAGCTGGCAGTTCGTGGATCTACTGGCTCCACAGAGCTTGCTGAAATGGTATGTCGAATTAGTGCGCTTGATTCAAATCCCCTTACTATCATTATGGCTGAATTGCAGATCGAACGTGGGCGTACCCGCGATCGCAACAATATCGTGAACACTTGCAAAACGGGAATACGTGATTGGATCGAATTCAGCCCCCCTCTCCCGATGGAAAAGCAATATCGTGGCTTCAACTGTGAGTCATCGGGGCATTTCATCTGCCCCGTCGTATACGACTATGGCGACGTGAAGTGAGTACGATGATCATTATATTTATGTCAATTGTTGCTGATATTGTCGTTGTCAGAGTACGCGCCGCGCTCCTCGAATATCATGCGGACTATCCTGCGGGAGCAGAAGACTATCCAGCACTGTTATGGCGGGACAATCGTGCCGACAGGACCGACTTCTTTAAGGGTTTCGGCGAGGGGTGCTTGATTTGCAAGGTGAGTCGACGCAATCGATTTTGATGCCATCGTTGTGACCTCTGAAAACTACGATTAATTAGGCTCTACAGCACATCCTCATTGCACCGTCAGTTGCAAAATCTAGTGATGGTGTTACCTCACACTCGAACCGCAAGGGCCGTGCTCGGATCTACAACCTTCGGACTGTCACGCCGGCAATGATTGCATACGCCGCATCCATGGTAAGCTAATTCTCTCAAGTTGTGGTTGTGACGAAGTTGTTGACTTACGCCGGGCATGCCATCGACTCGACAGGTGCACTTCTCTTTGTCATCGCAGGTTGTGTTCGGCGCGGGATCGGAGGAGGAGCGGGGGAAATTCTGGTATGAAGGGTTCTACAACTCCCTGATCCGGACCATCGAGGACGTCATGCCTGAAGACCGCCGAGCGGCACTTCTCTCATTCCATGCTGCGTACGTCTTCGTCCCGAGCCTTTTTTCAGGGCATTGAACCAACAAAATTAACAGAAGGGTCATATCGGCTACCCAGGAGGTCGAGGCAACGGCACGTCGTGTCAACAGCGTCGCCTACTACATGGCTGCTCAAGCTTAATCGGGCAAAATTACTGATTGTACCCCCGCCTTCATCTATACCCTCCGCTGGACTCGGCTGTGCTGTCGTGACGTCCTTCGAATGTGCTGTGTTCGAACGAACAATACATACCCACTTTTAATGAAATTTGATATCGGTGTATGCCAACGCCTTTAGGTTGACACAAATACTTCGGGCTCGTCGTAAGCAAACAGTAAGCACAGTACATACATCAAGCCATTGCGCAATTGGTACAAGCTTGTAGTGGTTGTAAATCGGTGGCATCTGAGAGGCCAATATATCACGGAGATATGGAGTATCTATAACAGCCCTAGCGCTATAGTCAATTGCACTGTATATAACGATTTTATTGCTTATAATCGCATACAAGCTGCCTCTATACGGATATATACTCGTTGCGAAATCCGTGATGCATGGTGCCGTACTACCAGCTAGCTGGTCTGCGAGACTGTCAATTTAAACATTCCGTGGACGCATGGAAGAGTAGACGACATGTATAGCACATCTGCCGCTCCAGGCTGACCACTCTGTGCCCCGAGGACAGTTGGAATAGGATGCGAGGCAGTAATGGAGACCACAGGAGACATGAACAGGGTGCTTGCTCAGGGCAAGGAGAATGGATGGATTTGACGCTGCACATGCAGTGAGTCGGCGACGACGTGTTCGTCGTCCCATGTGTAGCCGACGAGAGGATGCGAAACTCACGGTACTCACCATCTTCCACCAAGCCGCTCCTCTACTCTCATCCACAACATCCCAATCGTGCCCAGCCCCCGCTCGTTCCTCACAATTGCACAGGTTCATTCACTGAGTGGCAGCAAACAGACCGAACATGATCCTAGGTATTGTTGAACGTCTTGCAGAGCCATGCTGATGATGCTGCCGTCGGTCATGATATCTGCATGACTTACGTTGCGGCTTGCCGTACATGCAGATGGAGTCGAAGCCTGAGCATCGCAATACGTCCTCCTCAGGCCTCAATGCTCGTAGTGGCTTGACGGCTAGAAGAGGTCAGAAAAAGCGATGTTTACCGCACTCCGGACAGGCGATGAAAACTGTAGAATGAAGGTCGCTGCATAGGATGACCCAAGCTCCCAGGTCGGTCAGAGTGCGCAGCCTATAAGTCGGCTCTACGGTGCTGCTGCGTCCATAGGGCAGTGCCGGAACCTCAGTCGACCGCTGCACAGCTATGTTGCTGTGGCGCTGTGGGCGTATCGGACAGGTGTGTCCAAGCGTCGGTCGAGTCACCACTATTCGTCGACACGCAGCATATGCTCACAAGACTGTGGTCCAGCCCGCTTCTGTTCCTGTTGTAACGTGCGTTATGGCCTTCTTGTCCCCGATAGCTGCATAGGCGCCGGCGCTTGCACTGCTTATTGTCAACACTGAAAAGGACTCTTGCGACGCGCTCTCGTTTCAGCACCCTCCTTTCACATCTCCCCTCGACACACGCAATGGGCCGTCTAGACACTGGTCACCCAACCCGCCCACGGTCGCGCACCCGAGACCCGCGCGTCGTGACTTACCGGTACAAGGAGAAGATGGTCTACGTTACACCCGCGGACACATACGAGGTATGCACGGACATTCTCTGTGGCGCAGCAGACGTTCAGAACGAGTCGATGCCCACAGCAAGCCGTCCAGTTCGCGCGAGAGGTCTTCCCCGACGACCTGCGCCACATCCACCCCCAACAGCTGTCCTTCACGATCATCTCGAACACGCCCAAGGGCAAGCGCACGGTGCAGATCTCGCCCATGGCCTGGAAAGCCGTCGTCGGCACGCTCGCGTGCTACGAGATCATCGACCTCAACGTCCACCCCGAGGTCATCCTCGAGGACGAGCGCGAAGGCGACTACGAGGACATCGTCTCGATCGAGGAGCTCAAGTCGTCCTCGCCGTTCTTGCACCCCAACGATGCGCTGCCGAAGTCCCGCACCCCGTCCCCGGCGCGCCGCTCGCCTAGTCCGTCGGCAATGGGCCAGGTCAAGGGGTGGCTCGAAAAGGTCCTACCGTGACCGCGCGCCCTGCCAGATATGTATGGTGGGAAGCATGGACTTCGACTTTTGGTGGACGATCGTCTTTGTATCTTGTGGCGTCGACCGTATACCCTTCTCTTTTTAGTGCTACGTTGGGACGCTGCCGACAAACTATTGGTGGCTGCTTGGACTGAGACCGGTGTGTAGAGGACTCGACTCGGTTTACTCTCGCTCGTACTTAAGAAATCTTGTAATGTGCTTGTATTACCTCTAGTCGCCATCGGCTGGTCTGTGGCATGTAGCATTGTGTAGAACTATCATCTTGTAATCAGCTGTACCAATCGCAGTGCTGGGACTGAGTTGATGTTGCATGTCGCACACATACCGTGTCATTACCAGACCACGCTGGTGCGTGCTAGCGTTCGATCATCCGACTCACGCGACTGTTCTGCACCAAGTGGTATAACTTGCACTCGTATACCGACACCGACCGACGACGGAACTACTCACCCCGACATCGCGCCTCCTACGGCCTGCTATGGCGCAACAACGCCTTGCTCCTGAACGTCGCGTTGTACTGGAGCAGGTTGTTGATGTCCCTCACCCAATCATCCTCCTTCCCCGGGCCCACCCCTTCACCATCCTGGATCTCCTCCGGATCCGCGATCGACGACCGGTTGATGCAAGGTATAGGGTACTTTGACGCCTGCACGGTGACCGCCTCTCCGGGCCCGAGGACGTGCGACGTCTGCCCGTCGAGGGCGAGCCCGGCGGAGGCGCGGCTGCGCTCGCTCACCTGCGTCAGCGCGGGCGGTCAGCGGGGCTCGGGCGGGGACGGGGCGGGGTGCTTACGCGGAGCGTCACCGAGGACGAGGACGGGAAGACGAGCGGGCGGAAGGAGAGGCTGCGCGGGCAGATGGGCGTCAGGACGAGCGCGCTCAGGGACGGGTGGACGATGGGCCCGCCGGCGGAGAGCGAGTACGCTGTGGACCCTGTCGGCGTGGAGACGATGAGGCCGTCAGACTGCGTGGGGGTCAGTGTGGTGCGCGGATGTGAGGGTGAGGGCGGGGCGTACCACAGCCTCGGTGAGGTGCTGCCCGTCAACGTATATGTCGATCGTGTTGAGGTGCGGACTGGCGCCGCGGTGCAGCGCGATCTCGTTCATGACCTGCCAGTCTTGGGCGCGAATTAGTATGCTCGTCCGAGATGCACGGCGCACTTACAGACCTTGTGCTTGCCCTTCCAGCCGCTCCCCGTCGCAGTCGTGAAAGCGGCATGAGAGCCGCATGCGGTGAAGCACAGTCGCGCGGCCGGCGAAGGCGCTGTCGAGCGCTTTGGCGTAGTCGTCGATGTCTGGGCGCATGATGAGGGAGCGGCGCACAGGCCGGGATAGACACTCACGGAAAGGGAGCAGGAAGCCGAGCGTGCCCATCGAGAAGCTCAGCACCGGCGGCACTGCGCCTACTTTGAACAAAGACGATGCGTGGAGGATGGTGCCGTCGCCGCCTAACGTGACTACGAGGTTGATCTTCTCGGCCTCAGGCCCTGCAGGATCCTGTGAGCCTTGGTGTGTTTAGGGTGGGGAAGGAATGACCTGGTCGCCAGATCTCGACGCCTGGGGGAATGTCGGGTCTGTCTTCATGGAAGACCCGGACGTCGGGATACTTTTCGCGGAGGTACCTGCAGAACGGGATGAATTGGTGGCTTCGCGAGCAGGAGGCCGACGACGCACGCAAGCAAGGTGTCGATGGCGTCGACGACGAGCTTCGTCCGGTGCTTGTTGACTAGAAGAATGGCTCTTGGAGGTGTATCGTGCTTGAGACGGCTGTCTTGGGTCTGGAGTGAACAGTGAAACCAGAGCGCAAGGTTGAGATACATACGTAGCGAACGCACGAGTCTGTTTGCGCACGAAGCCCGTCGATGTTGTCCGAAGGACGCCGTGCAGGCTATAGCTTGGTGTTGTGGACCGCCATGAGTGGTGGCTACGGGCTATGAGAGAGGCCGTACGGTGCGTAGAGCGCAGAGACATCGCTCGGTCGCCGAAGGACGAGGAGGAGGAGGAGGGGTCACATGCATTGACGGCCGCCCCATGGACCTGCCTATTTGGGAAATCTCGATCACTCACATAATGATGCCACGTGTCTCATTCGCCGCCGCTGCGCCCGGGTCCGACGAGCGTCCACAACCCGTGGCTTCGCCACGGGCTGACAGGGCGGTTCTTTCACTGCTTCATGTTACTCTTAAGATTACATGCTTGGGCAATGCCAGCCCATATCTGGTTCATTCAATGCTGTGTGTAGCTCTTGTGGTTACATTTTGATTCAATATTTCCTGGCTTGCTGTACACTTTGTTCCATATTTTTGTATCCTTGGTTTTTATAATCTGCTGCAGGGCAATTGTTTGACATTACCACTGTTGTTCCCATTATTTCCCAGTACTGATGTGTCCTATTTTCCTAGTACTGAGGTTTCCTATTTTCCCGGGATTGATATCTTATTTCCCTGAGCTAATATCTCCTGTTTTCCCAGTGCTGATCCACACTGTTTTGCTGGACTGGGATGTGCTTTTCCCCTGGTACTTAGTCCCATTATTGCCAGTGAAATGTGCCTTCCTGGTGCAGACATGTCATATTTCCCACCATTGATGTCCCCTGTATATTCTATTTAGTGGTATCCCATTATTTCCTGTTACTGAGGTCTCCTGTTTTCCCAATATTGATCTTTCCTCATGTCAAATTTATACTCCCCAGGACTAATCTATACTGGTTTCCCCGTGCTACTCTACACTATTTCCCCCAGGCCTGAGATGTCCTGTTCAAGTTTTCCTAGTACTGACATTGCTTGTTTTTCCCGTTACTACCACTGATTTTAGGCATATACTCAATTTTTCCCATTGCATTCCCTTTGTGGTCTTTCAGTGTTGATTTCCCAGGACAAGGATATATTTATTATTTGTGACATTTGTTTTCCTGGTACTGAGAAACTATTGTATTGTGTTTTCCCAGTCCTCATGCATCCCATTTGTAACCTGTGTATTTTTCTACTCATTTTTCCATCACTTCCCCCCTTTTCACATGGAAATTCCACCTCGGGGACACCTCAAGTGGGGCTTGCACAGGCACCCATGGGTGGCAGACACTGGGAGCTTATGGGAGGCAGGTGCACCACATGAGGCCACACAGTGAACATGGATGTCATGTGTGCTCCATGTGGGTGTACACAAAAACCATGCAAGTTACATGCACCACATTGACACTGCCATTGCACTGCTTATAGATATGCAAATTGTCATGTCACTGGAATGCTCCCCATGTGGCTGCACTTGGGCCACACAGGTATTGTTCCTATGAAAGCAAAGGCAAATCGTCTGTGCCCATTGTAGTGCCAACACCTGACAGAACGAGACTTGCCCAATCTGTCATAACATTTCCAAAAGTTGAAGCACCCACATCCAAAAGCAGGGCCACTCTTCTTTACTAACTATTGTTATTGATTTGACCTCAGCAATCTGTATTTTTATTGTAGCATAACAATATTGGCAAAGCCATGTTCATAATTAATGAAACTTGAAGGGAATGGCTCATAAACTTTACAACACTGTCACTATTGGAAATTACTCTGAAGAAAGCTTCAGGATCACCCTAAATGCTAGCAGACTATGAGAGTGGGTCTGAGTGACACAACACTGACTACCTTGCCAGGAATTAATATTTACTAGTAGTACTGCTGTATAAGCACTGCAGAAGTCCATGGGTTCCATGGGTACATGGGTCAAATTCTGGCTACCCATACCCATACCCATGACCCAAATGGGTTACTCACACCCATGCAATGCACTATCTGGCCACCAGTCAGGGAAGCTGTTCAATCCCAGATCAATTTCCTCTCGACTTGGATGCTAGACATCATTGCCCAAGACATCACCAGCACACTGCAGCCCAGCACTGAGCTGTATGGTAGCAGCATCCTCCACCCAGACAAGATCTACAAGTGTGAGGGGAGCTGTGGTCACCTCCATGTCATTAGAGGCTGTGATGAGGATGCTCTTGACATCATCAACCATGACTTGGACAAGATCAGGGAATACAGATGGCTTGCCCAGGAATGGGTGCCTACCCTCCAAGATGGAGGTCAGCTCAGGGTGTTTGTTGCCAACTGGATTATGCACCATACTGTGCATACAATTTCTCCCCTGGACTCATGTTGGCATTACTGCATGCTCACCAATTGATTGCTGCCTGATGAAACACAGTACATCTCCATCCTTGCTCACCATTTGTTTTCTTGCTCATGTGGCTGTCTTCTGACACTTAGAATCCAACTGTGTGATGGTGGTGACAACTATGTGAATGAGGACTGCTTTGCCCATGATGGAGGCACACATGCCCAGTGGACCACTGCAGCACTGCAAGATTTTGTCCTGATGACTCTCCAGCATGTCATAGACAGCAAGACACTCCTGCTTAGGATGGTTGAAGAGAGCTCGTTGGAGCAGTACACCCATGTTGACATCAGAGTCATGCCTGGTGCAGATGGCAAGCTGGCTTGGTTTGTCAACAAGATAAAATGGGGTGTCAGTGCAACTGTGTTTCTCAATGCTGATCCTGATCTCACCTGCCCGATGATCAATGAGGCAGTAGACTCAATACTCACACTTGCTGGGGAGTGGGCCATGCATGGCAATACAATCCCAGTTGTATTGTCTATGTCTTTTGTCTTCTGGCTCATGAAATAATGGCTTCAATCTCACTTATCAAAGGCATTGATATATACTAGTTTGTGAGACCAACTTCCATGTAGTTGTCAAACTGTGACAAAATCATGAGGGAGTATTATAGTAGTAACAGGGGTGCTTACATCAAAGTTGCTCAGCTCATTCCTTATTGCTGTAACACAAGATACAGAGCAGTGAATCCTAAATATTGAGTATCCTAGAGAATGCAAAATGTACACATTTCTTTATCAGAAGGGTTTATTGATCATAGATAGCTATGCCAATATTGCTACACAGCCATTACCCAATGATATGTGTAGTTGCAATGGTTGCAGACTTGTTCTTGCCCAACTGTAGCTGAGCTGCACTGTTTCATCATGTCTGGGACTTTATGTATTATTTCAAAACACTGAACAATAATACTACTTCACTAGTGGGAGACTTGTGTTTCATGGACTGTTTAGGGACTGTTAATTAACCCAATGATGACAATGATCAGCATTGATTGTATAACTTGAACTGAGTAGGTCATATACTTCCCAACATATTGACACTACATTGGCCTAGACCTCCCAATGGTAGAATGTCAACCATGCTGATTTTGGTACACTCATGATACCTCTTCATGGATTTTGGCTCATGCTGTGGAAAAACAGTCACATGTTCTAGATACAGTATAATGGAGTGCCCATCTGCATTTTCCTCCTCATGCCTTATCCTGACATCATTCCATGTTACTGTCAAATATGTAACAAGTTACTAACAGCAATCTGCTAAATGCATTAGATGGGCACGTGATGTTCAACAGGTGCTTCACAAGTTACACTGAGGAGTTCACATTGTTAACAAATGAGGGCATCCACAGATTAGTATCAAAGCTATGCTACTGTCAAAGTTTCCTAATTCATGACTGAGTGATATGTCACAGGCATTATTATGGATATTCAATGGAGAGCAAGAACCTGTAAATGAGGATTTTATCATCAACTTTTTCTTGCACAGCAGCAGGCTGTCTGCATAAGTCTTGCACCCCTTCATATGAATTAAGTGTAGTCCCATACAAGAGCATGGTACTTATGTTGCAAAGTGCTGCCAGAGCTTTCAGTGAGCACAATGACCACTCATTAGTACTTCACTGATTTTTGGGGTGTTTGGGGCCTTTATGAGCCTACACAAGGAGGTTATGTGGCCTCAGAATGAATATCCTGCACATGTGCATGCTTTGTTCCATGCATAATGAAGGCTAGGGAAATTATGGGAGGGTCTGTGAAGCAGGAGCTATCACACAACTTGACTCAGGATTACTACATATGGCAGGTGCCCTCCCTATTGGCAATTTCACACTGGGCAATGCTTTGTGGGCCCAGTAAATACTGTAGAAATGATGGAATATTCCCAGAGTGCATGATTGCATCAGTTCAAGCAACTGGCATATGGTGAATCATTAACCAGCATACATGCATTATATATGTACTGTATCCCACTCTTGTAGTGCTATTGTGAGACATCAAGAGATGCTGATACTCCTGCTCATGAATACATGGGCTATATCAGTGTTTATGTGACCAAATTTGCAGCTTTCCATGCATTTGTAATTTTCTCAATCATTTTGTTTATCTGCTCTGTGCTTGTATTAAGGACAAGTAGAACAGTATACATTCCTACACTCATTGATTCAGGATGCTACGTAAGGCAGTTGCTGAGGAAAATAGTAGAACCACTGTGTTGTGATTGTGAATATACATCAGACAGGGGCTGCGTGGTGTAGTGGCAACATCACGCGCAAGCTCAATGAACCCGGCACCAGATTGCAGAACTGGGTTCGAGCCAGTCCCCTCCAGGAATTAGCCTTCCCATTTGCCACGTGGGGTTTTAGCAGGTATGGGGTGGTCGGATCACACCACTCGAGCCCTGCACTACTTCCAGAACTCGGCTACGGCCGAGGTCTGGAAGTGTGCGTAAGCGCATTTCCTCCCTTTGGTCGGAGTTCAAACACAGGTTTCATCCCTGCTTCCTTAGCGGCCCCAGAGAGACGACTTGTCGACTGCCGAGGGGTGCATCTTGCAGCCAATCTTAGTTGAGCAAATATGTTCCTAAGACCGGGGTGCAACACTCCACCAAAAGAAAAAAAAAGAATATACATCAGACATATTGGGAGCACACACATGGCTGTGTCTAGTCATATTGTTAAATGTGCATAACTCACCAAACCATATATGTACTGGATACCTCAATATCACACTGTCTCAATCCTCAAATATCAAACATTGTGCTCTCATTTTAACTAAATCACTCCAAGATGTCATAGCTCAGTACCCAATGTGGTACTGTATCTTGTACCCTGACTGGCAGCCTTGTGGCACCTGTAATTAAGATGATTTTGACTTCATATGACCCAAAAGCACTTCAGGATGGCTGCACTGAGCCCTTCCGAGTTATTGGGAATTTATAGAATTCTTCTGGGCCCAAAACAGTAGGTTTTGTCCTCAGAATGAAGATTCAGTGCATTTTTGACCGCTTTTTTGCAGTGCCGCGGTGCCAAATGTGACACAGGAGTCACGGCATGTGGCGGCTCGGATATGAGCACCGGGCTTAATGCAACTCCTGGGTTCAGCTTGGAAGATTAAAAGACAAGAGTTGGTATATACACTCTATAGGTAGATAAATAGCAGTTCACGCAATGAATTATTGTGGGCAATCAGTATTGCACCCAGGAGTTGAGTAAGTATCTGCAGTGGCTCAGTGCTCAGCCACCGCTAGTGCAGAGCATGGGTCGTGGGAACCTGCGTGGGTAGCGGGTATGGGTATGCCCAGGTACGGGTACAGGTCACATTTTTGTGACCCAGACCAAACCTGTACCAATGACCACACCCGCCACTCACGCAAACACCAGACACCACTGGCCGTGCCACTGCTGCCACCAACTCAAACAAGAGCGACGCACCAGGGGCAGTTTGCGCATCCCGCCGCGTGAATACCTGCATGTCCGTCGTCCTCTCACTGTTCACGCCCGGCCTCTCATACCCAGCCTCTCTCACCTGCTTGCTCTCGTCCATCTCACCTGTCTCACCCACTTGCCCACTCACGTGCAAGAGCCCCACTTGTCTCACCCACTTGCCTGCTCACGCGCAAGAGCCTCACTTGTCTGCCTACTAGTACTCATGGCTTGTTTGCATACCCACTCCCACCTCTGCTACCTGTTGACGACGCTGCACTGGACAAGTGCCTCGAAAGGATGGACCGCGGCATCAGCAATGCCAAATGTACAGAAAGGAACAGCGTGGAAGACGTACCTTTGCAGCTGACAAAAGGATGGTGGGCACACAGGCGAAGGGCGGGAAAGGTGAGTGCAAACATGGTTGGGCAGGTTTGCTAATAGCGAGCACAGGGTCACGGTGCAGTGACTCCGCGCAGCATTAGTCTGCTGTGCGATGCGTACAACGACCGCCAGTGCGTCGGGCCAATGCCCTGCATGCAGACATAGCCGACAAATGGGTGAACGAGGAGAACACTGGGCGGGAAAGCAGATGGGTGAGTGGACGGGTGTGCAAGTGTATAAGTGGGGATGCGAGCGGGCGTGTGAGCAAACAGGAAAGCGGGCAGGCAAGTGGATGGACAAGCGGGCGGGTGTGCAAGCAGGCGGGAGAGTGGGTGACTGAGCGGGCGAGTGGGCAGGCAGGTGGGCGATTGATCAGGTGGGAAAGCAGGCAGGTGGACAAGTAGGCAAAGCAAGCACACAGGTGGACGAATGGGCACTGGGAAAGCTGGCAAATGGACAAGCAGGTGAGCGCAAATGCTGGTTAATGGGTGGGGATATCATTCATTTGCTCAACAAGCCTGCGCAGGACATGAAGGCTCGTGCTGACACACAATCAGAAGCTGGTGAGTCCCTGGGTTATGTACTGTATCTGCGCACAGGAAAATTGAATGCCCATCCCAGGCTAGCACATAGACAGCCTCGCATGTCCTCCTTGAGCACCGGATGAGGACCTTGCATGTTGATACACCTCTAGGCTATCTAAGCCCCAAAAACGCGATCTAGGCCTCTACGATGCTCCGAAGCTCTTAGAAGATCCACTACAACTGTTCGAAGATTTCGAAGTTTGTAGCCAATCCTGGCTCACCTTAGAAGCCTATCCATGACCTTCTGACACCTCAGTGACCCTATAGGAGCACCTACCCACCTATCTAGACGACCCCAGAGCACGCAGGTTACTCAAAGATGCACTATGTGTTAGAAGACACTCAAACATGTTAGAAGACATGCTACAATGTTAGAAGACGTGCTACGGTGTTAGAAGAACTCCTACAAGACCATAGGATGCTACAGGATGTCCAGTGAGTCCTTGCAGGTCGTCTCACATCCTCGACAAGTGGTTTCGGTTTCCGGTGTCGTGTGATAGCCGGTCGGCCTTTGGACCACTGGTTAGCGAGCCCAAGAGCAGTTGTCACGTGTTATAAGCCATAGCCGGATGTTCGGGGCCATCGGAGGTCCGTAGTGGTGATAGCCGTGTTTCCCTGTATATACCTGGGGACTTGTTCCCCTCGAATCTCAGAGACCCCCTTACCCTCTCAATCTCACCTCGCACGGGCGAGGTTCGTCAGTCAGCCAGTACGTCCGAAGTCAGCAAGTTCGCCAGTCAGTCAGTACGTTCAAAGTCAGTCAGTCAGTTCGCCAGTACGTTTGCCAGCTCGTAGTTGCCCCGAGAGGCTCTACACTTCTTCCCCTGCCGTCGCTCGCCTCCCTTGTCACCTTTCATTCGACACATCTGTCGAAAACCTCCTTCCTACCTTCGAGGCTTAGCCCTCGTCTTCGAACAGTCTTCGATGTCTTCGAAGCTCTCACGCGTTGTTCGGAGTCTTGTCCGTCCTCCTCCTTCTTACCTAGACCACTGTACAGTCCCCTGTACATCTCATAGATGCAGAGGCCTCGCATACCACTGCTCGACCTCACGGTTGGGTTTTTGTGTGGCTTTTGTGTTCTTTTTGGTTGTGTCAACGTATATGGAGGCCCCTGCGCCCAGCGCCCAGCGGAGATCCCAGGGGTGGAGGACTGGGGTGTCCCGCTGCCTGCAGACCATGGGCTCGAGCACAAGAGCGGGCGGGCAAGCCGGTGGGCAGGCAAGTGGCCGGACAGTGAGTGAGCAGATGGACAGGGCAAGCCCGGGGCAGCACCACAAGCACAGCGACCGTGAGCATGCAGGGCAAACACCCAACGCGCAAGCACAGCCAACGAACAGGAGCCGGGCATGTGAGCAAACACGGTGACCGCGATGGTGGTCAACCATGAGCACCTACATGATTGCCCATGCATCCATGTGCCCACCAACCCACCTACTTGCCTGTGGACCCACGGACCCGCCTGCACCCGTACAAAACCCATACCCATTGTCACGGGTCAGTACCCGGGGCGGGAACGGGCACGGGTACACCTCAGGACACCCGCGGGTGTACCCATGCTCTGCACTAGCCACCGCACCAGCACTTGTTGTCCGACTCTGTGTTTTTGAGTGCCAGGCTTAATGCACCTCCCAGGTTCAGCTTGGAAGATTAAGAGACAAGGCTTGGGCTATACATTTTAAAGGCAGATTAATAGCAGCTCACGCAAATAATCATTGTGGGCAATCAGTATATTGCACCTAAGAGTTGAGTAAGTATCTGAGGTAGTAGCTCAGCCACCGCACTGGCACTTGTTGTTCAACACAACACAACTCTGTGTTTTTGTGCAGCCAAACATTCCTATGCTCTGGGTTCAATCCAGGATCAAGCATACTATTCCATTGACCACTATTAGATGTGTCTATATATCAAGGTCAAAGATCCATCTCAGCCTGTCCTCTGCACTATCATCCAAGTCCGAAATTACTAGGAACTATCTTTGATTATCTGGTGCTCAAACAGTCACATGCACTGTGGGAAAAACCTGCCACATTGGGCTCCATGCTAAGTGTTACATTCTCTCCAGTCATAAGAACAATTCCTTTGTACCTCAGGGATTGTAAAACCAAGGTAAATGGGACTCAATATGTCCAGCTGCTTTGGTGACCTTTTTGGGGTTTGAAAACAATTCTCATCAAAACAGCTGGAACAAGGTTAGTCAGGAACATGACAGTGAGTACTTAGCACCCTTTGGACTGCAATTGGGATGTCTCATGTGGGTTCAGATTCTTCAGAAAATCTACCAAAGCACACTGCAATGTGCAGCAACATCAAATAAGTCAGCAGGTCTCATTTCAGTGCTGGTAGAATTGAGACTCAATGGATTCACTCACCGGCAGCATGAGATTTGGTGCACCATGTTTGGGATGGCCACCTGTGGCCCCTTCAAGGGTGGGTTACTCATAGGTACCTGCACCTACCAGGGTGAAAGGTTCTGAAATTGATGGATAGGCCCAAACTACATCATAACAATGGCCAGATGTTGCACTGTAATGTTAGACGCACCCCACCACCATTGAGTGCCCATGAGCACCTAGTTCGGGTGCCTCCAGTGCTCTGTGCTTCCTCCCACCATTTTGGTGCACCTACCACTCCACCTCACTTCTTGAGGATGCTGCCAATCAATGGTAAGGCTCAGCATTCCAAGGCTGTGATCCGTGCAGGGCCTCAGGAGTACCCGCTCAATGTGTTACCACTGTTACCAGTGCAGTGGCCTCATCCGCGGGTGCTGGAATCAACCCCACCCAAAATGGGAGCAAGATGAGGGTGTCCACAAGGCTGAAGGAGAAGATGATGATGATGATGTGATTCCTCTGGCCATATTGTTGAATGAACTCCAGTCTCCAGGTCATCGAGGATGCACTCAAAGCCTATACAAAGATGTTTCCCCAAGCTATGTCAGGTGACCACTTGTGGAAAGAGGTGTTGGACACTTCTGACCGGATGTCAGAGATTATGTCGCTCAGGATTGCTGACCGTGTTGACATTGTGGATGAAATGGGTGTCTGGAGGGCCCGTGTTGCCACATGCTACAGTGAAGGCATACACATCATGAACCACTGTGCAACATAATTTGGCTACCTTGTTGACACCATGAATGGGTCCTCGGCATGACAAGGGGCCCAACCCTGGGGTAACAAATGGCCCCACTGCATCACTAGAAGCAATGATCCATGGGACCTTCCAGACAGAATGGTGTGGAGTGGAACATCTGTGCGGATTCTACAGAGTGAGGTTATCAACTGGGAGCAGGAGGAGATCAGGCTCACAAATAGGTAATGATTGAGAATGCAACCCTCAGCTCCATATTTGGCCCGTTGCATTTGATTGTGACCCTGGAGACTTGAGCTCCATGGCATAACCCAAGGCAGATCATGCTTTGTCAAACACACCCATCATGGTACGTTGCCATTGTAACATGGCTTCAATCTCACCATGCTGATTCTCTGCAGCCCCATGATGGTGATTCCCCTGAAAGTGGAGATGAGGATGCCTTAGGAGAGGACAATGACATGGACAAGGAGGGATCCATAGAGGGTGGTCCACCTGCTGTCTGGGTACCACCCATGGCCTTACCTGCACCCATCAAGAAGACATTGGTGAGCTCTTACATTTCTGCTCCTGAAATGTGATGTTCTGGATGAGTTTCAGAAGGACACAGAGCTGGAGAATGTCATACATGCAGGTGTTGGGAGCCACAAACATCAAAGCATGCAGGTACAGGACTCAAACAACATCCAGCCCAGGCAGTTTCAGAATATGCAGTTGCCAATTCAATGTGGAGCCAGCAACAAGGTCGAGATGGTCCGCACACAGCTCAATGTTGTGCACATGGGTGGCCTAGTGGCCCCTGCCAGATGGACAACCCGCACATGCAGCCTCAGGTTGCGGTGCTGTACACTCTGCCTCAAATTAATTCCCCACCACCCTTGTCTAACCAAGACATTGAGGATGAAACAGAGATGAAGAAGGGGAGGCTTGCAAAGTGCCCTCACACAAGTAATGCCAGCAGAAGCTCATCAACTCCAGCCTCTCCTGACCACAAGAAGATCCAACTGGCCAAACCAGTGCTCTTGTTCCCAACAGAAGTTGCTCTGGTGCATGTTACCAATGGTGGGCAACTCTGTTTGTGTCAAGAAAGAAAAGGGGGGTATTGCTGTTAGCCACCAATATGATTCACATCTGCACTAACAGCACAGTAGCCATGCACCTTATCAATGAGTCTGTTCTCATCTACCTTCCGATTGTGGAGCCATTACAATCCCTGAGGCACAAAGGAATCATTCTTATGACTGGAGGGGATGTAACACTTAGCATGGAGCTCAATGTGGCAGGTTTTTACCACAGTGCATGTGACTGTTTGAGTGCCAGATAAGCAGAGATAAGGAACAGGTACTATGCTATCATTAGCTGAGTCTCAAATTTCAGACTCCCAGACAACGTGACTTGCACCAACACACCAACACACCCAAACAAATGCTGTGGCTGACAATTCCCCATGGACTTGGGCCTCCTGTAATGTCTAGCTTGGAGCCCAATATGGAAAGTGGTGAACATGGCATGTGACCTAACCAATGGCACTGGGCTCCATTAAGATTAATCACTTCATGAACAGCAACCACTCACTAATGGGTATGGCAATTATACAGTCACAGTGTAGCCCTTGTTTCATAGAGTCTACAGTAGTTTTGTTGGGCCCCAATAGTGGCTAGTTGGGCCAGAAAATGCAAAATACAAAAAAAAAACACAAGTGACTTTGCAGAATTTGAACTGCTCATTTCCACCCTAGATATGTAGCACATGACCCATACAGTATAGCCATGTGTGTCAGACATCATGAACATGCTTTATGGTGCCATAACAGAGCTGAGAATGGGCAGTATTGGCTGATTTCATGCTTGTACATGGTATTATTGCTTACCTTCCATATATGGTAATATGTTTTCAACATCAGCATGCCATAGTACTCTATGAATATCTTCTGATTTATCTGCAATTTATGAACCACCAGACATTCACTTTGTGGAGAATTACTGGATTTGGAAGGTTACTCACCATTTAGGGCAATGTGAGTGTTTGTGATACTTCTTGTGCAAAAGCCCTCCCACAACTTGCCTGGAATGTGTATGTTCCTGGAAACATCAGTTACAGATCACTGAGTATGTATACATATCTCTGTTGCACCCAAAAAGGCACAATGGCCACTGTGTCTAGCCAGTCACATGATCCATGACATGGGGTCTCAACTAGGGTAGCGTATGAAAGGGGTGTGTTTGAAACATGGCAATTCTTTACAGTAATTTACATGTTTATTACCTGTAAAATACAGCACTTCCAGAAGGCCATGTGAGAAAGTGTAAAAAACAAAAGTCATGTGAAAATGTTGGCTGCCTCTCGATGCATTGTGTCGGGCCTCGGGCAACGGCTCTTGCATAATCTTCAATCTGGATTGATGTGGCTCAGGGATCTCGATGTGTACAGATTTCTTGTGGGTTTCCTTCCTCAAACAAGCTTTGCAGCAAACATGTAGACTGGATGTAACACTGTAGTAACTGACTGGCATGTCTCAGGCTGACTAGTAACACTTACTATGCCATCATTAGCTGAGTTTCATATTTCAGACTCCCAGACGACATGACTTGCACCAACATCACCAAACAAATGCTGTGGCTCAGTGCTTTGTCCTGGGGTGAGGGCCCAAGAAAGGCTTCGAGTGGTGTCCAATATGGCAACTGGTGAGCATATCATATGACTGGCAGCCAAGCAGCACACAGTCACTGCTGCTAGCACTCACAAATTGTAGTGCACATAGTATACCTATAGCTAGAGTGGCTGGCTGGTCCAGAAAATGAAAAATAAAAAAATCCCCATGTGCCTCTGCAGATGTCACAGTGACTTATTGTGCCTCAGATCTGTTCCATATGCATGTAACCATGTATATATGTGGCACTGACACTGTACAGCTCCGCTGATATTGTGATACAGCCAAAAGCAACAACACTGAGCCATTTGAGCCTCTTTTAATCGATTGGTGTCCATCTACACAATGTATCAATGTCCATGAGAATTCTAGGTACTCATATACTTTTCCCTGATGCTTCCATATATTTGAGAGATTTTCTGTATTTTTGTGGGCTCCATACACCCCATTTCTTGCCCTAATTCCTCTTTGCCAGTGGGTAGTACTCTATATGGCAGTTCCACTATGACAGGCTTTATCTTGCACATAGACACAATCTGGGGATACGTAATGGCCATCCATGCATATGTATTCATGCTACTATGATGTCAGGCTTTCTGTGCTGCAGAGACACTGCCTGAAGCTTGATAATAGGCTTGCATGAGTTCCTGACTGTGAATTTCACCTTGTTATTGAGTATACTGCCCTAGCTGATGCAACAATTGTATCATGGAAGACTATAAGCATGTTGCCTGGTTCATTTTGAATATTGGCTGAATATTCCGCTTTTTTCTGAGTCTATAGAACCACAGTTAAGCACAGTAACAGTCTGCACTTAGATTGCTTACTAAGCACTCATTAAGCACCTGTTGCTGAAGCGGACTTGTAGACAAATGCAGCCCTGCATTTGTGTGCAACTCAGCTCACCCAAAGGGGATTTTGGAGCACTGTCATTGGTTGAACCAACAGCAAACCTTGCCTTCTAAGGGAATCATTCAATCTCAGCTCCCCATGCTGAGTTTTTTGATGGCTTGCCTAATGTGGTCAGCAGCACTGTCTGGACTCTTACTAGAGCACATTCAATGTGGAAAAATCTCACAATATTGATTCTCATGCAATGCACCATGCACACAGGTATGGAGATCCAAATTAGGTATCCCAGTGCTTGTTCAGTGTACTGACCATGGCAAGTGATGGAAAGGCATATGTGCAAATGTTGTTTCACATTACAATCCCTGAGGTACGAAGGTATCGTTCTTATGATGGACCACCATGAAACGCCTTAGTGATTCCTCCGGAATGGCAGTTTGTTCCCACAGTGCATGTGACTTGCAGCCACCCCTATAAGCAGAGATAAGTAACTGTTAGTATGGGTTGCTTATCTGAGTCTGAAATTTCAGACTCCCAGACGACGCGACTTGGACCAACAGATACAAACAAATGCAGTGGCTAAGCGCTCAGTTATGGATATGAGGCCCATGAAACACCTTAGCAGTTCCCCCAATAAGGAAACTGGTAAACATATCATGTGACTGGCAGCTTGGTGGGCCATTGCTCCAAGCGCTCACACACTGTAGGGCCTATATAGCCTCAGCCAGTAACAAATCATAGTATACATAGTATGCTCATCTGATAGCCCTTCATTGAGAGAGTATACAGAAATTCTATTGAGTGTATACAGTGGCTGGCTAACCCAGGAAATGCAAAGCAAAAAAATGCACATGTGCCTCTGCAGATTCAATCTGCTTGTTTATGACTCAAATATGGTCTATATGTACACTGCAATGTATATGTGTAGTTCAGACACTGTGGACTACTCAGTAGCTTCAATAATACAGGTGACAAGGACTATAATGGGTAATCTGAGCATCTTTTGCCATATTATGGCCCTCGCATACAATGTAATGGTAACCATCGCAGCTCAAAGCAATCATACACTTGTCTTTGATGTGTCTGTATATTTCATAGGTTTTCTGCATTTTTCTCAGCCCTACATGCCCCTGTTTGTGTATGATTCCTCTTTGGGAAGGTCACATACTTCATATGGTAATTATGCATCCACTGCTGGCTTTGTCTTGCTCACAGACACAATCTAGGGATACATACCTGAATGTGTACTTACACTACCATCTTATAGGGTTGTCCAGTACATGAGCAGTTCCAAGAGTGAAGTAGCAGGCTTATATAAGCTCACTGGGGCCACAGCAACCATCTTACCAGGTTATTGAGAATGCTATCTGATCTGATGTCAAACCCATGCCATATACAGCTTTATTCACATTGCCTGGCTCATTTTGAATATTGTCTCAATTTTCCGCTTTTTTCTGAGCCTATACAAGCTCTCTTAAGCACAGTAACAGTCCGCACTTACATCGCTTACTAAGCGCCCAGATGCCGTTCGGAGGTGCAACCGTGCGGAAATTTGGCACGGTTGCACCTCCGAACGGCACGAGAGGGATGCCGAGCTGCTCTGATTGGTGCAACAAGCCCTTTTCTGCCCTAATCAGGCAGGCTGCCGAGGTTTTGAGCTGAGTTTGAATCTCAGCCACAGGCTCCTTAGTGGCACTGTACCTGCTGTACTGTGGCCTCACTAAAATGCGGAAAATTCCCAAAATAATCTCTGTGATAGGTATGATGTCATAGAGTCTATAGCTGCTGTGACTTGCCCATTACCTTCACTGGTCATGGCACAATTCACAAAACAAAAAAACATGCAAATGCCTCTGTGCACATGAGTGCATCCCTTTTCACCTCAAAAGTCTCTCTTTTGAAGCCTATATGCTGCCCACAGATTCTCTGACATCTCAAACCTGCTAAATAGGGTAGCTGACCTTCCTAAAATGGTAATTTTGCTTAACCTGCTCAGTCTGGGCTCACAAAATGCAGATAAAATTAGGGAATATTATGTGTAATCAGACTCATCTGTATTTCCTTGTATATGAAGGCAATTCATCTTGTATGGAGGCCCCCACAATATATCACTAGTATGACTTGCCCAGTTGTTTGAAATTCAGGAAACAGAGAAACACATGCATGAATGTGTGGCATTTGACTGGGATACACTGACTGAAATCTAATCAACTCTTATAGCGGTTATAGAGATGATAAACTCATTTGATAGCCCATCATTTCAAGGGTTAATCATACATTGGAGGAATGAAGAACAAAGGACAACATTTAGAGAATCACAAGTGACTGTGCAGATATGAATGGCTTGTTGTCTCTGGAACACATTGCCTATGACCTGTTACGATCCTTGAGGTACGAAGGTATCGTTCTTATGATGGACAGGCCTGAAACACTTCCAGTGGTGCCCAATGTGGCAGTTTTTTCCCACAGGTACACTCATTTGCCCCCAGCTTACCATGTATAATTAACATTTGTTATGGTCAGTTAGCGGAGTTCAAATTTTTCAGACCCAGACGATGCGACTTGCACCAACACCACCAAACAAATGCTGTGGCTCAGTGCTTTGTCCTGGGGTGAGGGCCCAAGAAACACTTCCAGTGGCGCCCAATATGGCAACTGGTGTGCATATCATGTGACTGGCAGCCAGGCAGCTCACTGCTAGCGCTCACACTTACAGGCTGCCCCATAGCCCTAGTTAGTAACAATAGTGAGTGGACTTAGTATACTGATCTGATAGCCCTTCATTCAGAGAGTATACACTATCATTATTGAGTAGCTAGAGTGGCTGGCTGGTCCAGCAAATGCAAAATAAAAAAACCCACATGTGCCTCTGCAGATGTCAAAGTGCCTATTCGTGCCTCAGATGTGTTCCATATGTCTGTGATGACATACATATGTGATTCAGACACTGTACAACTCAGTGGGTGCTACACTACAGCCAAAATCAGCCACAATGAGCCATTTGACCCTCTTTTCACATGTTTTAGTCCATGTACATGGTGTAGTGATGTCTATAATAATCCCAAGCACTCACATTCTCCTATTGGGTGCTTCTGTATATTTGACAGATTTTCTGCATTTTTGTGAGCTCCATGGGCACCACGTCTTGTCCTACTTCCTCTTTGGGTAGGACACCTACTCTATATGGTAGTTGTGGCATGTAGCTGGCATATAGACACATAGACACAATCTGGGGATATATAATGGCCATCCATACATATGTATTCATGCTACTATGATGTCAGGCTTTGTATGCTGCAGAGACACTGTCTGATGTGTGATCATAGGCTTATATGAGCTCACTGAATGTGAATCTCACCGTGTTATTGAGTATACTGCCCTAGTTGATGCAACAATTGTATCATGGAAGGCTATAAGGATTTGACCTCATTCATTCTGAATATCTTTCGAATATTCCGCTTTTTTTGAGTCTATACAAGCCCTCTTGACACAGTAACAGTCTGCACTGACACCACTTACTAAGCACTCATTAAGCGCCCATTGCCGAAGCGGACTTGTATACAACTGCAGCCCTGCATTTGTCTGCAACTCAGCTCACCCAAAAGGGATTTTGGAGCAATGTCATTGGTTGAACCACTGGCAAACCTTGCCTTCTAAGGGAATCATTCAATCTCAGCTCCCCATGCCGAGTTTTTTCTTGCCCAATGTGGTCAGCAGCACTGTCTAGACTCTTACTAGAGCACATTAAATGTGGAGAAATCTCGGAATATTGACTCTCATGCAATGCTCCTTGCACACAGGTATGGAGGTCCAAATTAGGTATCCCAATGCTTGTTCACAGTGTACTGACCAAGGCAAGTGATGCAGAGGCATATGTACAAATGTTGTTTTGCATTTACTGCCCTTACTGGAGAGTCCTACAGGCTGACAATCTTATGCAGGGGCCTATGGCTACCAGATATGAAAAAATCACCATATATGGTAGATCCCTTGCCTGTTTGGGAAGTTGATGATAGATCACCTTTACAGTGTTGCATAAATGGCGGGAAAATGAGCAAAGTATTAGATAACACTATTGTCCCATTGTGGGTTGACAGGACTTATGTGTGTACTTGTGGATGAGATGCAAAGGGATAGCAGAAACACAGAGTCTGGTGCAATAGGCTCAGCCACATGCCATGTGAGGTTCACTCGTCCACAGGTCAAAATTTTGACCTGTGGACGAGTCATCTTGCAGTGTAGTCTCCCAGACTCCACTGAAATATGCTGTTTAAGGGAATTAGCCTCTGACTGGCCTTACTGTATTTGACCAAAGGCTCTCAAGTCCATGTATCTGCTGTACTGTAGCCTTCACAAATACGACAAATCCCCAAAATATTCTCTCTGATAGGTATGATGTCATAGAGTCTGTAGCTGCTGTGACTTGCCCATCAACTTCAGTGGTTATGGCACAATTCACAAAACTCAAAAACCCACATATGCCTCTGTACACATGAGTGCACTGCTTTTAACCTTCAAAGTGACTCTATCAAAGCCTGTAGACTGCCCATTGATTCTCTGACATCTGGGATCTGCTATATAGGGAAGCTGGCCTTCCAAAAATGGCAGTTTCCATTCAGCTGCTCAGTCTGGGCTCAGAAAATGCTGATAAAATCTGGGAATATTATGTACAATTGAATTAATCCATGATTCCTGCTGTATCTAAGAAATTGATCCTGTATAGAGCCCTCAGAGTCTATAACTAGCATGCCTTGCCTATATATTCATAATCCAGAAAAGAGAACCTCTGTGGACAGTGATTCCAAATATGAATAGGTTGTTGTCTCTGAAATACATTTGATATGACCTGTATAGACCATGCACATAGTCCACACAGCATGAGTGTGTCTGGAATGTGCACAGCACTGCTATGAGTGGGGAAATATTGTCATAACATGCCTGTGTTGATTTCTTATAACTGAATGACCATGTATTGAGGTTCCCTCTACTTCAAATATGCTTAGGGATATTCCACAGATCTCCTAGAACATTATCCGATTTTCTGGGACTTTTTTGAGCCCCAAACAAGTCAGTTTCACTGCAGAAACAGTATACACTTACATTGCTTACTAAGTGCTCAATTAAGCGCCTGTTGCCAAAGCGGAGTCGTCGACAGGCCGGAATTCCCACCTGCGCTTCCCACACTATGCCATCAATTAGGCTTGACACATGATAGCATGTGATCGCCCTAGTTAGGCTTCGTCCACACTGATCACCTTACACTGCGTTAAACACTGCGTTAAATCTGGGACTTATCAAACGAGTCCCTGGGCCCTCCGGCTATTCCGGGTACGTCCCGTGCGAGCGCTTGGCCGCTGCTAGCGAGGCAGGGCGCCCGATGCCATCAGGTCCCGTGATGGACGTCCCGTATGGTTCCTCGCTGGATATGGCAGTGCCTCTGGCCTCGCCACATCATCAGGCGCACTCGCCGTCAGCGCGCTCCCGCCACCCACCCCTTTCCCGTTATAGACAGCCCACACGTGACTGCCCATTTCGGTTCTCTGCTGGCACTCCCGCGTGATCCTGGATGATCGGAGCCCGGTGCTCCGCAACGTGATCGCTGGCCCGTGTGCACCGTGCTCGCCGGCACTTCCCCTCTCCTCCCTGCTTACCGCCTACACCGTCGTGCCAGCTCATCACACCTGCTGTCGTGCTCGCTGGCACCCTTGGTCTCGCCCAGTGCTGCCTCCTCGCTGCCGGGTATGTCTGTCTCGCTTCTGGTCGTCTTTGTGCTAATGTCTCTGCCTTCAGCACCGTGCTCGCCGAGCCGGTCCCGCTGCAGCTCAGTGCCATGTGCACTGAGTTGGTTGACGACCTCTGCTTGCCGAGTCACCACCTTCGCCGCCACGGCCGCCTATGTACTGTGCCCGACTTAGCAAGCTCGCTATGGTGAGTGTCATGCTCACCGTGTTCTCCCCATTTCCTTCCCCACTCCCATTCTGTCGACCTTGCCCCCTTCTTGCCTGCCTCCCGGTTTCCTTCCCCACTCCCATTCTGTCGAGCTCGCCCCCTTCTTGCCTGCCTATGTCAAACAAATATGTAGTAGTAAATTCGTAGACCTGTAAGTAGATAGACAATGACATGATTGGGTCCACATAGCATGAGCATTGATGGTGCGATGTGTAGCTCGGGAGTGTCGTGCTCCCGGGCGCGATGTTTGAGGGGCGGGCTAGTCTGTTGCTTCCGGGGTGGAGGAAATGTGGGTGGAAAGGGGTGCATGATGGTCGAGGGGAGCTGTGCCAATGACGTGGTCTCGTACGACGCCTCAGGGTCGCAGACCTCGTTCTCGGTTCTCCAAGCCTCGCTGTTGACCCCATTCCTGACTCGTTCCGTGGTCTCTGTCCTATCTCGCTCTCGTCCTCGTTCCGAACGTGCCTCACTCTCGCTCTGTAGTTGCTACGCTTGCTAAACTTGTTCCACAGTGGTCTTGTTCTCGTTCCGTGGTCGCCCTCCTCGTTCCGCAGGTTCCTGTGCTCGTTCCGCGAGCTCCTAAGCTAGTACTGCTGATCCTTGTACTCGTTCCGCAAGTTCCTATGCTCGTTCCGCGAGCTCCTGTGCTCGTTCCGTGAGTCCTTGTACTTGATTACGTGCCACTGCGTCCACCGAAAGATTCTCGATTGCCCGAGTCGGTCAACACTGACTGACCCGGGGAGCCTCTCCCAGCTCCAGCGAGTGTATGGGGAAATGCGCGAGCTATGCTCGCAGATGTCTAGATTCGAGGTGGGGAGAGCTGAGCTATGTACATGTCTTCGTGGCACTGTATGCCGCCGAAGCTGACTAATAGTAGGTACTTGCTATATATGGTAAGTAATGCGAAATCGCACGAAGTCCATCAGGTACAATAGAAATGGGGTATCGGAAGGAATAGCGAAGGTTGTCAATATGCTCGGAGGGAATGGCACTGACCAGGTAGCTCAAAATAAGGGATATACGTACTGTCCGGGCCTATGTGGGGGGCACTCCCCACAGCGAACACGAGAGATCATACAGCAACATTCGGAGAGGTGAGTCTTACGCATGCTAGTCATCCACATCGTCGGGGACGAACTCAGCGCTCTTCGGTTCTGCGACACGGCGACACTTGCGTGATTGACCCTCGCCATCATCTCCGCTCTCGTCGTCGTCACTGCTCTCCTTCTCCACATCACCGCCCGCCGTTGCCACTGCCGCCGCCGTCGCTGCCTCCTTGCCCTTGCCCTTGGCCCTCGACTTCTTGGGCCGCACGTGCTTCTTTCCCTTGTCCGAGTGCTCCTTCCGCTTTTTGACCTGCCCACCCGCAAGCTTCTCGGCGAAGGATGCCTTGAGCTTCTCACGCTCTTCGGGGGTGGTCTTCTCCCAATGACAGGCACCCGACTGAAGGGCTTGCCACTGTGCTTTGAGAGGGGGGATGCTGGTGCTGAGCTCAGATGGGTTCTTGAACTCGCTGAGGAGCCAACCACGAAGAATGACGCCGCGACGGAAGACGATCTCCTGCTCATAGTTGATGTAATTCATTTGGATGTTCAATTCACCAGTGATCGTGGCTGCAGAGCTGTCAGCATAAAACTTGTAGGGTGCATTTGAACATACCTAAGCCTTCAAGGATCTTCTGCCTTATGAGCTTCTTGAGATGCTCGGCCTTCTCTCGAGCAGTGCGATAGAAGGCTATGTGATTGATGTCATGGTTAGTTGAAGAGACATAAGCAACACACGTACTCACACATGAAATCACAGCCTGCAACCGAGAAAGCCTCCACCAGTGCTCCAATCTTCTCTAGGTCCCATCCCTTGAAGTTGGTACCAAGATAATCGTTGATTTGCGATGCCGTGATGTACCATCGCGGGTCCATAGTGAACTCGTGGTTGTTACGGACCATGAGCACCATGGCCTCAATCCCGACGCGTGCCTTCAAACCTTTCAACTGGGTATTCATCATTAATACAAATGTGACTCGAGCAAAGATTAATGTTGCGCACCAATTCGGTGATCTGTTTCCAGACGTTGTTCGCGTCTGCCAACCGCCCACGCTGATTCAACCGGAAACCCATCTGCCGCGACTCCCTTGCATCCTGAACCTCTTCCTTAAGCTCCTCCTTCGTCTCGTCGGAAAGTTTGTGATACGAGTCTCGATACTCGGTAGACATCTCGATGAGTCCCACGCGATCTCCAGGCTGAGCACCTGTAGTAAGTAGTTAGACTGATAGAATTCTGTCGATTCATGTGTACATTATCTTTATTGGCCTCCATCATGAGTTGACGTTGCCAGCCATTGTACGCGTTCGGTGATGAGCCCTTAGCTCACCTACCCACCGAAAACGCGATTTACGGTCGATACGACAGTACATTAAGTCAGTCCGGTCGACACGCAATCTGTCCTTTCGAGGGACCCGCCCGATGTCCCGTCCGTTCGAGGGAACCACCCGACGTTCGAAGCTCGAATGTCCGTGTTCGGGACCCTTAGTGCCAGAGGCAAGCGGTTTAGAAGTGTCGCTACATTGGTAGGACTCCGAGGCAAGTACATGGCTACGTCAACCTAGCTAGTGACGACCCCGGCAATTCTCGTATCTATGTCCTCGACCACCACACCCATGACCTCCACCTCTACCCCTACGAACAGACGGACCGGCGTCGAAGCCGCGGTCGGTGTTGACGCGTTCGAGCAAGCTCTCGAGCAATCTGACGAGGGTGCCGTGCGTGCGGCGCTGGTCGACTGCGATGTTGTGAATCGCTCGACCCATGGACTCGAGGTTGTCGGGCAGCTGGCGGAAGTCGGAAAGGATCAACAACTCGCGCTGATACTGCGGGTTCGCAAGAGGACGACGCTCGGCCTGGTTAACTTGTTCGAGCAGCACCAAGGTCTCGGACCAGGCGATCGTAGGGTAGGGCGAACCTAGGATATCTCCCTGGTTGCCATCGCGGTGGAAGACCTCGTCGAGGTAACGCATCAACTCGTCGATCTCGGGGAACGACCTAGGAGCAGGAAGTGTATCGTTCGCCAGCAGGATGGCCCAGCTGCGGGACTCGAACAAGAATCGCTGTTCGAAGGTCGGTTCGATGGTTCGAACGATAGTCTAAGTTCGGAGGCACGTACGATCATCCAACGGACTCCGTGGGCCCAAGCCAGCCACTCTCCGGGACTGTTGGCATCGTATCGCGGCTCGACAAGTCCCTCGGTCTTGAGGACCTCTAGGAGGCGGTAGTAGCGGGCAGCATACGCTTCGGAAGTTGGGTCGAGGTGCGGCATGTTTGTGTAAGTCAGGCGAACTCCTGCAGCTGTCTCATATCTTCGAGGACTGTCACCGGCCCCGGTTATGACCTTCGCCGCTCGGGGACGGTCGCCCGTTATGCAGAACCTGCGGAAGGCCGAGTTGGATTCTCTCATGTGTTAGTAGGTCCGGGTCGAGCATTGTGACATTCTCCGATTGGCTGCTTTCCTTATCACTTTCATTCATCATTTCTTGTATTTCTCTTGGCTCTCTTGGTCTTCAGACCGTATTTTCCTGTATATACTCTGGGACTTGTTCCCTTCGAATCTCAGAGACCCCCTTTCCCTCTCAATCTCACCTCGCACCGGCGAGGTTCGTCAGTCAGCCAGTACGTTCGAAAGTCAGCAAGTTCGCCAGTCAGTCAGTACGTTCGAAGCCAGTCAGTCAGTCAGTTCGCCAGTACGTTCGCCAGCTCGTAGTTGCCCCGAGAGGCTCTACACTCTTTCTCCTGCCGTCGCTCGCCTCCCTTGTCACCGTTCGTTCGACACGTCTGTCGAAACTCTCCCTCCTACCTTCGAGGCTTAGCCCTCGTCTTCTAACAGTCTTCGACATCTTCGAAGCTCTCCCACGTCGTTCGGAGTCTTGTCCGTCCTCCCCCTTCTTACCTAGACCACTGTACAGTCCCCCGTACATCTCATAGACACGGAGGTCTCACATACCACTGCTCGACCTCACGGTTGGGTTTTTGTGTGGCTTTTGTGTTCTTTTCGGTCGCGTCATCGGTTTTCGATTTTTTTGCTTCTTCAGGCCACCGGAGAACATAAGGCCAAGGAAATGCTGGGCATCCTTGTCATACTTTGCTGCAAGCTCGTGAGCGTATGCCTCCGAGCTGTCATACCATTTCTGAATGTCGGCATCAATCGCCTCCGACTTAGCTCTTGAAGCTGCCTGCATCGCACGGAGAGTGGCCGAGTCGTGGTTCGGGGGCTTCCTGGTCGTGGGAGCAATTGGCCTCACGGCAATAGCTGCCTGCGGGCCATAAGTGACCTCAGTGGGCATGTGGTCTGAATTCGAGAAGCTGCAGAACACGTCAAGTGACACTCTCAAGCCAATCACGAATTTCAACGACTTACTGTTAAATGAATGGTTGGGCATGCTCAACACAGTGAGCAGAAGACGAGAGGAACAGAAAAAAAATCCAGAGGGTATGGGGAATGTCAAGACAGGCTGAGCTGGCATTGATAATTGCTACATTGGCAATGGGACAACACGTGAGGGGAATCATATAGGTGCATGTGACAGAATTCAACAGACAGATTTTACAAAGTGATATACAGCAGAGCAGTAGACAGATGTACGACGTTCAGAAAGCAAGATTGGTATATCGACTTAGCACGAAGCTCAAAGTCCCTGGTCCTTCTTCATCACAGCCGCCAGCTCCCTCGCCACCTCCATGTGAAGACCATGAAGGTTGATCTCGTGAACATAGTTTTCAGGAAGGGAGTTGCGTTCGAGCTTCCAAAAAGTCTCGTACCAATTGTCGGGAAGACCAAACTCGGCAAGGGCCTTCTTGGAGTGCTCGCCGAAAGGCACAAGCAGAGCGTGTACAGGGTGACACGGAGAAGCCGGTTGCCTGAAGAGAGGGACTCGCTGACTAGGCGGAACATTGTCGCCATACGTCTGTGGGGCGCACGCGGCGGGACTCGAGATGGACGAGATGGACGAGACAGACGGCATGGTATCAGAGATAACAGTCTGCGCCCGCGCCCCAGAGGTCTCCGAGTCAGCGAGCGCCACCGGTACAGGCGTCGGGTTGCGCGCGAGAGCTATTGCAGCCAATTAGTGTTAGAGTCGAGGGGACTGGTGGCCACTCACCAAGCTGGAGCTTGAGGATCTCCAGCTCCTCACTGCGGCACGACAGCTCGACGAATTGAATGCTGCTGCGCCGCTCGAGCTTCTCGAGCTTCTCCTTCAGGAGCCGGATCTCCAGCAGGTGTTCCTGCTCGCGAGTGCGAAGTTCATCGCTCTCGTCGAGGGTGTCATCGCTGTCTGAGGCCACACTCCCTTCCGATGGAGGGGCGTCACCCTCCGGCACCGATCCCGGCCCTTCTGACGAGGTGTGATCACTCTCGTAGAGAGGCAATAGGTTCGTCGTGCAGGGCTGGTGCTTCTCCTCCTCGGCCGTGATCATATCCTCAACCTCGCCATCCGGACATCCATAGAACATGTACTGGGTCATTTTGTGCAAAGGAGGTGGGATGAGGGGCGTCCGAGAGGCAGAGCGAACACCGTGGTGAGGTGTTGATGCGAACGGACCTTCGGGGTGCTCGATGAGAGCATACGACTTGATGGATGTGTTGTAGGCAGAGTGGAATTGACGGATAGCAGGGATACCGATTTCCTTCGCGAACTCTTGTGCCATGCGCGCGATAGAGTATCTTGCTTGTCGATCTTCGATGACGAGAGGAGGAGGAATGTACGCATGGATCTTGACGTTCTGGACGTGCAGGACCGTGTTTGGTGGAACATTGGCATTGACATGCATCATGACAGTGGCACCACCGGTGAACCGATCCCATGCTGTCAGCTGCAGGAACAGCAACAAGTGAGCACTCTATATACTTGTGAGAATCAAGCCACGCACCACGTCATATACGATCTCCTCGAACATAATCCTAAATGCCATTTTCTCCACATACCCCTCCGAGTCCGACGTATTGTGCTCCCGCGCGGTGAAGAAGAGTTTGTGGAACTCCCCGTGAGGGGGAACGTGCTTGCCGTCCTTGTGGCAGTCGATGATGAAGTATAGCATGTCCATCTTGTCGAACTTATCGTGGTTCTTGCGGTAGTTGTCGTTGCGCCCCCAGTGAGTATGCACAGATCAAATGCCAAGTGGGTTGAACGAGCATTGCTCAAATGGGAGAGCAACTGCTCTGCTCATTGCACGATAGGTTTTAACCATGAGACGGAAGCCGAGAGTGGCAGAGTTTGAGTAGTGACTGCAGAAGAGTAGGAGTGAGCGAGATGATGCGGTGAGAGCACGAGTGATGAGAGCGGTGCGAGTGTGATATGGTGAGAGCGCAAGTGTGGCTGGCGCGCGGTGAACACAATTATGCCTGCACGACTGCACGCACCGTACGTGCAGCGCATAACAGTTTCGTCAAATGCCTCCTTCTGTGGCCGCAAATTCCGTGCAATGTCCTCTGCATTTCCTAGAAGTAGGGCTGCATTTCCTTGAAGTAGGGAATCCCACTAATGTAGCAATCAAAAAATGGCATTACATTCATTTGTTCAAGTTCGTTCGTGTATACATGCTAATCGAGAAGTTCCGCCGCACTCTCTGTAATGTCTGCCGATTGTGCTCCGAGATTATCTACGAATGTAAGGAATTACGCAGCCTCTTGTTCACCCTCCATCCCTGGTACATCCTCATCATCGCCACTCTCGTCGTCATCAGTGCGAGCCTCGTCGCGCGGTAGTAGAGTGGCACCATTGCTCCATGCTGCCCACGTCGGGAGAGGCAACCCAAACGAAGACGCCAGGTCGCGACCTGGATGGCAACCGTGCAGCAGATTCCCAGTGTAACCTGGGAGCTGCGTGACCTTGTAGAGACGGTGCACAATCGTTTTGTTTACCTGATTGCGGTAAAGCCACCTTGTCGAGAGTTCGTGAGCGAGTTCTGGCCTCGAGATGAGGTTGCGAGAGATGGCATGATAGAAGTCGTAGTGCTCGTCAATAATGAAGGTAAAGAGCCGTACCATCTCCACATTGAGATGTTTGATTTCTTTGCCCACTCGTTTGACATTGAAGTACGCTGTCATGGCTTTGCAATTCGCTCTGCAAGCCCATGGGAGCTGTCGGATATCTTGACGTGCGTCTAGTAGCAGGTCAAACTCTGATAATGTTGTCATTTCCATCACCTCGGACCATGTCAGCGACGGCCATGGCAGGACGAGCTGGGCGGCACGGTGATTGTACTCGGTGAGAGCTTTTCGGACTGCTTCTGCGCGGGTCTTCAGTGCCTTCCCAATCTTCTCGCGCATCTTGTACCCTGTGAATGCATGAGAATACAAGTGGCCGCGAACTGTGAGTAGTACTGAGTACTCACCTGTGCCACTCATTCCCAGCTTCGTGAGCTCAAGGAGATGCTGCACGACCAGGCACTCGAGGTTGTTGAGCGTGCACCTGTATTTCCATTGATCGAGCTCACCGAGGTACTGCCTGTATATCGCGTCTGCTGGCTGCCAACGGTCGGCAAGCTCGAGCTCAAGCTTGATGATTTGTGCTTCTTTGTCAAGGGCTTTCCAACGCCCAAACGTGCTTGAGTAGAGTGATAGAATGGTTGTTTCGTTGGGGTTTGCGGCACCGATGCGCTTCATGTGTTCAGCACAGATGTATTCTGTCTTTGCAGCTTGCAATTTTTGCCTGCAACCAGAAGTGAGTGCAGGTAGGATCTCGAAGATGACACTTACCAGGCATTCTCTAACTTCAGCAATACCTCCAGGTAATCGATCCGACGGCTGACCGACAATGGTTCCGCCTTCAGGCGACGTAGATACGCGCGCTCTTCTGCAACATAGTTCTCGTATTCGGCTGGTCCTGCTCGTAGTTCATCTGACAGCACTCGGACGACCTCACCATCAAGACAAATGATTTCTAGAGCTTGCCGGTAGTTGTTCCAGATGAACAAGGCTGAATTGGTCAGCAACACCAGAGACAAGTACGTAGTACTCACCCGATTCTACATGTTTTCGCTCAGCCCAGTGCCCAAAAAACTCCTCAATTGCTTGATGGCGGTGGAAGGCAGTCGAAAGCCGTGTACCCGCAGCAAGTGCATTGGATTCAGAAAACAGGTGTTCACAACCTTTGAAGTCTTCCTTACCGACACCTTCCGTATACAGAGGATGCCAGTCCAGTTGGCATCCCCTGTTGTGGCTATAGCCATGGAAGGCGGCTACGACACCCGAGAAGCGCGCCGCCCGCGCCTTTGCACCAATGGGAGCTTGTCTCCACAGTCTTCGCGAACACGCATGCTATGTCATAGCCGAGTTTGATGTCGTTGCCGTATACGTCGATCATCTTCGCGATGATGGCGAGCGGATATTTCATGCTGCAAGCAACAATCAGATCAATCAGTAGCTATACTAGAATGATGTCAGAAACGTACAGCTCACCGCTTTGGATCATGTCGCACATGATCAGAAGCTGGCCATGTCGGCAAACGGCCACGAAGATCCCAGTGATGGAGAACAGCGCGAACATCTTCTTTCGCACCTCGGGGCCAGCGTTGCGCCAGCGTTCCATGCAGACAGTGACGGGCTCGGCGAGAATGTCGCCTTGATTGACGTTGAGCCAGTCCATGTCATCATCTTGTGGAGCAGCCGCACCTTGGGTACTGTTGGAGGACGATGGGCCGGCATCGCCAGGCACTGATGTGGCAGGCTTTGGCGGCCCCTGGTTGGATCAATCACCACGTCATCTATCAAATGTTTGATGACGTACTCGGCTCGAATGGACATCATCCTTGTAGACGTCAACCTCCTCTGGGGATAGCCAGAGGTCTGTGCGCGCGGTGCGGGGATCCTCACGTGTTGTGCCAGGGCGGAACACGTCATCGACGAGCTTGAGGGACTGGTTACCGTCCATGGTGGCGAGGAGAGCTGGGGTCAATGGATCTTCGCCCTCGAGCACATAGAGGCAGGGTGCACAGGCATGCCACATGCACCAATCCGGGAGGTCGTGCCCAAGCGCTGTGTTAATGAGGCTGTCGACGCGATATAGATGTTGAGATAGACGTCGTAGGCAATACAGAATTGTGTACAGAGATAGGGCTTGTATGGAACCTAAAGGGATAGTGATCAATGACATGTTCCAAAAGAAATGTATGACTTACAGCCTGCAGGCGGCAGAGGGCTTTCACCTGCGCCTGGATGCTGAATCGAGGGCAGGCATGATGCTGGGCGCAGAAGGCCTCAAGGACATGGAAGGAGATCGCGACGGAGGGTTCGAGGGGTGCTGTACCAATGTAGCCATACCGAGTGAGCGTGGGGTTGATGCGCATGTCGATGCCACAGGCCACAAACGTCTTCGACTCACTCCCTGTATCTGATATCATGGCAAGAAACCAACACAGAACACGAGGAACATACCAAAGAAATCAATAGCCCAAAGCGGCCATGCACAATGCTCAGGTCGTGCATCCACCACGTCGCCTGCTCTCCAAGCAAGATACCCTTCAACCAGGTCATCTCGCTGCTCCCTCCACTCGTTCTCGCGGATGGCGACCTGATTCTTCCGCGACCGAATGTCCCTATGTTTCCTTCACGAAGAATGTTGACACGTTGTCGAGATTTGACAGGAGTCTGACGCACCTTTTCACCCCATCTTCAAGGAAGATCGTTCTGCAGAGCTCATCCTCACCACTCAATACCATGCCTTCCTCGCCCGGGGGTATGATATCCACGCAATCCTCCTCCACAGAAGGCTCCTCGTTCGACTCTGTGACGAGGTGTCTGTACACCTCCTGATCATCGAGACACATGCCTGATTGTTGAAATGAGCACTCAGAAGGGTATACACAGCAAAGACATACCAACAACTGTCTCCCGCTGTTCCCTTTCCCTTCGCTCGCAGCGTACGCCAGAGCTGCCTAAGCGGAGCCGAGTCGTGGTTTCAGTTCTCCCGAAGGGAGAGCCATAGGTGACTTTGATCGCCTTCGACAGCCCGGTCTTCCTCTTCTTATTCATGGCGGAAATGAGGTGTCGAGACCAAGGGCAGAGCGAAGCGGAGATGCCACAAGCTCCCGTCTACAGGCTGTGACGAACACTTGCCTGCAGGGCAAGAAGCTTGTCATGTCAACCACGACGATGCGGGGTAGGGAAGAGCAGAAACAGATACGTACATGGCGACGAGTCGTAAGGATAGCAAGGGGACTGGCAAGCGTGACACGTGATGGTGCTACTGGGGAACGTTGTCGACCGAGCACCGTGCTGGTTGATAGATGCGGCACGGACAGCGGGGCATTGAATCCTGAGAGAAGGTGAGGCGGAGAGGCGAGACGTACACGGCAGCGGGGAGGCGGCACTGGGCGAGACCAAGGGTGCCAGCGAGCACGACGGCAGGCATGATGAGCTGGCACGACGACGGGGGCACCGGCTGGCACAGCACACGTGGCACCAGGCCGGGGAGGGGCCAGTACAGCGAGCGCGGTGCTAGGGGCAGTGAGCAAGCAGGGGATGGAAGGCGCCAGCGAGCACGACAACGATGGTGTCGACGATGAGCGGGCACGGCGAGCAGCGAGCGCGGCAGTGGAAGCGGTGAGCAAGCAAGGGGAGAGGAAGTGCTGGTGAGCACGATGGTGTAGGCGGTAAGCAGGCAGGAGAGGGAAGCGCCGGCGAGCACGGTGCGCACGGGCCAGCGATCACGTTGCGGAGCACCGGGCTCCGATCATCCAGGATCACGCGGGAGTGCCAGCAGAGAACCGAAATGGGCAGTCACATGTGGGCTGTCTATAACGGGAAAGGGGTGGGTGGCGGGAGCACGCTGACGGCGAGCGCGCCTGATGATGTGGCGAGGCCAGAGGCACTGCCATATCCGGCGAGGAACCATACGGGACGTCCATCACGGGACCTGATGGCATCGGGCGCCCTGCCTCGCTAGCAGCGGCCAAGCGCTCGCACGGGGCGTACCCGGAATAGCCGGAGGGCCCAGGGACTCGTTTGATAAGTCCCAGATTTAACACAGTGTTTAACGCAGTGTAAGGTGATCGGTGTGGACGAAGCCTAACTAGGGCGATCACATGCTATCATGTGTCAAGCCTAATTGATGGCATAGTGTGGGAAGCGCAGGTGGAATTCTGGCCTGTCGACGACTCCGGTCACTCAAAAGGGATTTTGGAGCACTCCCATTGGCTGGGATGCTGACAAACATTCCCCTTTAAAGTAATTCTTCAATCTCAGCTCTTCATGCCGAGTTTTTTGATGGCTTTCAGCCACACTAACTGAGCTCTTACTAGAGCCCCATTAAATGCGCAAAAATACCCAAATATTCCTTCTCCATGGGATGCTTCATGGATACTGATGGGGGTGGTCCATATTAGGTATCTTTGAGAGTACTGACCATGAGAAGTGATACTGAGGCATATGAGCAGATCTTGGTAAGCATGTTTACTAGAGAGCTCCACAGGTATGAGGAGAGTCTTTGAAGCAGACATGGAAACCTGCCATATATGGTTAGTCTCCTGCCCATTTAGGAAGTTGGCCATTGATGGCCTCTGCAGTACTGGATAAATAGCAGGGAAATCAGAGAGAAATCCAGGAGTACTATACATTCATATTGTGCTCACTATTGAGGCTTGCATGTGGCAAAAAACCTATGATAGTGCAGAGTTTCCCATGCATGGCCTGATATAAGCCACTCTTTCAGTGAGTCTTTGTATGTCTTGTAACCACCAGTATCACCTGGAATTGTCAGGAACTGGCAACTCCAAACAGGATCCTAAGCTGTTGTGTTAGTTCAACAGCTCAACAGGCCCTGAACATGCAGGCTGCCAAACTGTGGAGTGAGCTTGAATGCCAGCCACAAGCTCATCAGTGACACTGTATTTGCTGTGCTGTGGCCTCCCAAAAATGAAAAAAAACTGTTGTGTATATTCTCAGTCACATATATGATGTGTCATAGAGTCTGTACATAGTATCCTTCCCATACTTTCATATAGATATGGCACCATTCAACAAAGCACAATGAAAATCACATGCTCACTCATTCTTTTACATTGTTTGTGTTTCCTGTGATGCTTACCAATTACCTATGAATTGTGTGAATACTATGTAGTAGCTGACCTGGAAAGTTTGAATTAGTTGTTGAGTCTGGGCTCAGAAAATGCAGACAAAACAAGGAAATGTTATGTATGATTCCCACCTTGTACTACTTGCTGTAACTAGTAATTGGCTTCTCAGCCCCTTATGTGGACCATGATCACTCAACAGTGAATACCTGCAGCACAAAGGTACCATTCAATGCTGGAAACACTCATAACATAAATTTGCTTTGCATGTCCCTTGTATAATGGCATAGCCATCACAAATATGGGTTCCAGAATTTGTTCACACTGTACTGATCCTAGAAGTGACGCAGAGACACTGTACTGTGCACTTGCTACTCTTTCTAGAGAACTGTATACACCACCAGTGTCATGAGGTGAGCAACTAGACATGCAGACTTACCATACATCCCAGCCCTTCATAGTTGCTGCAGTGCTGGAGGAGAATGAGATGACACCAACTCTATTCCCTCATGTGATAATTGCTTGGAGCATATCTAACCTCTACCATCATATTATAGGCTGATGTGTTACCAGGTCCTATTGTTCAAGTTATGCAATGAGCCTTGGGTGATATAATTGGCAGCTCTGGGCTTGCTCATATGGGCAGGGAATGATTGTACCATGGATTGATGATGTCTATTTGTACAATGTCTACTGTCACTCAGACTTTCTTTGCTTACTAGGCAACCAGCAACAGACCATGCTTATAGTGGACTTCTGGGCAAATATCTGACTGTCCTTTTCTAGATCTCTAGTCAATAATAAGTGACTTTGGATTACTCTCATTGGGAGCAACATTTCCCTTCACATGTTATCATAAAATGTTAGCTACTCATGCTGGATTCTTTGATGGTATATGGAAAGGCACACAATAACACCATAACCCAGGAGTGAACACGTGTGCCATTTTAACAGTGTTGTATATATCATGGGAGGGTCCAAGAAGCAGGTATCATTACACATGGTGCATTGTGGTAATATCTGGTGAAGTACCTGCCATTCCAAACAAACAGTAGAGAATCTGTATATATTGAGAGGGTGGTTGAACAAGAGCAATATGATGGTGAATTGTGCATGCATACAAAAGAAGTAAGTGTCAGCCAGCAGATGAAACCAAAAGTTATCTCACAAAGGTTGAAAACCTTTGTGTTCATGGGACTTATGACTGGATGCCATGACCATTGAGTAGGCATTACTGGAATACTGAGCAAAAGCAATAATGATTCCATGTGCAAGTCTCAGTGTAAGTATGTGCTCTTCACAGACAGTTTCCTATGAATATAGCAATGACACACAACACATGGTGGCTTACTTGCTCAATTGTAATATTGCTCATGATGGAGCACTGAAATCAACAATGTAGATAAACAGGATGCATAGAGTATTTGGGCTGCCAGGCAGCAACTAGACAGTGAAAATGGGAAATACTGAATTCTTCACACCTCAATGTGTCTAAACCAATGGGATCGTACTGCCAGCCATGGCCCTCTCCCCAGCAAGTATAGATATGTGCATAGTTTACAATGCATGGATGTGTCTGGAAGTTGCACAGCACAGCTATTGGTGGGGGAAAATGGTAATAACATGCATGTTTTGATGTCTCAGCACTGAATGACCATATAGGGAATCTTCTCCACTTGTAAATATGCTCAGGGATGCTCCACATATATCCTGGAATATTGTCTGATAAATCCGCATTTTCTTGACCCCAAAACAAGTGAATTGTGCTGCAGTAACAGTGTGCACTTACATCGCTGACTAAGCGCTCAATTAAGCGCCCGTTGCCGAAGCGGAGCACCTGATCATCCCACGATCAGCCGCTGATTAGCCACATCGTAGACCCCCATGTGATCCGGCCTATTAGCCCCGATCGGACAGATTGCCTTACCCGTAGAGAAACCTCCTCAGAAAGCCGGGGAGATCTAAGCCACTTACCTCGCCGCAAAGGGCTAGCTCACGTGCCTCTGCCTAGCCCGTCCCGCACGTGTCTCCCTTCTCAATCTCACGTGTCTTGGCCGGTCTTGCCCTCACGTGCTGCCCTCGGCACTGTCCGCACGTGCCCGAGTCCCCGCTCGCCGCGCGCCTACCCTTATCGGCGTCAGGCTTCCGCTCCCGCCCGCTGTTCCGCGCCCATCTCCCGCCCCTTCCTGTTTTGGAAGCACGGTCCAGACTCCCCGCCGGCACTTCCTCTCCCCGCCGGCGCTCTCTCTTCCGTTCCCTTTCCGGTAACGTGACCGGGCTCCCGCCGGCGCTTTCCCTTCTGGGTAACACGATCGAGGCTCCCCGCTGGCGCTTCCGCCACTACTCCTTCCTTTCCCTTTTAGGTAAGACGGTCCAGCCCCGCCGGCGCTCCCTTCTGTCGAGTCAAGGCTAAGTCATACTTACCTCCTGTACATAGTTAGCTTTGTAGGTAGCTTTGTACTATGTAGGATTGGTTGTTAGGTCTTATCATCACATGTGAATGGTGCTGGGAACATGCATAAGATGATAGAGTATTACAGAAGCATTCGTACCACAAGGAGAATCGACACAAGGTATCCACGAGCATGGGCAAGGCGAGTACGAAACAGCAGAGCCACCACGAGGACATACTAGCTATCTCCACCTCCAGTCCTATTGGCCCTCGCCCGCCCCGCCCGCCTGCACAACACGACGGCGCTTGCGTGGCCGCGGCACGCCCTCGTCGTCCTCGTCCGAGTCCTCGCTGGAGTTGGAGTCATCGTCGCTCGGCTGATCACTGCGGTGTTTGCCCTTCTTACGGCCCTTGCGCTTCGGCGGCTTCTTGTGCGAGCCGCCTTTGTCCTTACGAGTCTTGCGTGTCACGACTTCGCCGGCATTGACGCGAGCGTCGTACGCCTTCCTGCGTGCCGAGACTTGCTCCGCGCTGAGACGGATGAACTTGCAAGTCCCCGACTCAAGCGCCTCGTGGAGAGTGCGTAGGAGGGGGAGGCTGTCTGAGAGGTCCGAGGGATTGATGAAGCGATCCTTGCCGGGGGTCCACCCTTCGATGTCAATGCCGTATTTGATGACGATCTCGTGTTCGAAGCTCTTGTAATTCATGATGATCTTCGGGTTACCGGTGATGTTGACTGCAGATTGTCAGTGATGACGAGAACATATTACTGATGCACTCACCGAGGGCAGTATGTACCATGTCGCGGATGTCAGTCTTCAAGAAGTTCGCTTGGTCCTTGGACGTGTGGAGGAAGGCTACATGATTCAGTACTAGCTCAGACAACAATGCATCATGACAACTTACTCATCCAGTCGCAGCCGGCCACCACAAATGCCTCCGCCAATAGCCCAATCTTCTCGAGGTCGAAGCCTTTGATATTAAGCCGAAGATACTTGCCGAGTTGCGCCGAGCTGAACCAGAGGTGAGGGGACACATTGTACTTGGTACTCGACCGCACAAGACAGAAGAACCCTTCGACGCCAACGCGTGCCTTGAGACCCTTGAACTGCACACAGTGAGAGGGGACCACCAGTGAAAGTACACGACAGCTTACCAGACAAATGATAAGATTGACAGTCGCATTGAAGTCAAGCAAGCGGCTCCGCGCGCTGAGCTGCACGCCGCGCTTCCTCGAGTTCCTGGTGTCCTTCAAATCTTCAATGAATTGATTCTTCTTAGTGTTGAAAGTCCAGTCCATGGACTGGAAAAAGACTGGGACTGAACTGGGACTGGCCTTAGAAAGACTGGACTGGACTGGTCAAAGTAGGACTGGTCCTATCCAGTCCAGTTGCAGTCTTCCAGGGTTGGGCAAATTGGAGGGACTGGTCAAAAGACTGGTTGCAACCAGTTGCAACTGGTCTTTGGCCACCCCCCTAATATGCTGGTGTACATGGCCAAATGGGATGTTTTTGGGGTCATAAATAGCAGTAATACATAGGATAGGCACCAGATGGTGGACACATGGATGATGTGGCCTATTTAGGCAACATGTATCATCTGTCTATGCACCTCCACCTATGCCTAATATGGTAGGTATACCTGTCTCACCCTTACTGACATCATATGCCTTGCCTGTATCAGTCATTATGGACTGAACTCAGTGAACTGTGATGCTCCCATGGGATACACACCATTGCCTGTGGTCATATACCATATCACAGTAGCGTGAGTCACTTTGTCAGACACAATTGCTTGAAAAAACCAGTTGCAACTGGCAAAAGACCAGTCAGGACCAGTCAGGACCAGTTGGGACTGCATGTGCAGTTGCAACCAGTTGCAACCAGTCTTTGGAGGCAACTGGACTGCAAAGGACTGGTTGCAGTCAGTCCAGTCCCAGTCCTACCATTTTGGGGTCAATCTAGGACCAGTCCCAGTCCCAGTCTTTCCTCCAAGGGGTCAAAAGACTGGACTGGACTGGACTTTCAAACACTAATTCTTCTGTTCCAGGGTCAACTTGTCGTAGGAATCGCGGTATTCGGACTGCAAGTCGAGAAGGCGAGAGGTGTCTCCGGGATCGGTGTCTGGGCAATGGTGTCAGCACTGCAAAGCGCACAAGAGGATACCGATGGGACTGACCTTCATTAGCTTGAGTTGCCAGAGCACTCAGCCAGGCATTCCAGGCCGACGGCTTGCGCGCATGCATCCACTTGTCTGCGGAGGAAAACATCTGATTCATATAGTGCTGGGGCTTGTTACCATATTGCTCTGCGAGGCTGTTGGCGAGCGCCTCACTGTCGTCGTACCACTTCGAAATCGCTGCGTCGATTTCTTGGTTTTTGAGCTTGTTGCGGGCTGCCATTTTGCGGACTGTGGCGGCGTCACGGTTGACCTTCTTCCGCTTCGGTGGAGATTGTGGCCTCGTGGGGGCTGCCACAGTCACACCATGTGCCACAGTGGAAGGCATCGCGAGAACGCGTGGCAGCACTCAGCTGACCACACACCCACGGCCTAGAGTCAAGAAGTTGAAGAGACGTCCAGAAGTCGAAGGGGAGAGTGAGAGTAAAGACAGCAGTGGGCGTGTGACGTGGGCGGTGTGAGCCAACCAAAAATCATCATTGCTGGTGCACGTGTCAGGGGCCTAAGTACACGTGGTGAAGTGACACTAATAGAACTAGGAACTCATACAGCCTGAGTGACGGCGAGCATACATGTCGGAGCAGCATACAAGTCAGAGCAGCAAGATGGTGATCTACATGCCACCATCCTCGACCATCGCATCAACAATGTCCTGCGCAACACGGGCAGAAACCCCCATCCGCGCCTCGATCTCGGTACCCCACATGTCCCGCAAAAACTCCGCCTCGATTTTGAAGAGAACACGATGAAATCTGTCGGGGAGTCCATGGGCACGCAGGAGTTCAAACGTCTCGGGACCAAAACTGTCCAAACGACCTTCGTGAAGAACGGAGGGCGATGCGTGTGGCACCCTCTCGTGCTGCACGCATTGTGGTGTGGTGGGTGTGGCAGGCACTCGACCGTGCGCAGAGCCCCGCCCAGTTGGCGTAGAAGGAGTGTTGGGCTGGCTGGCCATCGGCTGAGGTGTCGTTGCCCTCAACACAGGAGATCTCTGCCGCGAAGCCTCTAGAGCAGAATGTTCGCGTTCTCTCGCAGGAGTCGCGCCGCGCGCACTGTAGACTACGCGAATCAGCCAATGCCTAATAGCAATTATAGCTCGACTTACTGTGATCGAAGCGAGCACGGTGCAGGTCAAGCATCTCGTGGGCCTGCCCTATGTAACGAGACGACATCGCCTCGAGGTGCTCGTTGTTAAGGTGCTGTATCACCTTGAGGTCGTCGTTCTCGTGCCGCAGCACATTCTTCTCCTCCTGCAAGGTATGATTGGCGTCCTCGAGTTCTGCAATACGCGCTTGCAGCTCGCCGATGGTCTGCATTGACACCTCCTCCCGCACGCGGAGCTCTTTGATTACGCTTGCATCACGGTCGCGGGTGGTCACACGAGAACTGGTTGCCGTCGTCTTGCGAGGAGTGAGAGGTTGACCACTGGGCTGGTCCGACTCGAGAAGCTGCTTGAACGTGCTCTCCGTGTGGCCCCAGAAGACATAAAGAGCTTTGTTCGACTCAGGGCGAGGGATAAGAGGACGGGTAGGAGGGATATGCCTCGGAAACGGCTGCGACCCTTCCGTGTATCGCCACCCCTCAGCGCGAAACACCCGATCACAACGAGAAATCCACAGCGGAGCAATATTAGTTGCGAATTCTTGAACAATTCGAGCAAGTGAAGCGGACGTCTCGGGGAATTCAGCAAGCAAGGGCGGGGGAAGATACACCTGGACCTTGACGTTGTCGGGAGTGTTCACGAACTCAGGCCATACACTACCATCGATGTGGAGCATGATACTCAAGCCTCCCGTGTGTCGATCGGAAGCTGTGAGCTACGAGGGCATTAATTCAGAGGATCACAGTTACGGAGGTATGATAGATGCACCACATCCAGGGCCAATTCTTTCACTTCCCCTCCGAAATCCTTCCTAACCTTCTGGGACTCCTTCGTCACCATGTAGTGCTCCCGACCTGTTATGGCCAAAGGATGGAATTGATCCTTCTCGACGGTGTGACGGCCGTCCTTGTGCATGCCGTGGATCATCATGGCCTTGATTCCAGCATCGAACTGCGCCTTGAATGGTGCAATCGACTGCTCCGACCGTCCAAAGAGTTGGTCGAAGATGAAGTCGGCCCCGAGCTTATTCAGCTCAGGAAGTCTGAGGCATTCATTGAGAGTGAGAGTCTTGTCGGTCGTGGTCATGGCGGTTGAAGCATCGAGAGTGCACATTCGAAACACGTGCACGAGTGTGTGGCTGAACCTTGCAGTCACGCGCAGTCCAAACTCATGCACGTCTGCCACTTGCGAACGTTCAACTCGACTGCACTCTCGAGACCTCACTTCTCACATTTTATTTCAGTTCTTCATGGTACGAGAGGTGATGCAATAAAATATGACATGACAGTATTCATACAGACGACAGATACGACGATATTCAACTACTAACGGACCGACCCAGCTCGTCCATGTACCCGACCAAAGTGTTCGCCGCCTCGCTACTCCCAACGCCAACAATAGGCGACTCATCTTTGTCCTTGTCCTCGTCGCTGCCGCCATCAGCTACCACTGGAGTGGGCTCCGCTCCGTGTATTTAACCCAGGACGGGAGTGAGACACTGTCCAAACCTGCGAGATCGCGACCAACTCGTTGGCCATGGAATAGCTTACCAGAAAACCCGGGCAGTTTCGACATCTGGTGCAGTTTAACGACAATGTTGCTGTTGATACGATCGCGGTACGCGTGCCGCCTCGACAGCTCTTGCGCGAGGTCGCCATCGACGAGGCGAGTCTTCTCGATCACGCGAACGAAGTCGACATGCTCGTCGACCATACTGGTAAAGAGACGTGAACTCTCGACGTTGCACCAGCGGATCTCCTTGCGAGCACGCTTGACATTGAAGTAGGCGGCCATCGCCTTGCGATTTGTATGCTGTGCCCAAGGCAGTCGACGGATGTCTTGGCGAGCATCGCGCAGCAAGTCGAATTCTGACAGAGTGGCCATCTCCATGAGCTCGTGCCAAGTAAGCTTGGGATGCGGAGGGTTGAGACGAGCAGCAACACGGTTGTACTCCGAGAGAGCCTTCCGGATAGCTTCGGCGCGGGCCTTCAACGCTTTGCCTATCTTCTCGCGCATCTTGTATCCTGCACCCATTTCGTTAATTATCTGAATATCGTACACAGCCACACTCACCAATTCCGCTCATGCCCAGCTTCGTAAGCTCGAAGAGACGTTGAACAACAAGGCGCTCAAGGTTATCGAGAACGCGGCGATACTTGCGCTCGTTGAGCTCGCTCACGGCCATGTTCCATTCCGCAGAATGGGGCAGCCAACGTTGCACGATCAAGAGCTCCTCCTCTATGAGGCGAACACCCTGTTCAAGGGCCTCGTATCGTTCATATCGCGTCCGGTAAAGGGTAAGTATTTTGTTGACGTCCGCGTTGCTGTACTGGTGATACGTCCGATAGAAATTGATCTTCTCATACTCGGTCTTGGCGGCTTGCGCTTGAGCACTATCAGATGTTCGTAAAATGGACATTCCATGTGTTATCTCGTGTACGTACGTACCCGGTGTGTAGGTTGCGAGTCTCCCGGGTCGGAAAGAGACCGGAAGGAATCGATGGTGTCGGTAGAAACGACGGGCGGGGGCTGTTGGCAAGTGGATGGGAAGGGATATGACGATTCGGGCCCGGAGGGACGTACGAGCTCAGACTCTCGTAGCGGCACTGTAACACGGTCGGAGGAGGATGGTGGAGTCGTCCCGCAACGCAGAGACTCGGAATGAACGCGTAGAAACTCGTTGAAGCCGGATGAAACGCAGAGAGCCGGGAGGAAACGCGGTGCTCGTTGAAGGTGAACGCAGTGATCTATTCGCAACGCAGTAAACGCAGTAAACACAGGACGCAGTCAGAAACGCAGGGAATCGCAGTTGAGCTCGCTCTCTACTCCTAGGTGGTAGGTCGGTAGGTTCTCCCCCGGTCCCCGGCTCCCTCCCTTATGTTCCCTCCAGCTCGCTCTCCCACGCCTCCGCCTCGCTGGCACCCCTCCCCGTACTTCCCCGTTCCCTCCGGTCCCTCTCAAGCCCCCTCCGTCCCTTCCTGTACCGTCCCCCGTCCAGCGCCATGCCCTCCGATGCCCCAGCCAACCCCTCCGCCATCGTCTACTCTACTCGCTTCTACCGTCTTCTTGCTCTCCTCCGGGATGAACGAGTCGTCGAGCCGCGTCTTGTCGCTGACAATCCTACCGAATGGTTGGCCTGGGCCCACGGCGCCCGCTGGATCGTCGTGGGTGATATTCATCTCGTATACTCTCCTTCCGGCGGGCTGATGCTCCTTCCGGTGCGTAGCGCATGCTCTTCGACTCCCGGGCGCGAGCTACTGCGCATGGCGACGTGTCCCTCCCTCTCATCCGCCGGTTCTCCGACGTCCAGGATCTGATCGACTACCTTGACCAGGTGTTCTCGACCATCGCGTCTGAGCATAGCATCGTTGGCGAGCCGTACCCTGCTATCGCCTGGTCCGCCAACCGCGTCGCTGTTGAGCAGTCCGATGTCGAAGTGGGCCGTCCGTTGCTTCCGGTCCGGTACCTCGAGAGGCCCATGCAGCTCTCTCCCCTCCGGGCTTCCTCCGACAGCCTCGACGCGCTCATCTCCCAGCTCCAGCGTTACGCTAGCGTTCAACGTGACGCGTCCGCCTCCTTCCAGTCCGAGGCTCAACACACCCGCCGTATTCTCTCCGCCCTGGCGTCCAGTGTTGCCGGCGTGCACGATCGTCTTTCCCGTGGCGTGTACGTTCCGGACACTGACTATTCCGGCATTCCGCGTCGCCTTCAGTTCCCTCCGGCGCGTACTAGTGACGACTTCGAGGATGCGGGTGTCGAAACCGAGACCGAGACTGATTTAATGGATGAGGGGGAGAGTGTGCGTGAGGAGTAGTTTGTTCCTGTACCCTCCGGTGCCGTCCACGGCTGCCTCCGGTTGCCCTACCGAGTTGCTTTCCGGTCGTGCTGTCTGGGTAACCTATCCTTCGGCATTCCTTCCGTGTGTAATGTCGTCTGTTGTCTCCTGTGGTTGTGTGCCCTATATCCGTTGGTTCCGGGCCTGCTCTGTGGGGCTTCCCCACACCGGCGTCAGCCAGCGTCATCAACGCTTCGATGTAGTCGAGTCTTTGCGTGACTTCAGGCGGTTCGGACTTCAGTCCTGCGAGGTATGCACGTTCCTCGACTAGGTACCTCTCGTAGTCTGCCTCGTTGGTGCCTAGCTGCTGCCCCAGCACCTCCACGACCTTCATGTCGTCGTACATGATGTCGAGAGCTTGCTTGTAATTATTGTACAGGAACTTGCCTATACCAAGATTAGTACATGTGAGATCACGAGATCACGTCGGAGGAGATGTGATTACCTAACTCGGTGTGCTTCTGCTCGCCCCAGAAACTGAAGTGTTGTTCGATTGCTTGAGCACGGTGGAAGGTGGTGGCGAGACACGTGTTCCCGGCGAGCGCGTTAGACTCCGAGAAGAGCCGTTCGCATCCCTCGAAGTCCTCCTTGCCCACGCCCTCCAAGTACATGGGGTGCCAGTGTGACTGGCACCACCGGTTGTGGCTATATCCGTGGAATGCGCAAACGATGCCGCGCAGGCGAGCAGTGCGCGCTCGCTCACCCAAGCTGCCACATTACTGAGTGGAACTTGACCGTTTCGAACGGTCCACCCAGAGTGCATTTGGCCCGTTTCTAACGGTGTACCCGGGCTCGGCCGGAGCACTCCGGGTCTACTGTTTGGAGCGGCCGCCGCCAGCAACGAACCGGCCGGAGGAGGGTGGTGGTTTGGAATGGTCCGGCCAGAGTGTTGGGTAATGTTCCGGCCGGAGCTCTGGTGAACGTACCGGCCGGAGGCCTCGAGAAATATGGGTTTCCTACAGTCCGGCCGGACTGTTATCCAATGTTCCGGCCGGACCCCTGGTCAACGGTCCGGCCGGAGGCCTCGAAAAATTAGTTTCCTACAGTCCGGCCGGACATATACCCAATGTTCCGGCCGGACCTTTGATCAGTGTCCCGGCCGGAGGCCTCGAAATTTGAGCTCTCAACGGTCCGGCCGGGCTCATCACTAACGGTCCGGCCGGAGCACTCAGCAATGATTCAGCCTGGCCAGGGGTTGGTTTCGGACGTCTGGCCGGCCCCAGGTGAAACGGTCCAGCCGGGCAAAATCCCAACTTCCAATGTGAACAGGCCGGCCGGAAGCCTTGCAAAATCTGGGCTGTAAATGGTCCGGCCGGGCTAGTTTCTAACCATCCAGCCAGACCCCAGATGAACCGACCAGCCAGGCTTCTCCCAGCCAGACCCCTCAGAATTGATACACTAGTAATATAACAACAAGAATTGTTAGTTGTAACAACCAAGCTCAATATTTAACCACCAAGCCCAGAGATGAGCCACCAAGCTCGGTATCAAACCACCGAGCTCATAGTGAGCCACTGAGCACAGTATTGAACCACCGAGGTTAAACAGCTAGGCTCGGTGGCCGAGAAAAATTGGCCGGGCTCGGGCCGAGGATAAATGGCCGAGGCTCGGGCCGAGGTTTCGAGCGCCGAGCTCGGTGAAAACCGCCGAGGTCAGTATCAAAGCATTGAGCTCAGTGTTAAGGGGCCCAGTTAAAGGGCCGAGCTGAGTGTTCAATGACCGAGTTTGTTGTTGAAGCACTGAGCTCAGAAATGGCCGAGGTTAAACCACCGAGCTCGGTGAAAAACGGCCGGGCCGTCAGATTGCCATATAAGGAAATTTGGTATCATCTGGTAGCCCTTCATTCACAGAGTACAGTATATGTTCCCTAGTGTACAGAGATGCCTAGTTAGGTCAGAGAATACAAAAAAAATATGCTCGCAGGCTTCTCTGAGAACATACTATTCAACTCCTGAGGCCAGTTTTCTTTTCCCACAATGTTTGACTATCTAGAATGTGCTATTTCAATGCACAGCCTACATCCCCAACAGGAATAGTCTTATTCTTTGAAGCTGAATGCAGGACAAGAGATAAGGGGCATATAGGTATGGGATATGCATGTCTGACTTGAATGTTGGTTCCTGCAGCCAATATTCTTTCCAAATAGGGTTTCACCATCTAGAGTGGTTCATTTACTCACATGGAGTAAGTGCTCCAAAGGAACAGTCTTATTCACACAAGCTGAATGCAGTACAGAGTTAAGGTGTCAAGGGTGGAGTGGGATACAGATGAACTATGTTTACTTTGTAAAGCCAATATGCTTTGCCCACAATGTTTGACAAACTAGAATGGCTTAATCCAACATGAACAGCAAAGTCCTCAAGAGGAATAGTCTTATTCTTCCTAGCTGAACTGAGCATGGAGCTAAGGGGAACATGCATTATTGTGTCATGATGGGGCCTGCTTCGAATGATTGTCTGTATCAAACTGTGATGTGCACCCATGCGCATTGCACTGGCCACAGAAACATCTCTCCATTGGTAATGGTCCGGCCGGACAATGCTCATTGCCAATGGTCCGGCCGGCCATTGCTCGTAGCAAACGGTCCGGCCGGTGCACTGTCCTAGGCCAGCCAGAGCAAAATGCGACACATCTGTCCAATGTATAGACTCTTCAGCTATATCATGCATGGATACAGAAGTGATGATCAGCATTGTTCAAATTGAGTGATACTCATATGAGACCAGATTCCCTTGACTCTGTACTGCATTCAGCTTGTGTGAATAAGACTATTCCTTTGGAGGACTCACTCATTGTGAGGAAATGAATCATTCTAGATAGTCAAACACTATTTGGAAAGAATGTTGGCTGCAGGGAGTGAACATCATTATCCAACATGTATACCCCTTATCTCCTGTCCTGCATTCAGCTTCAAAGAATAAGACTATTCCTGTTGGGGATGTAGGCTGTGCATTGAAATAGCACATTCTAGATAGTCAAACATTGTGGGAAAAGAAAACTGGCCTCAGGAGTTGAATAGTATGTTCTCAGAGAAGCCTGCGAGCATATTTTGTTTTGTATTCTCTGACCTAACTAGGCATCTCTGTACACTAGGGAACATATACTGTACTCTGTGAATGAAGGGCTACCAGATGATACCAAATTTCCTTATATGGCAATCTGACGGCCCGGCCGTTTTTCACCGAGCTCGGTGGTTTAACCTCGGCCATTTCTGAGCTCAGTGCTTCAACAACAAACTCGGTCATTGAACACTCAGCTCGGCCCTTTAACTGGGCCCCTTAACACTGAGCTCAATGCTTTGATACTGACCTCGGCGGTTTTCACCGAGCTCGGCGCTCAAATCCTCGGCCCGAGCCTCGGCCATTTATCCTCGGCCCGAGCCCGGCCAATTTTTCTCGGCCACTGAGCCTAGCTGTTTAACCTCGGTGGTGGTTCAATACTGTGCTCAGTGGCTCACCATTGGGCTCGGTGGTTTGATACCGAGCTTGGTGGCTCATCTCTGGGCTTGGTGGTTAAATATTGAGCTTGGTTGTTACAACTAACAATTCTTGTTGTTATATTACTAGTGTATCAATTCTGAGGGGTCTGGCTGGGAGAAGCCTGGCCGGTCGGTTCATCTGGGGTCTGGCTGGATGGTTAGAAACTAGCCCAGCCGGACCATTTACAGCCCAGATTTTGCAAGGCTTCCGGCCGGCCTGTTCACATTGGAAGTTGGGATTTTGCCCGGCCGGACCGTTTCACCTGGGGGCCGGCCAGACGTCCGAAACCAACCCCTGGCCAGGCTGAATCATTGCTAAGTGCTCCAGCCGGACCATTAGTGATGAGCCCGGCCAGACCGTTAGTGATGAGCCCGGCCGGACCGTTGAGAGCTCAAATTTCGAGGCCTCCGGCCGGGACACTGATCAAAGGTCCGGCCGGAACATTGGGTATATGTCCGGCCGGACTGTAGGAAACGTAATTTTTCGAGGCCTCCGGCCGGACCGTTGACCAGGGTCCGGCCGGAACATTGGATAACAGTCCGGCCGGACTGTAGGAAACCCATATTTCTCGAGGCCTCCGGCCGGTACGTTCACCAGAGCTCCGGCCGGAACATTACCCAACACTCTGGCCGGACCATTCCAAACCACCACCCTTCCTCCGGCCGGTTCGTTGCTGGCGGCGGCCGCTCCAAACAGTAGACCCGGAGTGCTCCGGCCGAGCCCGGGTACACCGTTAGAAACGGGCCAAATGCACTCTGGGTGGACCGTTCGAAACATGATTTCCCACTCAGTAGGCTCTCCATATGTCCGTCCGCGCCGTTCGATGATCAAGGTGTGCGGTTCCAGCCCAGAATGTTTCGTCAACCAGCTTCAGCGACTGGTTGCCATCCATGCATGCAAGGAGCTTCGGCTTCAGGGATTCTTCTCCTTCGAGGGCATACAGACACGGGGCGCACACATTGAGCATGCGCCAGTTGGGCGTGTTGCGGCCGAGTGCATTGTTGACAAGCATGTCGACGCCGTGCAAGATCTCGAGGTAGACGTCAAACACGACGTTCAACTGTTCGACAAGAGAGCGATTGAAAGGAACCTGGGTACATCATTAGAGACGAAGGCGCGAGGTACTACTTGACTCACCTGGTGCAGATAACACAATGCCTTGACCTGTGCTTGAAGACCGAACCTCGGGCACACACGATGCTGCTGCCGATACGCCTCGAGAACATCGAGAGACACGGCGACCGATGGCCGCAATGGTGCCGATCCGATGTAGCCGTGACGAAGGAGAGTGGGGTTGATGTGGTCTGTCGGCGCTGCAGGGCAAATAGACCGGTAACGCATGCCTACAAGCTCGATGACGACCTGTAAGGTACAGTGAGATGCTGGTGGACGTACTAAAGAAGTCCACCATGACGAATTCCCACTGCTCCAGCTCCTCGCTCTCCATTGGCTCCCTACCAGCTCGGTACTCCAGATACGCGCGGATAAGCTCCTCCCGTTGGGCCATCCAGTCGTGGTTGCGGATGTGGACTCGATCGCGCCAGCCGCGTCCGTCCTTTCGCTTGCTGGATACTCAAGATGAGCACAAGGCGAGAGAGTAAGGAAGCAACGTACCTTGATTGGTCTTCCAAGAAGATATTGTTGATCAGCTCGCTCTCGCCCCCTTCGTGACTGAGGAACATGGACTCCTCGCCAGGTGGCAAAGAGATATCCTCCCAGCCCTCCACCTTGGCAGCTGTGCTTGTAGACGGGGCTATCTGACTGATGAACTCGCGATCGTCGAACGACATCCCTGTACAGCTATAAGATCAATCAGTACGACGTGTACGACGACGGACACTCACCCGTCATGATCTCTGCGCGAGTCCTCTCGTCCTCCTGTCGACGCTTCAACGACGTACTGACGTGCATCTTCTCCGAGTCACTCTTCCTCCCAATACCTCGCCCATACATCAGTGTGACCTTCGACGAAAGCCTGGGTTTTGACTTGTTGCCCATGAGAGACCAATAGCAAAGGCTCCGTGTCGGAGCCCCCAAGAGCGACTAGTCGTGTGGTGCGGGTCGATGAAGGGAGCGTTGACAAGAGGGAAAGACGGTGAGAGCGGTAGTTGGAGAACAAGAGCGCGAAGCGCCAGCGGGGAGCCTCGATCGTGTTACCCAGAAGGGAAAGCGCCGGCGGGAGCCCGGTCACATTACCAGAAAGGGAAAGGAAGAGGGAGCGCTGGCGGGGAGCCCGATCACGTTACCCAGCAGGGAAAGCGCCGGCGGGAGCCCGGTCACGTTACCGGAAAGGGAACGGAAGAGAGAGCGCCGGCGGGGAGAGGAAGTGCCGGCGGGGAGTCTGGACCGTGCTTCCAAAACAGGAAGGGGCGGGAGATGGGCGCGGAACAGCGGGCGGGAGCGGAAGCCTGACGCCGATAAGGGTAGGCGCGCGGCGAGCGGGGACTCGGGCACGTGCGGACAGTGCCGAGGGCAGCACGTGAGGGCAAGACCGGCCAAGACACGTGAGATTGAGAAGGGAGACACGTGCGGGACGGGCTAGGCAGAGGCACGTGAGCTAGCCCTTTGCGGCGAGGTAAGTGGCTTAGATCTCCCCGGCTTTCTGAGGAGGTTTCTCTACGGGTAAGGCAATCTGTCTGATCGGGGCTAATAGGCCGGATCACATGGGGGTCTACGACGTGGCTAATCAGCGGCTGATCGTGGGATGATCAGGTGAGCGGAGTCGTCGACAGGCCGGAATTCTGGCCTGTCGACGACTCCAGTCACTCAAAGGGGATTTTGGAGCACTCCCATTGGCTGAAATGGTGACAAAGATTCCCTTTTAAAGTAATCTTTCAATCTCAGCTCTTCATGCCGAGTTTTTTGAGATGGCTTCAAGCCACACTAACTGAGCTCTTACTAGAACCCCATTAAATGCGGAAAAATCCTAAAATATTGCTTCTCCATGGAATGCCCCTTGAGTACTGACAGGGGTGCCCAGATTAGGTGTTCTTGTTGTTTTTCACAGAGTACTGACCTTGGCAAGTGATACTGGGGATATAAGCAAATGTTGGTGTGTGTATGATGCTTGTACAAGACAGTTCCACATGTATGGGCTCTGTGAGGTGGAGGATATCAAACATACAAAACTGCCATATATGGTTAGTCCCCTGCCCATTTGGGAAGTTGGCCGTGCATGGCCTCTGCAGGACTGGATAAATAGCAGGAAAATCAGAGAAAAATCAGATAGTACTATGAATTCATATTGAGTTGACTGTTGAGGCTCCAATATGGCAGAAAACATATGATAGTGCAGAATGACCCATGCATAGCCTGATACAAGCCACTCTGTCAGTGAGTCTTGGTCCATCTTGTAAGCACCATTATCACCTGGAATTCCCGGGGACTGGCAGCTCCAGACAGGATCCTAGGCTATTCTGTTCAGTTCAACTCTTCAATAGGCCCTGCAAAGGCAGGCTATTGGGCTGAGTTTGAATGCAAGCCACAAGCTCATTAGTGACAATGTATTTACTGTGCTATGGTCTCCCAAAAAGTCAAAAACAATTGGGAATATTCCCAGTCATGTATATGATGTCAGAGAGGCTGTACATAGTATGCCTTCCCATGGATTCATATCAACATGGCACCCACCATTCACAAAGCAAAATAAAATACATATTCCTCTGTACACACTGGTTCTTTCACTTTGTTTGTGTTTCCTGTGATGCTTGCCAACTGCCTATGGATTGTGTGGCTATATGAGACCTGAATGAAACCTGCCATATGTGGTACCTGACCTTCTCAAAATGGAAAGTCCGAGTTATCTGCTGTGTCTGGGCTCAGAAAATGTGGATAGAACAAGGAAATATTCTGTATGATTCCACTCACCTTGTACTGCTTGCTGTCAGTAGTGATTGGCTCATGTCTAAACCCTTGGGCAGGCGATGGCATATGCAGAAAATGGTGAACACCTGTGGCACAAAGGCCACAGTTAATGCTGAGTATGTTCATAATATTGGCTTTGTCTCACATGTGAATGGCATAGCTATCAATATTATGGGTTCACAGAGCTTTATGACACTGTACTGATCCTAGAAAGTGATAGAAAGACATTGTACAAGTTGTGTTGTGCATCTACTACTGTTGCTAGAAAGTCTATAGGCTAGCAATGTCATAAAGTAGGGACACCACACATAGGTGATCAAATGCTTTGATGGTCTCTGCAATGCTAGATAAATGGTAGGAAATGAGATAAAATCAGATGATCCCATGACATCATATTGTGCTGACTGTTGTAGGCCAATGCATGACAGTACATCTCAGATGTGCTAATGCAGAGTTCACAGAGCACATCCTTGATGATCAGTGAGAATTATTGGCACATCTACCCTTGCCTTACAATAAGCCTGTGAGCTTATTGTGCATCTTGAATGGCCTTGGAAAGTGGTGTACTGAGTCTTCTACTATTTTGTAGGATTCTATGAAGTATTTTATGTAGCTAAAAGGCTGTGCATAAATGCACAAAAGGAGCATCCCTATGCGCATGTCCAAACATTTATCTCATCTACCACTTGCTTCTGTACTCTTATGCCAGTGTACCTTCAATTCATCAGTGATCAATCCTGCCCATGACTCTATCAGTCTTGATGGCACTTACTATGGTGATACATTGCTTCACATTGTACTACATGAGCCCATTACTATTGACTCAGGAGCTGAGCTCCAATCCAGTAACATACCTTAGTATGGCTTTGTACTACTGGTCAGTGTCTGGTAACTGTTCACTTATGGTGAGAGCAAACTGCACAGTCTTTGGTTGTATTCCTTGTATAACACATCAATTCTTGACAGGCCTTTTTCAGAATTCCTTACTGGTATACTTCTCCTCTGTATATTGGTTCCATCCTCCACTGTTGATTGGTTTGGACTTGGGGAAGTACTGTTAACAATCTACTGAAAGACATCCTTTGGTATCAGAATTTCTCTGATCAAGGGCTAATACTTGTACAACAGCACTGACAGCAAGTCCCAACTGAGTAGTGGTTACTGTAGTCAACCCCCCAGATTCCCCTTCCTTGAGTTCTAGTTGATCTAGAGGCTCTCCTTACTTCTTTGCAACATTCCCAAGCTATTTGCTCTATGTTACTATCAATACAAACCAGTAACACTGCTCATTAGTATTCAGATCATATTGATAAGCAACTTGGCAATTTACCAAGTAAGAAACAGATCCATAATGTCTGTTGCTCATGATTGCAAGCTATGATCCTCATATTACAACAACCTAATAAATTAGCAGGCTACTCTGAAGTGCAAAATGTGGAAGATATGTCAGTACTCTATGCATAGACAATATACTAGCAGTCTTGCCAAGCATGACTTCTGATGCGGGCAGCATGAAGTTGTTCATGAATTGACATATCTCCTACAAAAGGGATCGTACTGCCAGCTATGGCCCTCTCCCCAGCAAGTTTACTACCCTTACTGCAGAGCCCTACAAGCTGAAAATATTATGCAGGGATCTATGGCACCTGGGAGTCTGAAAATTGAAACTCAGCTATATCTGGCACTCAAACAGTCACATGCACTGTGGGAAAAACCTGCCACATTGGGCTCCATGCTAAGTGTTACATTCCCTCCAGTCATACACTGGGGGCAAAACACGTCGGTCGGAGCGCGAACATTGGAAGGATATTGTACGAATTATGATACATTTTCTCATGGTTTTCCATGGCCGAACACTGCGAGGACATTTGCCATGTTTGGACACCGGACATGCAGCATGTTCGTAGCATGTACTGTATGGAAACAGCGGGGAATAATAAATACTGGCCTTGGTATGTCCTGATACAGAACATGAGGAATACAGCCAAGATGTTCCCACCTATGACATCATGCAAACATTGCATGTACACTGGAATGACATAAGCATGTCCGGAGCGAGGACATACTGCATGTCATAATGCAAGGCATGCTAAGAAAATTCAAAGAACATTGCTGGATTTGCGGACATGTTGTATGGTCTCGACATGTTCCATTTGTGGACATGCAGCATGTCCTCGCTCCGGGCATGCTCAGGACATGCTTATGTCATTCTAGTATACACGCGATGTTCGCACAATGTTGTAGGCACCATCATTTCGGCTGTATTCCTCATGTTCTGTATCAGGACATACCAAGGCCAGTATTTATTATTCCCTGCTGTTTCCATACAGTACATGCTACAAACATGCTGCATGTCCGGTGTCCAAACATGGCAAATGTCCTCGCAGTGTTTGGCCGCAGGAAACTGTGACAAAACATATCATAATTCGTACAATGTCCTTCCAATGTTCGCGCTCCGACCGACGTGTCTTGCCCCCAGTGATAAGAATGATTCCTTCATACCTCAGGAGTCATAATGTAGGGTGGTGCAAGTGGATTGCCTCTTGTTTGCACTTTGTGCAAACTCCAATGATTGGTAACACCATGTAGGTTTGCATTTGGGTAGGTATTGTAGTACAAGCACACATTAAAATTGCTTGAGTATCAGGACACTGGCCTGCAACATTGTAAAACAGCATACTGCCACCAAAATAGACCTGGGGTGCATGCCTAGGTGAGCATCTGTGCTGAGCATGCCCCTTGTGCACAGCATTGCATAACCTCAAGCTTTTGACAAACTAACTGTGGTGTTGGGACACAGTGTGATCCCCCACCTGCCACACATGATACCCCACTGGTGGTCACATTTGTTTCCCACCCACTCTTCTCTCTTTCCTCAGTTGGGTATCCTACACAACTGAGGTCAGATGTTCATTGCACTCATACCTACTCTGATCCTGATAGACTCAGTAGCTCCTTGTCAAGTACATCAAAATATCTATACAAGTATGGGCATTCATGGTCACATTCATGAGTTATGCAGGACAGAACATCATGAATTGTAGTTGTGCAAAACATGTGTAAAACATGTCACCAACTAATTTGCAAATAGCAAGAATGACACCCAAGAGCAAATATAAAATGTACAGTTAAGATGCCTCATAATAATGGCTTATCAACTGATGCAGTTGCTCAATGGTTTTGAAGCACTCCCATTCACCAGCATGCTGACAAATTTACCTTTTCAAGTGATCTCAGCTCTTTATGCTTAGGTTTTTGATCACTTGCCCAATTTGGCAAACACTGTCTGACTCTTTTGCTATATGGAAAATTGAGCAGATGTTAAGTGCACACACACATTGCAGGCAGAATACAACTGTTGAGTCCTTAGCAAGTTCATGACTATTATAAAGATCAATAGCTCATGTACATTGACATCAACTAAGTGATTGGTGTAAGTCACATCAGATGCAACTGCTACAATCTCCACCTATAATGTCATATAATAGACAGCTTGGGCAATGAAGCTACTAACACAGAACAGTGAAGGTCGAAAGCTATAGATAGGATAAGGGACAAGTCATGGCACTTAATGATGTAGTGCAAGAACACCATGGCCCTGTGTGTGCTTCCCAGCTTCTTGTCTCTGCCACAACATCTCCGCCCACAGTGGATTCTGCGGCACCCGCCGCACAAGAGCTCGCAGTGTCTCAACCCTGCATTACTGCGTGTGAGATGCTTTGTACCCTTGATAGTAGAACACATACCATCTGCTCTTCTCCTCCTCCGTGTCAGCGAAGAAGGTGATCTCTTGGTCGTGGAGGAAAACAAGCCGGAAAGACCGCTCAACACCATATGGAATGTCAAGTTCGTCTACATGTCGACTGCGGTTGCTCACTCCCGACTGGGGGCTGAGAGCGTTGTTCGCCACGTCGTCATCCTCCACCGACACAGCTTTGCGCAGGTCAATAGTTGCCGTTACCTTCTTCGTGACATCGTTGTACGCAACCAGGTTCGCGCCGACCAGTCTCAAATGCCGTCGACGCCAAGACTAGAATCAGTCCGTCAGCACCTGTCCAACGAGACTGCTCGAGAACTCACCATACAATCGCCTCCAGACTGCGTCAACGTGCCCTCGAAATACGTCTGCTTGTGCCAGTTGCAATGGCGTAAGCCCTTGTGGCACTCATCTAGGCTTTGCGGCAGCTGCTCAGATGGAATGCCAGGCAGAGGCGGTAGCCGGAAAATCTGCAGCATAATCTCGCCCACCTGGAAAGTCCGGGTGGATGTCCGTGATTCGAGGCGCTGCCCGATCAGAGGATATGCGACCTCAAAACGTGTTGCATCGCATCGATGGGCGATGTCACGGAAGGAAATGAAGGCACGAGCTAGTGTGCCGTCAGGTTTGAGGTAGCGGGCCAAGTTATTAACGAGCTTGAACTCCGGTACAGGCACAGCGGGGGCAGACATTGGCCTGGCAGGCTTCTTCGGCGACGAAGAGCGGAAGAAATTCAGCATTCCGCCTTTGGAGGGGGGCGGAACAGGGCGAGCAGCGACGGATGGAGCGGGAGGAGGTGGCGGAGTGTTTGTTTTGAACTGCGCCACCACATGCGGGTCACGTCGAACTTTGATCGTAAGCGTGAACTCGAGCTTGCTGTGCTCGATTCTGATTATCGCCGCCCGCGAAACCATCAGCATGATAACTTTCTGACAAGTGGATTACGCACAGCTCAAATTCTTGCTCGATACGACAATCCTTGCCCAAGCGACACTCCGGAGTGGTGACGAAGTGGATGCCGTTGTTCAGCGTACACGTTATGATGGTTGGCTCCCGCGGAAGAGGCACCTGAACCCCCTTTAGACCGGTCACTAAGGACAGGCGAGCAGATGGGTCAGATAATTGCAATCGACACACAGCGACGGCTCGTTACCTCTGACGAACACCTTGCCGTGTGCCTTTCCTGACTTGTCCTGCGCACGTAGCTCCTTGAGTTGCCTCGCGTATTCGTTCTGCGACAATTCATGTCAAAACAAAGCTACGTCAAAAGCAAGCAAAGCATCCCACCATGTCGGAGGGCCGCTTCACGATCCTCCAAGCCTTTCCCCCGTTGACGTCACCTGCGTTGCCTACATGAGAGATCTGCTCCGCATCGGAACTTGCGTAGATGGTCTCCTGATGTTGACGAACGTGATACTTCTGAAAAGCAGTCAGTGTACCGTTGCGGAAATTCAACGATGCACGGCGTACGCTCTTGGTCGGATCCTCGAGCTTGCGCAACTCCCGGTTGATACTGTCCGCAAGCGGATCGTCCTCCTGCGCCATGTTCAGATCGTCGAGGAGGCCTTCGCACCTCAGCGCAGCCGCTCGGCGCTGAGCCGCTGGTGTCCGCGTGAGCAAATCCTCTGCATCGCCCGTACTCATACTCCTGCGCCTGCTCGGGCGACCTGCACGCCTCGCCTGTACGGCACTGGGAGTCGAGTGTCCCAGCGATGCGAGTTCGTCCTTCCGCTTTGCCTCGCGCTTCTTCGCCTTGATCAGGTCCTCCCGCGCACGAATAGCCTCCTTGGGGGGCGGAGGCGGCGGCGCGCTGTTCACGGTCGTTCGCGTCTATGAATAGGCAGTCAGCGCCACGAGAATTCCGGCAGGTAGCATTTACGCACGGGAGAGGCCATCGCAGCATCGTCAGCTTGCCCGTCTTCAGTTTCCTGAGGGAAGGTGAGCGGGGTTGTTCGCCGGGCTCTCACACCGCCCTCAGCCTGCATCGCCTGAAGCTCCGCACCCGTGTCACCGGGTAACCCCTGCGCGACGTTCTCCATGAGCCTGTCAAGCGCGCTCACGTCACCCAAGTCAACGTCGCCCCTACTGGATACCGAGCCTGCTCTGCCAAACATGTCATCCTGGCCGAGCCCGAACGCGCTGTGGTCGAACTCCATCTGGATGCCCTGGAAGACAGATCGGTCCTCGACGTCGCTCTGCGCACGGATGAGGACGTTCGGGCGCGGCGGGTCGATCGGCTGCGGGTTGGGGTCGAGGGACATGACGCCGTCGTAGGTGTAGTTCTTCTCTCTGCTCAGTGGAGGCGGCTCCCGAACGCTGTGGTCGCTGACCGTGCTGGCGTTGCTGCGGCGATCCTCGTCCATACGCATGTCATCCTCGGGGATGACGCCATTCTTTGCCTCCTCTCTCTGCGGCACAACACCGTCCTCGGCCTCTCCGGGAGTCTGCTCGCGCAGCGGGTGGCCGGACGTCGTTTCGGGATCCACGCTCCAGCTCCGCGAGGCCGGCCTGCTGGTGTTCGAGCCGTTCGCGGGGGATACCCTGGGAGATGCTCTGGGTGAAGACATGATCTTCTCGGGAGTGAGCGAGTCTCCCGGTCGAATGGCTTTCGGCATGTGTATCTCGCGACGCGGCGAACTCGACCGCATCAAGGTAATCGGCGATGTAAAGTTGAAGTCCTGGGCCGTTGACGCGTGCGAGTCACTGCGCTCCAGCGGGGTCGACGTACGCGAGGAGACAACGCCATCGTCCTGCTTCATGGCAAAGAACGGCGGTTGTGGTGGGAGAAGTTCTTCGTCGTCCGTAGCATCTTCCTCGCGCGATGTCTGTTCACGGTCGAGGCCCTCCAAAGAAACCTCGGAATGTCCGATGGACAAGTTCGCAGGGTCCATGCAGTCGTCTCCCGAGGAACCGCCAGATGCAAACGAGATCTCAGGCGGAAGCGATTCCTCCTTGACGTGTGGCACGGAAAACGGATCCTCTGCGAAGGCTTTTCACGCGTCAAAACGAGCATAAAGTGAGTAAAATTGGTACGTCACCTACAGGTTGTGCCACCGAGCCTCACTTGCTCGAGCGAGAACCTCGGTACTAAGACATGCTCGCCCGGGACACCAAACGCCTTGCTCGGTCGTTTAGCAGGAGAGGGAGAAGGTGGAAGCATGCGTACATCCTCATCAAGCTCGCTCGCACTGGGACGTTCCGGTGTGCCACTAAAGCTGCGGGAAGGCGATCCAACATCGATAATGGGAGACGTAGATCGGGAGCGGGGAGGGGTCGATGTTGACATGCCGAGGGGCTCCGGCCCAGGATAAGCGTCGTGGATGGGATCTGACTGGTGGGCGGCGTTCAGCCTTTCGGAATGATGTGTGCGCCCGAAGGGAATGCCGTCTTCGGTGTCGGTGTCGGGAGGGAGGGAGCTTTCGCGGCGAGGCGGGGTGTGCGGGTCATCCGTATCTTGCAGGAGAGTCTCAACGAGCCCTGTGATACTGTCATTAGCGGCGTGCGAGCTGTCAAAGCTTTCGTTGGTGGGAGACGGTGCGTCCGGAAGGAGATGAGGTTCTATCGGCTGCAGTACGCCCTCCTCATCGTCGCCAGACTCCTCATCGGTCGATATGACGTCCTCGCCTATCTCGTGTTCTTCGACGTGAAACTCGAGAACGTCGCAGTGCTCGTCGAACGTCACAGTTTTGCGGCGTTGACGGCGACTGAACGAACCGTTCCCGACGGTGCGCGGACCATGGAGGCGCTTGGAGACGAGCGAGGACCGACCGGGCGAGGCAGATGCAACAGGGATGCGAGTGAGCTTGGGAGGCAGCGGAGGTGGGAGGGCGTCGTCGGAGTCGAACTCGGGAGGGACTACCCTGAAGGGGCTCTTGGTGACGGGCTCCTTCTCGAGCAACCCCTGGAAAGCCCGGGACTGGCGTCTCTTGAAGCCGAGAGGGTGCTCGTTCTCGGTGGCAACCATGGAGTGGGGGCGCGGACGTTTCTCGCCACTCACTTTACGCGGCGAGGGAGAGAGCCCGGCAGATTGTCGAGCAGGTGTGGGTCTAGAGGGGGTCAATTTGGCTGGCGTGGGGAGCTGGGACCTGAAGGGAGACTTGGAGACAAGATTGTTGGTGCGCAGATGCTTGTAGCTGGATGACTGGCGGCGGGACAGGTGGGCACCCTGCGGCGAGTCGCGCTTGGCGATACGGAGCGGGGTGGTCGGACGACCGAGCCATGGGCTGCCAGGCGGGGGCGGGTCAGGCGAGTTGGACTGGAGACGGTCGCGGAGCGGGAGGCCAGAGCTCATCGTGCGGAACGGCGGCGAGAGAGGCGGGGACAGTGGTGGCCTGGTGAACGCGGAAGATCGCAACAAGTCCCAACAACACGGTTCGACTCTCCGTGGGAACCCGTCTCTTCAACTCTCGCGACGCGCCACGTGATCGCGTATGCTGGCCCATGACGTCGTGCTCGCGGCCCGCAGCTGCCAGCGACGACGCCCTCCGAACGACGCCCTCCGAGTCCCACTCGACCGCGACGACGCCATCCCACACGACCGCGACGACGCCATCCCACACGACCGCAACGACCACCCCCCAGCACAGACATGCCTCTGCGCAAGCGAGCCAAGGCGCACGCCGAGGACGAGCCCGGAACGCCGAGCGACGAACACACCGGCCATGATAAAGAAGAAGTCCGGCATCTCAAGCAAGAGCTTGCACACAAAGTAGACGATCTCAAGAAGAAAGAGGTATGTTCGCAAATGAGCTGCCTTGGTGGTCATTTGCACCGTCTGCCGGTTGTCTCACAGTCGTCGTAGAAAGCCCGGCATTGGTTTACAACCCGCCGCTTTCTCTTTCCATTAGGCGTCATCCGTGAGTACCATATCATCAGTAGTTTGCGTCTCAATGTATGACGGCATGCCTCGCAGTGGGAGTCATGCTGGGCTTCGTCCTCATCCAGCCCTCCGACTTCACCGATCTGCAAACACATCTAGCCCTGCTCCTCGACCAATACGACTTCACTCTCCCTCAGATGCCCCAGATCGAACTGCAGATAGACCTCACCCGGTTCGAGACGGAGTGGCGTAGACTTTGGAGCAGCATCCCGGAGCCCTGGAAACTCAACACCAACGGTCTTGAGTTCTCCGTCGGAGAGAAGGTCGCGGCAGAAGGCCTCACCGCCAAATACCCCGTTGTCCTAGTACCCGGTATCATCTCCACTGTGAGTGTTGACGTCGCATATTGAGCGTGTGCGGCCTACCTGTCTCACCACAGGGACTCGAGTCCTGGTCAACAACGCCAGAGTACAGGCCGTTCTTCCGCCAGAAGGTCTGGGGCGGCTTCTCAATGCTTCAGCAAGTCATGTTCAACAAGGAGAAGTGGATGGCGGCGCTCATGCTCGACCCGGTGACCGGCCTCGATCCCCCCGGCGCAAAGGTGAGGTCTGCAGAGGGCATCGACGCCGCAAGCAGCTTTGTCCAGGGCTACTGGCTTTGGTACGTGTCATGTAGATGCAGCTCGTACCCAACAAACTTACGCGTCCCCGTACGTTGACAAGGTCGAAGATCGTGGAAAATCTAGCCGTTGTGAACTACGACACTAACAATCTACACCTCGCACCTTATGACTGGCGCTTATCATATTACAACCTCGAGGAGCGCGATGGGTACTTCACAAAGCTTAAGATGACCATAGAGGGCTTTCGGTAGTTACTGGTGGCTTCCGTAGGTGACCGTGTGCTTAAAGCGGTGTTGTCAGGAAACGTGAAGGAAGACGCGTCGTTCTCGCCGCGCATTCCATGGGTAGCACTGTGCGATCCGATTTACCTATTGCTTCGTTGCACGACTGATATCCTTTCGCATCAGGTAATGCTGGTATGCAAGATGAGCTCTACCAGCCTGTCGCAGGCAATATTACTGACAGTCACTCTAGTACTTGTATGTCATCTGGGACGCAGCCTTCCGAGCTGTACACTGACGTTGTCATTTCAATATTGCTCGCTGCAAACCCACCCCCATGTTATGAACTTGACATAGCTTCAAGTGGGTAGAATCGCCTGAACATGGGAACGGTGGTCCAACGTGGGTCGAGGTGCGTATCCGTCTTGTTGTGTCAGTGATTTGATACGACCTGGAATTTGAAGGACAATGTCGAAGCACTGATCACCATCGCTGGTACTCACTTGGTAAGTCTTTCCTTCGCTAACAGTAGACGAGTGCTCATCGGGCACAACAGGGAGTGGTACGTTTGCACACATACTTTCTGCAGTATTGTTCATAGCCGGTCTCTAGGTCAAATCTATGTCGGCTTTCCTCTCAGGGGAGATGAAAGATACTGTCCAAGTTCACCCCGCTGGAGCATATGGTGCTACTCTCCGCTCACTCGCACGTATGCATACTAACGGCACGATGACAAGTTCTGGAGCGTTTCTTCTCGCGTCGGGAACGTCAAACGCTCTTCCGAAGCTGGGCAGGCAGCGCCAGCATGTGGATGAAGGTAACGTTGCCCTCCTCTCACACTTGGCCGTCTTCTCACCAGACTAGGGCGGTGACGCTGTCTGGGGCAATGCAACTTCCGCGCCGGACGACATGTCTGACGATGCGCGGAGCCACGGCGAGCTCATCCTCTTCCGCGAGTCCGTCCTAAGCACCGAAGGCGCAAAATCTGGGCTGCGGAACATGACTGCCTCGGAAGCCAGCACGTGGATCTTGGAGCGGACGCCGACTCAGTTCCAGGTGCGTCCCATGACTGCATGTCTTGGTATGAGTGGTTTGAAACGTCTGCCCATGCAGAAAATGATAGACTCTAACTACTCGTTTGGGATTGAGCGGGACGAAGAGCAGCTGAAGCGGAATAACAAGGATCATCGGAAGTGGAGCAATCCTTTGGAAATACAGTATGTCCCAGCGCCGTTCTGTTCCGTCCCGTGACTGACATCGATAGGCTGCCTGATGCGCCTACGACGAAGTTTTACTGCGTCTACGGACATGGCAAAGAAACGGAGGTGTGCCGACATTCGTACCACGCGTGTTACTTATATCGCTCATCACTATTCCTTGCTCTAGCGATCGTACTGGTCCGTCCCCGCCACGATCACACACGGCGCTCTGATTGACATGCCTCCGTTCACTCCTCCAGGTATACCCGCGAAGGCTACGAGCACGATGAAGTCCAAGCAGATAGGCTCGACGCCCAATGCGCCAACGTCACCGACTGCATGACCCCTCGAGCTCCTCTAGATCTGCCGCTTTTACGCAAGAGCCAAATCGACGCCGAATACACTGCCGAAGGGGAGTCTCCACAAGTCATCAATGGTGTACGGATGGGCGAAGGGGACGGGACCGTCAACCTCCTGAGCTTGGGTGCGATGTGCGTCGAGGGCTGGAAGCGGAAGCGGTGGAACCCTGCTGGTATCGAGGTAGTGACAGTCGAGGTGCGCCCTTCAGCAACTCTTTCGGTCTCACTCGTTAACATCCTCTGCCAGCTCCCACACGAACCGTCACTCACGGTTCCTCGAGGTGGCGGGACATCGGCGGACCACGTCGACGTCCTCGGGGCGACCGCTCTTAATGAGATCATTCTTCGAGTGGCGACGGGCGGCGGCGATCAGATACACGACTCATTCGTCTCGCGGATTCGCGACTACGCGAAGCGCATCCGATGGGATTGAATATATATGCCGTATGTGGCTCGAAGAGAACGCTACACTAGAGTTATACTAGCATTACACCGTATCTATGATAGAATGCTTGAAGCTACAGAGCTTCAGACGCAAAGAAGACAGGCCCTAGAAGGCTTTCGACCCTGCGCTAGCCACCATCACATTCTGATTTGTAGAATACAACGCACTGGCATGTATGTCATACTTGCTACACACAGTTTATCCTCGATACCCGACCAAAACCGACCGATTCGCGAGTACGGACCGTCCAACATACGCTCATCAAAGCACCCAAGTCCCAAAGCCCGAATTCGACCCTACCATCAGTCCTCAGACCGTCCCCGCCCGCCTCAAGCCCAACTTACCCCTCTCCAGCTTCACCACAAACCCATCCACCGCCTCCTCCTCCAAACTATTCACCGCGTCCACGTGCTCCGAATGGATCACCCGCCGCGCGTTCACCTTCTCCAGCACCATCCTCACCTCCGCGTCCTCCATCCCCGGCGCGGCCCCCGCCACGCCCGTCGTCTCCGCCCTCTCCAGGACGCGAGGATCCGCAGACGACTCCGAGCCACGGCGGGACTGGAACCGCAGTAGCTTCTCTAGCTTCGACGGGTCCACGATCGGCGCGCGGACGTCCAGGAGGGACTGGCGTTCCCTGGCCTCACCGCGTTCGACGTGGATCCCTGACTCAGCGCCAGGATGCACGGCGAGGCGCGCGAGCGTGCGGCGGACGCGCTCGTGCTGCTCGGGCGTCGTCGGGTCGAAGAGGTGGACGCAGAAGTCGAGCGCGCGCTGGAGCTCGTCCTCGGAGAGGCGCGTGCCCATCTCGGCGCCGCCTTGGATGACTGCGGGCGCGGGCGCGCGACGGTGGTCAACGAATGTTCGGGGAAGTAGAGCGTAGCGGGGTACGCACCGGGTCGCAGGCACGCGAACGCCCTGTCGAAGTTGTTCTCGGAGATGTCGCCCAGGACGTTGGTGGACTGCGAGCGGATCTGCTTGTATGCGCTCAGGACGACCACGAGGAACCTGCCCGTACACCTCCCGTCAGCACACGCTGTCAACCGTGAGGTCGTACGGACCTGGTGTACGACACCGCCACGCGGCTGCTATGCCACCGCGCCGCCTCCGCCTCCGTGCAGTCCCCGCGCACGCTCGCACAGATCGACGCAGCCGCGCTCAGCCCGCCCGTCATCGCCAGGTGCACGCCCGACGAGAAGAACGGGTCTATGAACGCTACCCGCACCCACCCACACCCACCACACATCAGCCACCAGCCCACGCCGACGTCCGCAATGAAACGAACGCACCTCCCGCATCCCCCACGAGCCTCCACCCCTCGCCCGCATACACGTCTGCGTGGTAGCTATAGTCACTCGCGCTCCTCACCGCCCTCGCCTCCTCCCCACCGGACCAGGCCCGCTCATGCTCGCTGCCCACGCCCATGCCCATGCCGGGGCCCGCGACATCCACGAGCGCGCCTTCGCCGATCAGCTCGCGCACGCCCGGCGCGAGCTGGAGGAAACCCAGGTAGCGCTCCGCGAGCGTCGACGCCGTGCGCGTGGACAGGGTCGACAGCGAGCGCGGGCGCGCGCTCGCACTCCCTGGGGCGGCGGCGGGGTTGGTGAAGGATGGCGCGGGAGAGCAGGAGGGCGAGGCGGAGGAGGACGCGCGCGAGCGGAGGCCGAGCTCTTTCTGGGCCATGACGACGCCGACGGAGGTGAGCCCGTTGTGCAGGGGGATGAACCACGCCCAGCCTGACTCGTCTGCCCGTTGCTCAGTGTAAGCGCAAGATAGTGGGAAGGAGCGACTCGCCGCTGAGTGCCTCGAAGTAGGGCGCGTTCTCTCTCGCCGTCCCCTTGCCGTACATGCCCGTGCCGCGCCAGTAGCCCCACACGGCGACGTTCTTGAGGCTCTCGTTCACCCTGCGATTCTTGAGGTACCTGGCGCGCCATCAGCCTGCATGACCCAGTGTCACACCCGCACATACGCACTTTGTGCTCATCACGCCGGCGCGCCCGCTCGCGTCGATCAGATACTCAAAGTCGATCTCGCCTCTGCCGCCGTTGGCCGTCTCGTAAATCGCCTTGATCGGCCGACCAAAGCCCACGTTTTGTTCGCTTTCCTTCGACGTCTTCCCACTGCTCGCAGCGTCAGCAGGAAGCGGGCTCTCCTCGGCGACGGCCCTCAAGCTCGAGCTGCCGGCGGACACCTTGCGGTTGAGTGACGGCCGATGCGCACTCTGCCGGGCGGGCGTTGTTTTTGCAGGCTGTGCGTCGAACAGGAGCTCGGTGACGCGGGTCTGCTCGAAGACGCGTGCGCCGGAGGCGGCAGCATGCTGGAGCAGGAGGTGGTCGAACTCTGCGCGGACGACGTTCCAGGCGGCGTTGTCGGATCCGAGCGCGACGAAGTCCGTGTCTACAAAGCGCAGGGAGAAGACGTGTTAGTCTAGACAGACGAGTCGGGAGGCGTGAGGCGTGAGTAGCACAACGGGAGTGATGGGAGCGTCAAGAACAGCGACCACTCACAACCTTCGCGCATATATTGATTGAATTTGATGGCGGAGCCAGGCTACGGAGTGGATGAATATTGGGAGCGTCGAGGAAGGTAGGTGATGGGCGCACCTTGGTAGCAAAGCCATGGGTGGCAATGAGCTCCTCTGCGCCAATGAAGCGTAAGTAGTGTCGAACGGAGGGAATAAGAGACTCTCCGATATGGTATCTGAGAGGACCGTCGTGAGGGGCGCTTGGGAAGAAGGGAGAGAACGGACCGGGGAAAGATGGACATCTCGAGGAGGACGACGTCGATGCCTTCTCGGGCGAGAGCGGCGGCGGCGTAGCTGCCTGCGGGACCGCCGCCGATAATGAGCACCTGGGTTTTCTGAGGATGGCATTGAGTGGGTAAGGTGTAAGAGAGGGGGGCCCGGCGACGGACCTTGGGAACATGAGCAGATGGCATGGTGGGGAAAGCAGAGCAAGAGACGATGTGGTGGGAGCAGGCGAGAGCAGAGCGGTGTGCCGGTGGGCAGTCCGCTCTGATTTAAGGCTGGGAGCCGGGGGAAGACACCGGGCTTCCCATCGGAATGAGGGTGGAGGAAACGGCGGCCTGGAAAGACGGTGGCCGTCCACTAGCTCGTCGCCTGTCCAGCTCGCCTTCTGTCCCCACCCCGCCCCATCCACGTCGCCCGCCACGCACCCTTCGCGGGCGACGACGACCGGCGGCCCCCGAGGCCCGAGGCGCGGTGGCGAGCGGGCTGCTACACTCGTCGTGCTCGACAGCGTAGGCAGGGCGGGGGAGGTGGCGTCGACGACAGAAGCTGTCACCGACGCCGACAGCCTGTCCGCACCGCCGTCCAGAAGCACGTCCCCGCTCACGACATGTCATCTCCACGTGACCGTGTCTGCCCCTCGGTCCCGCTCCCAGAAAGTCGAATCCACAGGGAGAGCCGTTGCGCGCAACGCGCAACGTCACGCGAGTCACGATGTGACTAGCCCTGTTGGCCAAAGTGGCAGGTCAACGGTACACGGAGTGGCAATGTTAGAGTACAAGAGCTCATCTTTGCTAAGTAACTTACCTGAGGAATATCTTCTTTGCCGAGAGCAAATGTCACCTCAGTGTGCATAAGTAGTTGGGAGTGACTACAGTGGTACTTACTTGACGCGCCCGCCACATGCTTACGTAATCCACTGGTAGACGCATCACGCCGCAGCGGAGACTTTGGGGAATCGGTCCTCCGCAATCACAAATTTCACAATTGAGCTGAAAACTGGGCTGAAAACTGTGTTGGAACAACCGGGTGAGCGCATACCCAATTCCCGGCTCGCCGACACACCACGCTGCGGCGCGATATGACTGCACCCGATCTGTACCTTACTTAGATAAGGAATCCATTTATTAGCCCGGCTTTTGCATGTATTTACTGTGAGAACAAGCGGAACAATGGTCGACGGGCGCGAGTGTCCCGGGCGCGGACGATGCCCGATGGGCAATCACGTGAGGTAGGTACATCGAAAACTACGGTTTATATACCCTGACCTCCCTTATCTTCATTCAGGAACTATCTCGGCCGAGCTTGCGAGCTCGTGCCTAAACGCATGTTCCAACATTTACCTCACATGTTTGCCTCCCTGTCCCGAGGACGAGACAAACCGCACACGTTTATTGCTATACCCCGCCGCTCGCACACTCTCACTTGCTCATTCCCGCCCGACGCCGATGTATGTTCAACAAACTGCTGGTTGTCTGAGAGCTATGGCACAGTCAGACATTGCTCAAAAAGAGATGTATATTTGTCACGACGCACCCCGCCACATGCCCTGATTAGGCAAGTGGTCGGTCGACAGTAATCTTAGTTGAAATTCACGCACAAGACACATCAACGTCAACCCAATGTACAGTATTCATGAACATCATCCCATTGATACTCAACTTATATAGCTCTATGTTCAGTCTGTTGAAGTGAAAGAGATTTAGAAGGGCTGTAAAGCCAGTGGAAGTGAAGGACTAGTAGATGGAGTGAACAGACCTATCCCAGAGGGAAGTCTCTGATGCTAGGCAGGCAGAAGAGAGGAGATGTTAAGGTTACAGAGTCTCAGTTGCGTCCTCGTGGTACTCGACTGGATTGCTACACTACCTGTTAAGGTTACAGAGTCTAGGAATACAGTATCAGTGCCCAGCATCCGAGAATAAAACTACAAACAAGCTTACCTCAGTCGTGTCCTCGTGGTACTCGACTGAGGTAGCTCTACTCTACGCGCGTCCGTTGAGTCCGTTCGTTCGTCACGTGTCTGTGTCATCACAAGCGCCCGCGTCTCGGTCCCACCTCAACACTCCCCCGGGACTGCGACGCGCATGTAAAGTAGGTGTTTAAGTAGCGTAGGTAAAGTAAGGGCCTTCGTAAAAATGTCCGCAGGGTTCTCTGAGCCCGGAATATGAATGATCTTCAATTGCTTACCACGTATTGCCTCTCGCAACCAGTGGTACCGGATGTGCAAGTGACGCACTCGCGAGAAGTTCGTCGAGCGCATCGCTAAGCTCTCTCCCCAGCACTATCCATCCGAATCACCACTGGACGCGCGATCGGCACATAGATCTCGTCCATGAAGTTCGCGATCCACACGCCTGTCTGCCCCGCATGTACCGCCGCGATGTATTCGGCCTCGGTCGTCGACAAGGTCACGACTGCTTGCCTACGTGAGCTCCACGAGACGGGTCCGCCTGCCATCATTACCACGTAACCGTGCGTGGACCGCCCCGTGTCAACGCAATCGCCCTGCGACGCGTCCGTGTACACCGTGGGCTGAAGACCTGCCGAGTGGTTGCCGTCGTAAGTCAGCCCGTAGTCGAGGGTGCCTTTGACGTAGCGAAGCACACGTTTGAGCGCACGCCAGTGCTCGTAACTCGGGTTTGCCATGAACCGACTTAGCAGCTGTACAGGGTATGCGAGGTCGGGGTGAATCGCAACGGCGAGGTACATGATTGCGCCCAGAGCCTCACGGTAGGGGATCTTCTCCATCTCCTCGCGCTGTTCAGCGGTCGCCGGCTCAGCCTCTTTTGATAATTTGCAGCCTGGCTCGAGTGGTGTGCGGACCGGGTTAGAGTCCTTCATCCCGAACCTATCCAGCACGCGTTCGGCGTAGGTGCGCTGGGACATCCGCATCGTCTTCTGTGCCCGGTCTCGCTCGATCAAAATGCCGAGCATGTACTTGAACTCACCTCCCCCGCTGAGCCGGTACTGCACAGCGAGTTCGGATCGCACGGTCACCAGCCCCTCGACCGAGTCCGCTGCCTCCCCGATGTTGTCCGTGTATGTCGCGGTGATTGCCAATCCGTCCTCATCGAACCTCGCCCGCACGCATTCGTCTGACCGCGATTGCGAGAACCCAAGGTCCTGGTACGTCTCATCCAGATGCTTCCACCAGTCATTCCCCGCTTGCATGCATCCATACAGTCCGCGCACCATCCTGCAGACGTGCGTCGGGAATTCTTTGGAGACGTATCCGGCCGGTTGCTCCATGTAGATAGTTTCCTCCGGGGACGCGTTAAGGTAGGCCTTCTCGACGTCGTCTTGGGCCATTTCCATATCGCGTACGACCGCCGTCGCACAAACCAGACGCAGGGATTCGAAATGTACAACTGATGCATGAGTCTCGAAGTAGTCGACTCCGGGTATCTGCTGAAACCCTTCGCCACCAGCCTCGCCTTCAGTTTCCACCTTCCGTCGGCTCCCTCGTCTCCGTCGAATTTCCGTGCGTATACCCATTTATTCCCAATGACGTTCATGTCGGGCGTGCGAGGTACGAGTTCCCAAGCATTGATCTTTGATAAGCCGTTGATTTCGCTGTCCATCGACGGCGTCCATACCTCCGGTTCTCGCGCCGCCTCCTTGTAGGTCTCCGGTGTTTTACCCCCGCGGTACCACTTCACTCCGTCGTCATGACCAGCTGGGACCGCCTCCATGAACATCGCCAGATATGCGCCTTCCGGGCTCAGGTTGCGACCAGACTCCCCCAGTCCGTCAGCTGCCCATGGCTCGCCCTTCTCTCGTGCTTCTGCCTCGCGCGCATCCAACTCGTGCGACTCACGGAGTTTCACACTCGGTACAGGCGCTCTCGCTGATCGACGAGGAGCGATAGGCTCGCGCAGTTCCAAGACAGGCGCGGTGTTGACATTGTCCATTGGCTCGGGCTCCACGACTTTGGGTGCCAACGCCTCGTCCGTCGGCTCGGTGACTTGTGTGCCAGCGGACACCACCACGGAGACATCTTGGGCCTCCTGGGTCAGTGTCCGATGCCCCGGACCCTCCTCGAATATGACGTCTTGGCTTCGGATTACGCGGTTGGTTGCTGGATCCCACAGACGGTAGTTAGCGTTCTCGGTATAGCCCACTAAGATGCATCGTATAGACTTCGGATCGAGTTTCGTGCAAGTTTCGTCGGGCACCTTCGCCCAAGCTATAGAGCTGAACGCTCGTAGATGCGCAACATCCGGCACCTTTCCGAACCACAACTCGTAGGGAGTTCGCCCGTCTTGCCTTGCCGACGCCGTCAGGTTCTTCAGGTACATCGCAGTTCTGTACGCCTCTGCCCATAGGCTCACGGGGAGACCGGCGTCGAACAGCATCGACCTAGTGTGGTCGCCCAAGGTGCGGTGGCCGCGTTCTGCCACTCCGTCCTGCTGCGGCGTATACGGCGTCGTCATCTCGTGTATGATCCCGTGCTTACGCGTGAAGGCTTCCCAAAGGGTGTTGTCGAATTCGTGGCCATTGTCGGTGCGTATGCAACAAATCTTCTTCCCCGTGTGCAGTTCTGCCATTGCTTTGAACCCGCTGAATGACTCGAGGGTCTCCGACGCTTCCTTGGTTTTCAGCGTGTCACATACTTCGAATGACGACTTGCCATCGTGTAGGGTCATCCCGTGATACGCTCCACCCATCGATGGTTCATGTGCTCGACCGGTTAGGTCGATGTAGATGCGTTCACATACTTCCTCCTCGACGCAGGACGAGGTTGTTACGGACGCGGCGGACAGAGTGAAGTCCGCCTATTTACACATCTATTCTTCATTGTACAATAACCGCGACCCTCATCTATTCCTCCCTCGTCCCATATAGTAGCATTACCTTTTGTGTCACGTGTACAACTAGGTGCGCGCCTCTGCCAAAGACGCGCGCTATACGAAATAGACGCCAGACATCTTGCATCCTACTACCTCGTCCGAGTGCGATTCAGCCGCGCCGTACGACTTAGGATCAGTCTCTCCAAACGTCGGGCTTCTCGCCCTTCGTCCTCGACACGAGCTCCTCGCTGCGCTGTCTCTCGGAATCGTCTCCTCGTCGACTCCGTGGCCGAGCTCCTCGCCGACGGCCAGCGCGTTCCTCGCGCGACGACTTAGACGCGGGCTCCTCGCCCTGCCTACGCCTACAGCGGGCTCCTCGCCCTGCTACGACCTTCACGACCCTCACAACTTCAAGCCCGTGGCAGCCCTCTGACCACCACACTCGAGTTCACGGCCTAGCCCGGTCCCTTTCAGCGAGAGCGCAAACGGCTAACTCTCACATTGGTGGACACTCAGGGAGCCGGTCCACTAGTACGTGAACTCATCTTTCCCTTCCCTTCATCATGTCGACCCGGACGCCCGCCGCCGGAACCTCCTTCGTCGGCGATGCTAAGCGGCCTCTCCGGCCAGCTTCGGTCGTTCCGTCCGGCTCGACTACTCCCTTTACTCCTGTCTCCGCTCCCAACCCTGGAGGCTCCCTCAGGTTCTACGGAGCTCCTACTACCGTGTTGCACTCGGGCGGCCCACCCGCTCCATCGTCACGCTCGCCTGCCGCTGGATGGACTAGCGATTTTAGCCGCTTTCCGTCCACGCAGCCGGGTGGGACGAATCCGACTACTATCCCAAGGTCTTCTACAGGCAACCTACCCAAAGGAACAGAGGTCGACAGATCCACCGTAACGTCCTACGCGGTCCCTCCTATTTCGCCCCGTAAGGATGGTAGCTCCAACACGGTACTACCAGACGTTTGGACCTTTCGCAAGGCGGTTCCATCCCCCAAGCCGTCGGACGTACAAATGCCTGTGCCTGGACGTCCCCCGCCCTCCTTTCTTGACGGGTTAGGCCCGCAAGCTTCCTCTACGCCCGGACGTCCCTCCGCGACCCGATCGGAGAGCGTGGCTTCGACCAACTCCTCCTCGTCGGAGATCCGACAAGCCGCGAAGAGCGCTGTCGACAAAGTTCATCTGCGTGACCTCCTCGATAAGGACGGTAAATTCAAAGCTCATCTCCGCAGGCCGGATGAAGCTCAGCGAGTGTACCTCGAACTCAACACTCCGGACCCGCAAGGTCGATATCGCCTGCTCTTCGACGAATGCAACACCCTAGTCTGCGAGGACGTAGATCCGGACGATATCATTGACTCGAAGAACCTGGACGAAAAGGATGGTCGGTTCTATCTCGCTGGGAAGCAACGCGACCGCATTGAATACGTCACCGAAGGAATGGAAACCTTGGTGGCGGCGATGCTTCGTTTGGAATGCGAGAACCGATTCTGGAAGGTTGACCACGCCGAGTCCCTCACGAAGACTCTATCGGGAGCGTCCTCTAAAGGAATGGTTTCGGACGCCTACCGCACCGTCCAGTACCGAGTGGCTAAAGCATCGACGCTCATCCATCAACGTCTCGCATTACACGGCGGCTACACGTATCCTAAGTCCATTCAATCTACCGCTTCCGACTTCAGCTATGACCTAGCGACCTCCGCCACGAAGAGAGCCATGGTCGACAAGTGGCTGAAGCAACCGGACATTTTCCATAACCTCACTCCGGATTACCAAGCTGTGGTGCAGCGCCGCTTAAGTGACTCACGGGAGGTCGAAGATCCCGCCTCCCTCGCGCAAGTCCCCCCGGAGCTACAGTTCAAGATCCCTCCCAGCTTGCTCCTCACCAGCTCAGTAATCCTCAACGCTTCCATGACTCAGGACTACGATGCCACGGGAGCTCCCTCTCTCGCTTCGCCGGACCGAGTCAAACAGGAATTGACACACGGAGTTTCCCTGTCCCCCGCCGAGCCGTCTGTTTCTTCCAAAAAGATCAGACGAGTTCGATTACCTCCTCCTACGGTCGACACTCGCCCTCGTTACACGCAAAGGTCGAGCTACGGGAATCCTGATTTCGAACTACAGCCTCAAAGCGAGACGACCCGGCGAGTCCAATTTAAGGAACCACCATCTGTCAGCCAAGCCGGGCGCCCCGATCTGAGCTCGTCCTTCGCCTTTCCGACCCAACAATCCGCGATCCCTATCACTAAGGAAGAACGACGATCCTCCGGTCCCCACCCGCGCGGGCATTCACGTGCTCTACCCAATTCATCCGCCACGCAAGCGGTGCACGTCGCGGTGTATCCAACGGGAGCACCGTATTCCATGGCCCAACCACCACGAGTTATACCTCCAGCATCCGCGAATGCCGACCACTATCAAGATTTCAGGGATCCCCCTCCCCACCTACCTCAAGCAAACAACATTCCTCAGTCCTTTAAAGGACCGAATGGCGACCATTACTACGTCTACCAACCTAACTTGCTGGGGAGAGGGCCATGGCTGGCAGTACAATCCCATTTATTTAGACACATTGAGGTGTGAAGAATTCAGTATTTCCCATTTTCACTGTCTAGTTGCTGCCTGGCAGCCCAAATATTCTATGCATCCTGTTTATCTACATTGTTGATTTCAGTGCTCCATCATGAGCAATATTACAATTGAGCAAGTAAGCCACCATGTGTTGTGTGTCATTGCTATATTCATAGGAAACTGTCTGTGAAGAGCACATACTTACACTGAGACTTGCACACGGAATCATTATTGCCTTTGCTCAGTATTCCAGTAATGCCTACTCAATGGTCATGGTATCCAGTCATAATTCTCATGAACACAAAGGTTTTCAACCTTTGTGAGATAACTTTTGGTTTCATCTGCTGGCTGACACTTACTTCTTTTGTATGCATGCACAATTCACCACCATATTGCTCTTGTTCAACCACCCTCTCAATATATACAGATTCTCTACTGTTTATTTGGAATGGCAGGTACTCCACCAGATATTACCACAATGCACCATGTGTAATAATACCTGCTTCTTGGACCCTCCCATGATATATACAACACTGTTAAAATGGCACACATGTTCACTCCTGGGTCTATGGTGTTATTGTGTGACTTTCCATATACCATCAAAGAATCCAGCATGAGTAGCTGACATTTTATGCTAACATGTGAAGGGAAATGTTGCTGCCAATGAGAGTGATCCAAAGTCACTTATTATTGACTCGAGATCTAGAAAAGGACAGTCAGATATTTGCCTAGAAGTCCACTATAAGTATGGTCTGTTGCTGGTTGCCTAGTGGCAGTCTGAGTGACAGTAGACATTGTACAAATAGACATCATCAATACATGGTACAATCATTCCCTGCCAATTATATCACCCAAGGCTCATTGCGTAACTTGAACAATAGGACCTGGTAACACATCAGCCTATAATATGATGGTAGAGGTTAGATATGCTCCAAGCAATTATCATATGAGGGAATAGAGTTGATGTCATCTCATTCTCCACCATTTGTCCAGCACTGCAGCAACTATGAAGGGCTGGGATGTATGGTAAGTCTGCATGTCTAGTTTCTCACCTCATGACACTGGTAGTGTATACAGTTCTCTAGTAAGAGTAGCAAGTGCACAGTACAGTGTCTCTGTGTCACTTCTAGGATCAGTACAGTGTGAACAGATTCTGGAACCCATATTTGTGATGGCTATGCCATTATACAAGGGACATGCAAAGCAAAGTCAATGTTATGAGTGTTTCCAGCATTGAATGGTACCTTTGTGCTGCAGGTATTCATTGTTGAGTGATCATGGTCCACATAAGGGGCTGAGAAGCCAATTACTAGTTACAGCAAGTAGTACAAGGTGGGAATCATACATAACATTTCCTTGTTTTGTCTGCATTTTCTGAGCCCAGACTCAACAACTAATTCAAACTTTCCAGGTCAGCTACTACATAGTATTCACACAATTCATAGGTAATTGGTAAGCATCACAGGAAACACAAACAATGTCAAAGAATGAGTGTGAGGCATGTGCTTTTTATTGTTCTTTGTTGGATGGTGCTATATTAATATGAAAGTATGGGAAGGCATACTATGTACAGACTCTATGACACATTATATGTGACTGAGAATATACCCAATCAGTTTTTTCTTTACATTTTTGGGAGGCCACAGCACAGCAAATACATGTCACTGATGGGCTTGTGGCTGGCATTAGTGCATTGCATGGGTATGGATAACCCATGTGGGTCATGGGTATGGGTATGCATGGGTATGGGTATGGGTAGCCAAAATCTGACCCATGTACCCATGCAACCCATGGACTTCTGTGGTAATAATTCTGTGGTAAAATTTGGCAACTGTTGATTAGATAGTCTGTGCTATGTTTCTCTCACAGTTCAACAGCTATATGGTGATCCTGAAGCTTGCTTCAAAGTACTTTGCAATAGCAGTATGGGAAAGTTGACAAGTGTTCCCTTTCCGTAATGTCAGCCTTCAAGATACAGTTGGTACTTGCTAGAATTGCATTATATATTTGAGTCCATTTTCAAACATTCAATAATGTTCAACTTATGATTATGAGGATGATTCAGCAAGGCCAACCTGCAGGAATATAAGGAGTGTCAACTTGCTCATGGAAGACACACTTTTGCTCCACAAACCATCTATCTTGACCCACAACTAACAACTACAGTACTCTATACATTGTAGTTAGACCAATGCACTGTTCTTTCTAACCTAACTCTCTCCTTGTCCATCTCATCTACCTATCTAGCTCTCCTGACCCAAGCAATACCCTGAGTGACTGGAACCAAGTTTGTGCAAGACCTGCCTATGCCACATCCTGTCTTCTTATAAGTAACCAGAAGACAGATTTGTCATTTATTGTTATGCTCCAACCAATGATACACAGACTATTGAGGTTGTCCTATTGACAACAACAAGTGCATTACAGTGTATGTACCATTATGCTCAATTAAATGCAGTGCCATGTGCTTGGTAGCCCAGTGCAGCTGAGATACTATACTGGCACAAAATATTATCATACTGAATCTTACCATGCAATTGTCCATGCTGGACAGCCAGTAATACTGTATACTTAATTCTTGCTAGGTACATGTGACAGGGCCACTCTAGAATTTTGAAAAATCAGTATGAATACTGGTCATGGACCCCTTGAGGTGAGCCTAGACCTGCAGTTCCAGCACTACATTTAGCATAGATGCCTTGTTAGTTAATTTTCTAAATCCAGGATTTCAGCAGAGTGACCAGTGGCCACAGTTACATGCAGGTGGCAGGCCATTGAATACAGTAGGTCTATGATCATGCTTTTTATAAGACATCATGCTCCTTATTGTGTCACTTATCACCTGGCAATGTATTAACTAGGCTTGAATGAAAGTAATTGCATAATGGGCTGGTCACATTCATCCCCTGGCCCCACTTATCATATATTAGTGGAAGCCTGTGACATAAGACAGGATTCAGTGATGATGATCAAGAAATAGATTCAAATAATTTCAATATGATCCTCTTCTCAGGGGCTAGTCTGACAGACATTATCATATTCATGACACAATGCAACATCTTGTCTGTGTTTCAGTTCAATTTTTGTATACCCTGAGATACATTTGTTCTGCTCAATGTTGACCATTGTAATCCCACTACATCTGGGTGATCCAATATGATGAGCTTTAGAGGGTTCTGCCCATGGTATCACTATACATTTTGTGTTGTGATGTGTAAGACTTATTTGTGTATACAGCCTTGCTATTCCCCAAATGTTGTGGTTGTCCCACCTGAATATCCATATATGTTGGAAATATAGGTACAGTAACTGCCCTCATGTAAGTGACTCCCATCTAAGCAATGTGTCCTGGCTTGCAAAAGTGGAAGCTCCAACAATGTTGTGATTGACCATGCAGTCAGTGAAACTCACCTGGCCAGTATGATACCGACAAACACATCCCGTACCATGCAAAATTATGAGTACCATGAACTGCACATAGATCTACCCATGATAGTACCCATACCCAAGGGTACCCATGATACCCATGCAAAACCCATACCCATGGCATGGGTATGCAACCCATGTGGGTATGGGTATGGGTATGCCCTCAGACACCCATGGGTACACCCACGCTATGCACTAGCTGGCATTCAAGCTCAACTCCAGAGTTTGGCAGCCTGTCTGTTCAGGGCCTGTTGAACTGTTGAACAAAACACAACAGCTTAGGATCCTGTTAGGAGTTGCCAGTTCCTGACAATTCCAGGTGATACTGGTGGTTACAAGATATACGAAGACTCACTGAAAGAGTGGCTTATATCAGGCCATGCATGGGAAACTCTGCACTATCATAGGTTTTTTGCCACATGTGAGCCTCAATAGTGAGCACAATATGAATGTATAGTACTCCTGGATTTTTCTCTGATTTCCTGCTATTTATCCAGTACTGCAGAGGCCATCAATGGCCAACTTCCTAAATGGGCAGGAGACTAACCATATATGGCAGGTTTCCATGTCTGCCTCAAAGACTCCCCTCATACCTGTGGAGCTCTCTAGTACACATGCTTACCAAGATCTGCTCATATGCCTCAGTATCACTTCTCATGGTCAGTACTCTCAAAGATACCTAATATGGACACCCATCATTATCCATGAAGTATCCCATGGAGAAGGAATATTTGGGTATTTATTTGAGTATTTTTGCGCATTTAATGGGGCTCTAGTAAGAGCTGAGTTAGTGTGGCTGAGAGCCATCAAAAAACTCAGCATGAAGAGCTGAGATTGAAAGATTACTTTAAAAGGGAATATTTGTCAGCATCCCAGCCAATGAAAATGTTCCAAAATCCCTTTTGAATGACCGGAGTCGTCGACAGGCCGGGAATTCCGGCCTGTCGACGACTCCGCTTCGGCAACGGGCGCTTATTTGCGCGCTTAGTAAGCGATGTAAGTGTGCACTGTTTCTGCAGCAAAACTGACTTGTTTGGGGCTCAAGAAAGTCCCAGAAAATCGGATAATGTTCTAGAAGATCTGTGGAATATCCCTAAGCATCTTAAAAATAGAGAGAACCTCAATACATGGTCATTCAGTAGTGGGAAGTCAACACAGGCATGTTATGACAATATTTCCCCACTCATAGCAGTGCTGTGCACATTCCAGACACACTCATGCTGTGTGGACTATGTGCATGGTCTATACAGGTCATATCAAATGTGTTTCAGAGACAACAACCTATTCATATTTGGAATCACTTTGCAATTGTCCACAGAGGTTCTCTTTTCTGGATTATGAATATATAGGCAAGGCATGCTGGTTATAGACTCTGAGGACGCTATACAGAATCAATTTCTTACATACAGCAGGCATCATGGATTAATTCAATTGTACATAATATTCCCAGATTTTATCAGCATTTTCTGAGCCCAGACTGAGCAGCTGAATGGAAACTGCCATTTTTGGAAGGCCAGCTTCCCTATATAGCAGATCCCAGATGTCAGAGAATCAATGGGCAGTCTACAGGCTTTGATAGAGTCGCTTTGAAGGTTAAAAGCAGTGCACTCATGTGTACAGAGGCATATGTGGGTTTTTGAGTTTTGTGAATTGTGCCATAACCACTGAAGTTGATGGGCAAGTCACAGCAGCTACAGACTCTATGACATCATACCTATCAGAGAGAATATTTTGGAGATTTGTCTTATTTGTGAAGGCTACAGTACAGCAGATACATAGACTTGAGAGCCTTTGGCCAAATACAGTAAGGCCAGTCAGAGGCTAATTCCCTTAAACAGCATATTTCAGTGGAGTCTGGGAGACTACACTGCAAGATGACTCGCCCACAGGTCAAAACTTTGACCTGTGGACGAGTGAACCTCACATGGCATGTGGCTGAGCCTATTGCACCAGACTCTGTGTTTCTGCTAACCCTTTTCATCTCATCCACAAGTACTCAGCATCACACATCAACCCACAATGGGACAATAGTGTTATCTAATATTCTGCTCATTGTCCGGCCATTTATGCAACACTGTAAAGGTGATCTATCCCAAACGGGCAAGGGATCTACCATATATGGTCATTTTTCATATCTGGTAGCCATAGACCCCTGCATAAGATTGTCAGCCTGTAGGACTCTCCAGTAAGGGCAGTAAATGCAAAACAACATTTGTACATATGCCTCTGCATCACTTGCATTGGTCAGTACACTGTGAACAAGCCCTGGGATACCTAATTTGGACCTCCATACCTGTGTGCAAGGAGCATTGCATGAGAGTCAATATTCCGAGATTTCTCCACATTTAATGTGCTCTAGTAAGAGTCTAGACAGTGCTGCTGACCACATTGGGCAAGCCATCAAAAAACTCGGCATGGGGAGCTGAGATTGAATGATTCCCTTAGAAGGCAAGGTTTGCCAGTGGTTCAACCAATGACATTGCTCCAAAATCCCTTTTGGGTGACCTGAGTTGCAGAGAAATGCAGGGCTGCAGTTGTATACAAGTCCGCTTCGGCAATGGGCGCTTAGTAAGCGGTGTCAGTGCAGACTGTTACTGTGTCAAGAGGGCTTGTATAGACTTGAAAAAAGCGGAATATTCAGAAGATATTCAGAATGAATGAGGTCAAATCCTTATAGCCTTCCATGATACAATTGTTGCATCAACTAGGGCAGTATACTCAATAACACAGTGAAATTCACATTCAGGGAGCTCATATAAGCCTATGATCACAGTGTCTCTGCAGCATACAAAGCCTGACATCATAGTAGCATGGATACATATGTATGTATGGCCATTATATATCCCCAGATTGTGTCTATGTGTCTATATGCCAGCTACATGCCACAACTACCATATAGAGTAGGTGTCCTGCCCAAAGAGGAAGTAGGACAAGATGTGGTGCCCATGGAGGTCACAAAAATGCAGAAAATCTGTCAAATATACAGAAGTACCCAATAGGAGAATCTGAGTGCTTGGGATTATCATAGACATCACTACACCATGTACATGGACTACAACATGTGAAAAGAGGGTCAAATGGCTCATTGTGGCTGATTTTGGCTGTAGTGCAGCACCCACTGAGTTGTACAGTGTCTGAATCACATATGTATGTCATTACAGACATATGGAACACATCTGAGGCACAAATAGGCACTTTGACATCTGCAGAGGCACATGTGGATTTTTTTATTTTGCATTTTCTGGACCAGCCAGCCACTCTAGCTACTCAATAATGATAGTGTATACTCTCTGAATGAAGGGCTATCAGATCAGTATACTAAGTCCATTCACAATTGTTACTAACTAGGGCTATGGGGCAGCCTATAAGTGTGAGCGCTAGCAGTGAGCTGCCTGGCTGCCAGTCACATGACATGCTCACCAGTTGCCATATTGGGTGCCACTCGAAGTGTTTCTTGGGCCCTCACCCCAGGACAAAGCACTGCGCCACAGCATTTGTTTGGTGGTGTTGGTGCAAGTCGCGTCGTCTGGGAGTCTGAAAATTTTGAACTCCGCTAACTGACCATAACAAATGTTAACTATACATGGTAAGCTGGGGGCAAATGACTGTACCTGTGGGAAAAAACTGCCGCATTGGGCGCCACTGGAAGCTTTTCAGGCCCGTCCATCATAAGAACGATACCTTCGTACCTCAGGGATCGTAACTCTGCCGGTTATGCGACGTACGGAGGGAATCACCCTCCTACGCCTCATCCTCCGAACCCCAACTTCTACCCTCGAGGCCCTGGAGGCCCTAACCCTCCGCCTGACCACTCTCCCGGTCATCATGGAAGCTCGGGTCATGGCGGCGGTCCGCCATCTGGTGGTCCCCCGGGTGACGGCGGGGGCGGTGGTGGCGGTAATGGCGGTGGTGGAGGTGGTCCCGGGTACGATCCTTACGCTGGAAGCCCGTCTCCTGGATCACCCTATCACAGCGGAGGTCCTCCCGGTGGAGGTCCCCCAGACGGTGGACCCCCTCCTAACGGAGGCTGTTCCTACGGGTTCCTCCCTGGAAATCAACCTACTATTATCATCCATCATACTCCCGCTCCCCGTGAACAAGGCGTCCGCCTCGATCAGAAGATCTCGCGCGACTCCATCCCGGAATGGGACGGCAAGCTTCCTACGATCCTCGTCTATCTACACAAGATGAACAACCTTGCCTTCAAGAACGAATACGTCGCCAGGGATCTAGGAGTCGCCGCTCCCGACCGCTTCACGGGTCGTGCGGAGAGTTGGTGGCAAATGCTCGGTCTCCAACACCAACGGCTCTACTCATCGAGTTGGTGGGCTCTCTACCAAGGCATTAAGATTCAATTCTTCACACATAAGTTCCTCATGGCTCTCCGCACGCACTACGACGGCCAACATTTCCGACAAGAAGGACACGAGAAGGAATCCCCTCTGAGTTTTATAGATTGACATATTCTTTACCATCGACACCTCACCCGTGCGGAGGAAACTCCGGAGGATGAGATCGCCGCCATTATGCAGAATACTCCGCCCGCCTGGTCGACGGTCCTGTCCATCGACTCTATCTTTACCATCGCTGCACTAATGGCCAAAGTCGCGGACAAGACGGACGAACTCATCGCCTTCGCCGGCCTGGGTCTCGCTCGCTCTACTCAATACGAGCAAGTCCTCCGTCTCCCGTCCTCGAGGTCCGACTCACGTTTCACGAGCAAGTCCAAACGGGTACACGCAGCGGACGGTATCGGGGGAGGTATTGAATTCGACGACGAAGACGACTTCTCTGACAGCCCAGTGACCTCGAACGGACCAGGCGAGAGCGATGCAGCCGCTCCGCCGTCCAAATCTCGAGATGTCGCCGCCGCGTCAGCCCAAGGTCAATCGTCGAGCTCCAATCGAGGCACTGGTCGCAAACCGCCCCGAGGTGGCCACCACTTCAAGCGGGATGATTCCGTCAAAAGCAAGAAACCTCCTCCAGGGGACTGCCGAGTGTGTGGTAGTCCGTATCACTGGGATCGGGACTGCCCGCACTGGAACAAGTACGATATCGGACGTAATGCTCTCCTCATTGGTGCGGAATACGACTGCGACGAGCAAGAGAATGTCGACTACGAACAGGCTTTTGTAGCGTACATCTGTAATGGTTTGAACAATACCAAACTTTCGAGTGCGTTGTGGATGGATCTCCGTCAAGCGGAAGGTCTCTATCTGAAAAACATGACGACCTCTCGTCCCAGTTCGAACGCAGTAACTATCGAGGAGGAGGAAGAGACCTCGATTCCTAACTATGAGACTCTCCCGCCCGATCACCCTCGTATCATGGAGGCGGTCGAATCCGACCTATCCGAAGCCACTGAGAAGCTTACCGACTTGATAGCTGAAGCATTGACGGTCGACGGCTCCTGTCACGCATTCACAACGCGAGAAGCCCTATCCGGCACCTCGACGATAGAGAGCGGAACCGCCGCTCCTATCGGTCCTGGTCCCGGCCTCGCCAACAATCCCAAGGTGGTAACGTTGAATCGAGTGCGCGACCCCCCAGCCGGACACTCCACGGTAGGAGTATCAGCTCTGTCCTTCCAACTGCGATTCGGAAGTCCCTCGCACAGTCCGGTCCAATGTCGTGCGGATTCCGGAGCCGACATATCATTGGTATCGCAAGAATACCTAGATTCGCTCCCGTCCACGACACACCCCAAGATCCGTCAAGGCCTCCACATGAACTTGTTCCAGCTGACGGGTGGGTTTCGCATTACGGGATACGTACAGACTCAAGTATACGTCAAATCAGAACAAGGACACACCCTCAAAATGATGGCGGAATGCTATGTCGTTCCAGGGATGTCCTCCCCCTTGCTGCTTGGAGAAGACTTCCACGTTAATTACGAACTGGGAGTCACGCGAAGTCTGGAGGAAGGATCGGCCATTCAAGTGGGCGACACTGGGTACTCCATCCCGGCTTCCTCTGCCATCCGTAAAGACTGACCCCCTATCAAGATCATCGCTAGGGGAGCCGACTCTAGCTTCGTCAGAGCTAAATCGCACCGCAGGCGTCGAGCGGATCATTACCGTGAACAAACGAAGAAGCTGCGTCCCACCGCCATCGCGACTCAGGACGTGCGAATATCGCCGCACTCCTGTCGTCTGGTGCCGGTACAAGCTTCGTTCCTGGAACACGATTCTTGGTTCATCGAGAAGACAGTTCTCGGGCAATCGGACGGCTCCTTCTTACTCACGACCCCGTCCATTATCGATGCCGAACACGTCTATGTGTCTGTCACCAACCCTACCGACCGACCTATCATAGTATGCAAGGGCGAGTCCTTGGGCCTCCTTCACGACCCTTCGCAACATTTTATGAGCAGTTCCCCGGATCTCGAGACTCACGCACTCGCCGTTCAGACTCTCATCCGTGGCGCGATGGAAGAGCCGCGCGCGGATGTAGCAAGCGACCCTATGGTCGAGCTTCGAGACGACGAATGGGGACCTAAGACTGCGGAACTACCAGACCCCGAGACCTACCCGTCCGACAAACTCGCTGACATTCTGGATATCGGTCCCGAGTGGCCCGCAGACGAAAAGGAACGACTGCTCCGTATGTTGAAGGACAACCAAGCCGCATTCGTGTTCGACGGATGCCTCGGTCACAATCCTTCAGAGGTTGAGATCAAGCTTCAACCAGACGCTAAGCCCGTGTCGCTACCTATGTACGGAGCCTCTCCAGCTAAGCGTCAAGTGATCGACAAACAGCACGACTCCTGGATGTCTTTAGATGTCATTGAACCCTCCAACAGTCCCTGGGGGGCCCCGGTGCTGATAGCTTACCGCAACGGGAAACCGCGTCTTTGTGTCGACTACCGCCGTCTGAACTCTGTCACTATCCCGGACGAGTTCCCAATCCCTCGTCAGAACGAGATCCTGCAAGCACTCACGGGCGCTCAGGTGCTTACGTCTCTGGATGCGCTGGCTGGTTTCACTCAACTAACCGTCGCAAGTGACGACCGAGAAAAGACGGCCTTCCGGACGCACCGCGGTCTGTTCCAATTCAAGCGTCTCCCCTTCGGACTCAGGAATGGACCTTCGGCCTTCCAACGAGTTATGCAGGGAGTCCTGGCCCCGTATCTATGGCTATTCGTGCTGGTTTACATCGACAACATCGTAGTCTACTCGCGGTCCCGGAACGAACACATCTCACACCTCGATAAAGTACTCAAGGCTATCATCTCGTCAGGCATTACCTTGTCTCCTCCTAAGTGTCATTTTGGGTACACCTCAATCTTGCTGCTCGGCCAGAAGGTTTCCCGCCTCGGATTTTCCACGCATCAAGAGAAGGTACGCGCCGTGATGGAACTAGCCCGTCCAAAACGCGTACCTGAGCTACAGACCTTCCTCGGGATGACCGTGTACTTCGCCGCGTACATCCCCTACTTCTCGTTCCTGGTCTCCCCCTTGTTTGAACTGCTGAAGAAAGATCACAAGTGGGAATGGACAGCTGACTGTGAGGTAGCCTGGCAAAACGCGAAGGACGCGCTCCAGTCTGCGCCAATACTTGCCCACGCGATTCCGGGACAACCGTACAGACTCTACACGGACGCATCCGACATTGCTCTAGGGGCTTGCCTTCAGCAAGTTCAATCCATCTGTGTAGGTGACCTCCGCGGCACTCGCACGTATGACCGCCTCGCCAAGGCATTCGCTGACCGAGCACCGGTACCCGTACTGGTCGCAAAGACCGCTCGCAAGTTCGACGACTGCCCTCCTCCGTCGGAGTGGAGTCCCACATTGGACGATACCGCCGTCCATGTGGAACGCGTCATCGCCTACTGGAGCAGGACTTGCAAACCCGCTGAGCGAAATTACTCTGCGATGGAACACGAAGCTCTGGCAGCTAAGGAAGGCTTAGTACGCTTCCAACCTTTCATCGAAGGAGAACTGGTTACACTTGTCACGGACCACGCGGCACTGCAATGGGCCCGCATGTACGAGAACACTAACCGACGGCTGGCAGCCTGGGGGCGGTATTCGCGGTGTTTGCACCGAACCTAGATATTGTGCACCGAGCGAGACGAGTCCATTCCAACGTCGATCCGCTGTCTCGACTTCCTCGCGACCCTCTGGAACACCAATCTCCGTGTTTTGACTCTTCAATCCCCATCATCACTGACCAGACCACGGCTGCTGCTTCGGAATCAGCGGCCGAGCGAACCCCCGCCCCTCGCATGGCGGCCAAGGCGTCGATAGCAATCTCCTGGGACGATGTGCTCGAGGGGACGCCACCGACAGGATGGCAAACCCGCTCACTTCCCGAAGACTCAGGCCTCAGCATGGGGGGCGAGCTACAGGAACAGGATGGAACGAGTGAGGGAGAGACAACGCCTCCCCATGTCGAACCACTCAAGATCGCCAATCCAATCCAGACCCGATCCCGCTACACTAAAGACGCACAGGAATCCCCAGTCACCACTCGGATCGAACCTCGTAAGAACTCGAGTGTTCAAGACTCCCACGAGACCCCAGTTCGCTATATTACCCGGACAAAGATGTGTCACCGCCCACCATGCTCATTGAAATGAGTAAGGAGTACCGAGACAAGTTCGTTCAGGGCTATGCGAAGGACCCGTTCTTCCGGGATAAGTGGAAGAAAGCGCGCGAACCGAACGTACAACACTTCGCAGGGCAATGTGTCTTCATGGACAATCACGGGCTACTCTACATGCGAACCGGATCAGATCCAGCTAGACTATGCGTGCCACGCTCAGAAGTGTTCCCCTTAATCGCGCGGCTGCACGATTCGCCCCACGAGTTGGCGCACGAAGGCTCAGCGAAGCTGGCTCTACGAATCAACTCCCAATTCTTCTGGCCTACCTTACGCAAGGACGTACTGGAATATGCAACCTCCTGCGACGTCTGTCAAAAGACGAAGTCGGATCATCGAGCAAAAGCAGGTCTCCTACGTCCCAACCCGGTTCCTAACCACCCGTTTGAATGGATTTCCTTCGACCTCATTACCGGCTTACCTTCCTCGGACGGTTACGACGCAGTTTTCGTAGTAGTCGACAGATGCACTAAGCACGGGCTGTTCATTCAGTGTAAAGGAACGCTCAACACCGTGGAATTCGCCCACCTCTTCGTGCAACACGTAGTCTTCCGCTTCGGCATCCCAGAACATATCATCTGCGACCGAGACGGCCGGTGGATCTCGGAATTCTGGAGAGCCGTCGCCGCAGAACTAGGCATACACCTCTGCCTGTCAGCATCCCATCACCCTCAACACGATGGTCAGACTGAGATAGTAAATCAGAGGCTGGAAACTATGTTACGAGCTTATGTTCAAGGCGACCGATCGGGATGGGCTAAATGGTTGCCTGCTCTAGCCCATGCTTACAACTCTTCGATTCACTCCGCCACAGGACACTCCCCGTATTTCCTACTCTATGGCTACAATCCCAAGGGCGCCCTCGACTTCTTGAACAAAGACAGCCGATACGTGGAACGTCCGCTGCTCGCCAGCGAGCGCGCGACTGACTTCATTATCGAAATGGAACTTCACCGTCAAAGAGCCCGGGATGCCTTAGCTCTAGCCCAAGAGCAAGCCGCTCGTCAGTTCAACAAAGGTCGACACATCGAGACCTTCCCCATAGGATCCCAAGTCCTTGTCAACCCGCACTCTCTTGAGCTAGTCGACGTCAAGGGTACGGGTAAAAAATTCGTCCAAAGGATGTTAGGACCCTTCACTGTGCAAGAACAGGTCAACCCATTGGTCTACCATCTCGCGATTCCTGACACGTACCCGATGAATCCGGTAATCAATATCGAACACTTACGACGCTACAGAGGATCGTCTTCTGTTCCTAGTGAAGTAAACCGCCCTACTCTTCCCGATCCACGCAACTCGGAACTCCTCGCGTCCGAAGAATTCGAAGTCGACAAGATCGTTGCGTGGAGAAGGAACAAGTCTCGAAGCAACCGACTCGAATTCCTTATCCGATGGAAAGGCTATAGTCCTGTTCACGACACCTGGGAGCCCGCTTCTCACCTACAGAACGCCTTCGAAATCCTCAGGGAATACAAAGCCGCGGAACGATTGAACCGTTGATAGCCCTTTTTCTTTGTTTTCCTCTTTCTTACTTACTTGTTTCTCCTCTCCTCGTAAATAGATCATACACCGTCAATCCAAAATTCTTCTACTGTACCGTAACTACCCTTACTCATTCTCCCTCCTAATTCCCTGAGCGCTATTCGGACGTGTCGCGACTCATCACGTGAGCGCGTCGCGGATGTTCAAGACAGCCACAAGAGCGCTTAATGCGCTTCTCCTCCCTCCTCTCTCCCCCAGTGAGCTAGCGATTTCGCCGCTTCTCGCTTCCCTCCCGTAGCCTAAGCAAACATTTGGAATTGCCGAACTTTGCTCAGCTACTACCGTACTCCTCCTCGCTTCCTTGTCCTCCCTAGCCCCATGTCGTCGTCTTCCTCTGCCCCTGTTGCGCTAGGGTTCCGCACGTCGTTGCACTATCCCCGGGACTTCGAACACCTCCCCATCCGACTCCAAGCTGGCCAAACCGCCTGGGGACTCTACAGAGCGCACCGAGACGTCCGCTCGGCTCTACCTCTGGGCGATGGGTCATTCGCCGTCTCGTCCAATGCCCCGTACATTCCTTCACCCCCCCTGGTACGAACGACAAGGAGGAGGTCTATGCAGACGGTCGTGTAGGGTGGTTCAAACCCGGATACCATGCCCAATACTGGAGCAGCGCGTTCGAACACCGCGCTTTCATCTACGAAGCTCCGGAGAACAAAGAAGGCGTTGATGCAGCCTTCGTCCTGCTCGACTTCAAACGCGGACGATGCCCAGCTTCTTTCTACGTCTCCTGCGTCCAGAATGGGACTGGTATCCCAACCCGCAACTTCTCGCTCGCGTTACGGACCCTCTACGATGCAGAACTTCGTCGTGCAGAGGAGCTCTACAATCTCGACCGCTGCCCTCCCTCTGGTTTCGTTCTACGTCCGACCCGCGTTCAGAATGCCATCTACGACTTCGGCAGTCTAACCGTCGACCTTCATTCAATGCGCAAGATAGTCGCCCTCATCCAGCGCCACCTCCTGGAGTTGAGAGCCTATGCGCTTCACGTCTACGTACGTTGAGCCTTCGCGGAAGGACATTTCTCGATCCCATGTCCGGACTTGGTAGGAGTAGGTTGCTGGGTGGAGGAAGGAAATAAGGAAGTGCGGAAGCGTCTCGCTTGGTGCGGAGTCCCTGTTTGGTACGTCACCCGTTCATCCCCTCCGCCCAGCCAATTCGTCTCGTCCATCGCTCCTCTGGACGCTCGACTCTCCTGGGAAGAATGGGACGTAGCGGAGCACGCTCCGCCGCAGCCCGTAGGAAGGCGCACTTGTCAACGCATGCGCCAGCTTCAAGCTGACCTCGAGAGCGCCGAGGAAGACTCGGACCTCGACATGGGTGACTCCCGGCGACGAGATCGAGGACCTCCCCGGCTACCTTCGCTGGTGCCCTCCGCTCCTGCCCTTCCGGTACGACGAGAAGATACCCCGGCTGCGCCCTCTCTCGTCAACATGGAGGAAGGATGGGTGAATCATCCCGCTCATGAGTCGCTCGCGAATTCGACACCTCAGGCCCGGACCCCGCACAGAGAGTCGGAACCGCCGCTCCTGCACGAGGATTCAATCAAGGCCGTGGTCTCCCCAAATCCGCGCAGAGAGTCGGAACTGCCGCTCCTGTGCGAGGATTCGCCCATGGCCGTGTCGCTCCCGCCAAGCCCGGTCGAGTCGCTCGCTCCTCTCCCGATGGCCCCTTCTCCCAGGTCGCCTTCTCCGCGCCCCCCCATCAACAAAGGGAAACAGAGGGCAAGATCTCCGTCGCCTCTACCTTACAGGAGACACGGTCCGTCGTTCCGCCGACCACCCTCCTCGGATCCACGGCCCCGTCGCCGAGCGCTATCTCGATCGCGATCACCTCGGCCCTATCGCCCTCGACCCCGGTCGCCTTTCCGCGCTCGATCCCCTCTGCGTTCTCCCTCGCCCCGAAGAGGCGGCGATTTCTATAGACCCACCCAGTCGCCAGGAGCCTCTAGACGAACGGGTCGGAGCAGAATGCACCGCGCTGAGTCTCCGGAACGAGTTCCCTTAATCCCCGGGGACGCAGCCCGGCTTGGAGGACGAATCCCTCCCGTCCTCCTCGCTCTCCTCCTTGCAAGCCTGCCGCTCGGAACAGCCCAACAGCTCCAGGCCGACCCTTAGCGGAAAGGATACAACCGGGCCCCTCGCCCATTCCGACTCGTTCATTGGAGGAGCGTCTGAGAGTCGAAAAGAAGGACGGTCCCGACCCCGGCTTCGTCGAGGACATAGGCGAACCTGGGCCATCTCTCCTCTCGCACCTAAGCGACTCCCACTCCCTTTTCACCCGCTTGGGAACAACGCTCGAGGAGCGGATCTCTGACGCCCCGTCCCCGGAAGCGACAACCGCTCCCCCGATGTCGAGAACGAGATCGAGGACGAGGAGGTCATGGACTTGGGAATGGACGACCAGCTCGCAAACCCCAGCCGAATCGTCACCCTCCCTTCTGGAGCCCCGCTGAGGACGAAGCTCGCTCTTCACTCTCCGCTCGAAGTGGTCGAACACATTCGCCGACCCTTTGAGTGTGACGAGTTCACGCCCGCTCCTCGCTGACCTTGGGAAAACGAACTCGGACCGGAGCCGCACTTCCCTCCGGACGGCCTACTCCTTCTGCCCTCGCCCCAGCTGCTACTTGGACGGCCCGACGATAGGTACGGGGCCCTTCTAATGTGGCTTAAGTCGAGGGACACCCAAGTGGAGGCGTTAAACCGCCCGCCCGGAGAATGGGAGCCGCTCAAGTTCAAGGTCTGGAAGGGTCGTCTTCGCCCGGATGCCGCATTGAGCCGTACACTCAAGACCTGCCCCTTGCGTCCGCTCCCCGACTCCAAGCTCCCGTACCACCGCAACCCTCAACCGGACGAGGAGGACAAGGAGGTATGGGAGCTCCGCACCTTCCACTTCCGGTCGAACGTCGAGCGCGTTGTAGCGGCCAAGCACCCTGCCATGAAAGCAACGATGTCGGCGACCGCTCGTGGCGCGTTGTGGGCCGGGATCCGCGACCGAATTCGTCGAGTCTGGGGGGCGGGACTGTCCGTCTACCCCTCCTACTACGAACCTCGTTACCTCGACAGCGAAGACGACGTAGTACGACTTGCGCATTGGTGCGCTCTGGGACGGATTCTCTTGGAGCTGGACGTACGGGACAACATCGCTAAGGATCTGAGGCTCGTGGTGGGGGCCCTGTTACGGACGCGGTGGACAGAGTGAAGTCCGCCTATTTACACATCTATTCTTCATTGTACAATAACCGCGACCCTCATCTATTCCTCCCTCGTCCCGTATAGTAGCATTACCTTTTGTGTCACGTGTACAACTAGGCGCGCGCCTCTGCCAAAGACGCGCGCTATACGAAATAGACGCCAGACATCTTGCATCCTACTACCTCGTCCGAGTGCGATTCAGCCGCGCCGTACGACTTAGGATCAGTCTCTCCAAACGTCGGGCTTCTCGCCCTTCGTCCTCGACACGAGCTCCTCGCTGCGCTGTCTCTCGGAATCGTCTCCTCGTCGACTCCGTGGCCGAGCTCCTCGCCGACGGCCAGCGTGTTCCTCGCGCGATGACTTAGACGCGGGCTCCTCGCCCTGCCTACGCCTACAGCGGGCTCCTCGCCCTGCTACGACCTTCACGACCCTCACGACTTCAAGCCCGTGGCAGCCCTCTGACCACCACGCTCGAGTTCACGGCCTAGCCCGGTCCCTTTCAGCGAGAGCGCAAACAGCTAACTCTCACAGAGGTGAACGGGGTGCGTGGGTGCTTCCCCTTGATACAATCTTCGCATTTGCCGAGCGGCATGCCTCCGACGATCTCCATGCCCGACACTGCGCCGGACTTGGCCATCTCCATCACAGTGCGCTCGCTCGCGTGTCCGAAGCGGCGATGCCAGGTGTGGACATCGGCTGCTTTTGCGTTGGTCAAGGACGCTAGCGCGCTCGGCTCCTTAGTGCTTTCGGAAGGGATCGACTCATCAGCAAACTGGGCAAGTCCTGACGGTCTGGCCATCTGAGATGCACTGCTCAGAGCACCAGAGCACCTCAGATCTCACACATTATCAGACAAGTTCAGACGAGCTCAGACGAGTTCAGACAGCTCAGGTTCAGACAGCTCGGGTTCAGACAGCTCGGGTTCAGACAGTTCGATACGAGGCAATGTGAATAATACTTTATACTAGAATATAGATTCATGTGAATGATAGTCGCTGTAATTATTGACATAGAATGATTCAAAAGCATCAAGGGTATACGAAAAATGGAAGTCAATTGGCATAGAAACATCCCCATATACTGGCATAATATGGACAGCACGAACACACTGTCTAGATGTACAATAGATGATACCTGCTGTCCATTGTCTAGCTCGGGCTGAACAACGTACATACCCGTCATGTCGTCCAGATCGTCCGAGACCTCGAACCAATCGATCAGTGCGCACGGGTAGCGTTCACCACTGTATGGGATTGTCATCAGCCCCATGACACGGCCGACAGCCATGCCTTTCATGCTGGGCTCGTCCGCGTCGATGCTGATGAGAACGGTGTCGTAACGAGGGTGGCCGCGCCAAGAATGATTGCATCGAATCAGCTCCCGGTGCATGCCACGATCACCGGAGAGCTCGCTCGGGGCGAAGAACATTGCATGTGCTGTCCGATACACGGCGATCTTCCCGAGGAATCTTGGACACTCCGACAGGTCCACCGTGCTCGAGTCGACTTCGTCCGTAGCATGCAGTTGATCAAATAGGAATCGGCGAACCAAAACCATAAGATCGGGTCGCTGATATTCCGCGGCGAGGTCCTCCACAGAACGCATATAGACTAGACTCGTGTTTTGAGAAAGAGCTTCTGATCGAATAATTGATACTCACCTTGTCGTGCCGGAAGCTCGACGACACCCTCCACATAGCCATTGACATCCATCACCTCATCCTCAGGCTCGTTGTCGTCCGAAAGGAACACGTCTTCCGTTACGAATGGCCCCAAGTTCATTGCATCTGCGAGGACATCACCGTCAAGCATGTGGCGGTTGGCGAAGATCGACCGTGCGGCACTGAGCTTGTCGAGCCGTTGGTTGGTGCGAAGCATCTCGGGCAACGGGTTATTCCTACTTGACCGTTGCCACGGCTGCTTGACTGCGCGGATGTGTTTGGACTCGGTGATTGACGAGCAAATGCCATTCGGAGAACCAAAGAGTCGGATGTTAGCGATGTAGTGGACGAGAGCATGCTGTCGCGGGAGTGAGAAACCCTCGGGGCGTACACCTACGGTCTCGAAGACGACACGATGTCTGTGGAAGCGGTCTAATGCCTCTTGCATCTCCGCGAGTGAACTGTCGTCGTGAGTAGATCGTCTTGCTAAGTAACAGAAGTCGAGGTAAGCCGCAAAGCAGCGAACCATGTCGTCCGGCACGTGCCCCCGTATCGCTGGAAGGTAGACCTGCCACGACGAAACAGAGGTCAGTCTCAATCTTCAATATATTACTTTACTTACTTTCATTAGCGCCTTCGAGTCGTTCCCAGTCCACTGCTTGAAGTTCCGGCCCTCGGGAAACCGACGAAGCCCCGGAAATTGAGGCGCGGCTGCGATCCTACAGGTAAGCAAGTGGCCATCAGTGATTCGATCAATCCACACTGAGAACAGTCTCGCCTGCGATCAATGTCGTCCATTCTTCGACGAGCCTCGGCCTTGGGATGCACAAGGTACAGGTACTGCTCCACCCAGTCGACGAGGTGGTCCTTGAATGTCCCCTTGATGAGCTGATGGAGCAGATCGGGGGTAATGAGCTCATAGATGTCGGCGCGGGGGAAGTAGGTCGTGAACGGCTGCGAACGAATGCTAGCTGTTATGAAGATAGCGTAGTGTGGGTTGATTCATACTTACAATGATGTTTGCATCGACTCCCCATGCGACCCAGGCTTCGTCAGCATCGAATGTTCTGATAAGCTCCACGGTGTGCTCGAGACAGCGCGGCTCTCCTCCGGCTTTATGTAGATCTTCGGGTGGAAGGAGACATCTGCGAGGGAGTAGTGAGCAATCATACAGCACAGGTGACCGTGTACTTACTTCGGGCACCACCCTGTCACTATGCCTGCGAGGAGAACTTGCTCGGGATAGTCCGCAATAAACGGCCCGAGCTCGTATATTGTTCGCCGGAAGTGTCCGTCGGGGCAGCGTACAACGTCGTGGGTCTCCATGTAAGGTCGCAGCGGCGACATGATGTGTGCGATTGAGGCGTGGTACAATTGTTTGCGGAACGTTCGAAACTCATCAGTCTCGGCCTTGCCTCGTGCCGCTGTGGGGTCATGAATCTCATTAACAAAAGAAGCCAGCGTCGACTCGGAGGTAAACAACGTACCCTTCGGTATCGCTAGGAACGCAATCGGGATGATCGCGTCCTTGTGAGCGCGCCTGACCGCATTATGTACATTACCGATTGACATGTATAGCGGGTGGAACTCTGAGTTGCCAGTGCCGACAGATACAGTGGTCTTGTCAGCGCCGAGGATGACAGGTGTCAGCATTGACCCATGAGTTTCCGGATCCTGCGCGATCTTGGTCTGTGAACAGCATGAGTCAGAGCGAGGTTAATGCATGAGATACACGCACAGCCTGTCTATACGCCCACTGCCCTGACATCGTGTTCGAGAACGATACTTTACCGGGTGTGATGTACTCCTGATACGGAGTCGTATCGAATTGCCCAGTGAAGTCTTCGTTTCCGATCATGTTGTGAGCGACCTGTCGGGAGTTGCGACAGTGGACGACGTATTCGGTGCGCTTCCAGGACGGCGACTCCTCGTCGACAGGTCCAGAGTATTGAACAGTGAATGTCGTCCATGGCGCGTCGCCGTACGGAATGGCATCGATCGTCTCGTAGAGCTCTGCAGCATCCTCGAACGGCGGGTCGCTGCCACCTTGCGTGACATTGTATGCGGCTAGACTCCTCAGTAGGTCGTTGATGTTACCTTGCGATGCTTGTATCTTTTTGAAGATGAGTTCGGCGAACTGGAACGCCGGCCGATTCTCAAACGGCGCATATGAGTTGATAGGCTCTGGTTCCGGAGGGGGTGCACCAGGAGGAAGGAAGTGACCTTCCGAGTTGCAAGGTCGGCCTACGTGAGTGAGCTACAGCACAGCGAAAATGAGACAAAAAGACATACCGTTGATATGAGGATGATACCGGAAGGTCAACCTCGGTAGGCCAGCCTTGGGGTGCTTGTGTTGACGGGAGTTGTGTACAGCAAAGTTGCGGCGAGAAGGGAAAGATCTGGCACATATTGTGCACCAGTAGCTGTGGGGTCGAGGCATACTATGTGGATGATACAGTAGAATTGAACGTTAGGGAGTCGCATACACACTGGCAGGCGCGCGCAACAGAGACAAATATCATACAAACATTTTGTGTACGTTTTCTTTGCCAACGCATCCCTTCGTGGTACCGTGACACGTCCACCCTCCCCACTTCGGAAACTCCCACCATACATCACTTCCCATCTGTCCTCTCAGCTCGTACGTAGTCTTCTTTTCTCAGGCCGCAGCTCGCGCAGCGGGGCAATGGCAGCTTCCCGGGTGGCCAACACGCGGAACTTGAGGACAAGGACCGTGAATCTTGAGGACACCGATGACAGCGTGGCACCCGTAGCAGCTCCTGTGGCCAGTCCATCAGCAGAAGAAGCAGGGAACAATTCGACAGAGGAAACGGACGTTACCGTGAGCCGCCACGCCGGTATGCACTCGACCACGAACAATCCGCATCCTGCCCTGTCGGCAGGACTCAGCAAGCGAACGGGCGCCGAGGTACGGGAGGAGGTGCAGAAGAAGAGAGATGAAAGGGAGTTGGATTTGCAGCGCAGGAAGCTGAACTTGAGCAGCGAGAGCTCGAGGTAGAGCGGAAGTCACAATCCTTTGCCAGTGTTGAGCGAAAACTGAAGTCGCGTCGAGACGAGGACACCATGGAGCGCATCTTCGACGACGAAGATGCTGATATGGAAGATCTAGCACAAGGTGAGTGACGTATCTGCAATTCTAGATGTAATGAACTCACTGTCTTGGTAGGCGAAGGCGCGGTGGACGCTGGCTCCAAGTCCGATGTCGAGAACGATGAAGATTACCAGCCGCAGAGTGATCCTGGCGATGCATCTGACGCATCTCGGCCTATGCAGTCGGAGATTGGAAGACTCTGTGGTGACGATGAAGCTGTTGCTGGTACCAAGAGGAAGGCTGGTAAATCGACCAAGGTGAGCAGCTATATCACCGGTCTGTAGTACTGCACGCACCTGAGTATTCACAATACCTCCTTACCCGGCCCAGAAGCGCACTGCGAAGAAGAAGAAAACACACAGGAGCGTAGGAAGGAGATTTGGGCGAAGTAGAGAGGCAAAGGCGATACAGGCAGGGGAGACAAGGACGAGGAGGAGGAGGCCGCACGGTGCGCTCGTGCTCGTGTGATAAGATCGGGAGATGATCTAACACGCGTTATCACCGCAGACCGAAGGCAAGGCCCAAATCGACGACCAACAAATCGACGACCAAGCCCTCCTCCTCATCGAAATCTGCATCCAAGCCTGTATCCAAGTCCGCGCCTAAGTCCACGACAACCACAAACCGAGCCACGACCTCCAAGAAGACCTCCGACCTTCCATCTCTATCGCTTGATCTTCCGAATACCATGGGCTTGAAGGCGGACTGGAAGAACGCTGTCGCCTCACGTCGCTCACAGACTCCCAAGTCGCAGGCCAGCTCTTCTGCGACATCGGCATCCCCTGCGACATCGTCTAGTCAGCGAGGTACACCGACCCCTAGGCTCTCCGCTGCAGCTCACCGTGCAGGCAACGCCAAACGCACCCGGTGTCAAGACTCCATCGAGCTCATCGGAGGATTCACCGACAGCGACATCACTGTCGGCATGGGATCAGCGAAGGGCGGCTACGGACAGCTCGTGCAGGTCACTCAGAAGGCGAAGGGAGGTGATGATGAGCAGTTGGAGGGGAGTATGAAGAAGAAGCGGCGCGCAAAGAGTGTTGTGCCGAACGAGAAGTCGCTCTCGGTTCAAGCCTTACCGGCCTTCATCCAACCACACTGGAAGAGTACGTTTGTTCCTACAATGCTCCAACTGATCGGCGAAAGCGAGAATCCCTGGGTGTTCGCAAGCGGCAAGAATACTGCTGAAGAAAACCTCCTCATCGATGTCGTGCAGCGTCTGGTAGACGGATTTTGGCCGGAGGAAGGGTATGTTGTTGATGGGATGGACAAGATCTATCGTATTGTGAGTCCATCGCATCAGTATATGTTCTATGTTCTAACCAATTGTACAGGCACGCCAAGCCGTGAATGACTGGCGCGCTCGCTTTGTCTCTCGGATCAAGACATTTGTGAAGAACGAGTTCGTCAACACATATGGCTCAGCTGCGAAGATCGCAGCCTATGTGAACGGTGCATCCGGGCGAAGCCAAGGGCTTGCATTCTGGGCTGTTTACGATTCCGAGGTGAGTCTTCCTTCAATTCACATTCACAGTGGCTTTACCTGGGTGCATTACCACAGCTCGAGCGTCCTCTCGGGGCTCTCCAGTCCGCCTACGTTCTCAAGTCATTCGCGACGCATCTGGCTGCCATACAAGGAAGCCGCATCAAAGAGACCGATACGAAGCCGGCACGCGGCGCACTCGCACTCGCAGCCACTGCGGTGAGTGCTCTTGTGTCGTGTGATTCGTTTGTGTATTGACAATCACTGCAGGTGCAGTTTGTGTTTGCGGCCTGGACGACTGGGCGATACAACACCAATCTCGTCTTCAGTGGCGAGCGCTATCGCAGCGTCACAACCTATTGGCACGACAAGTCCGTCGCGAAGATCATCGAGCGTCGCCGATTCGATAAGTATGTAGATATGGCAATTCCGTACATCGAGGCTACATGGGCGCCGCGTGTTGTGGACGACGAGGACGACATTACCGTTTGTGATCCGAGTAGTCCAGTGCAGTCTGATGGCGAGGATGACACGTTCGGTAGAGGTTGACATAGTATTACATCGCTTATGTTTTGTACGACTTAACCCAGCTTTCAACAGCTGGTGTTACGATAATTGCTATTTTCGGTACTCATCTACTGGTAGCTGACGAAATGCATTCTGGTCTTCTGAATGATCTGGTCTTCTGAACGAGATCGTGTCTGTGACTCTGTGGCGATTTATGCACTGAGTATTCCTGAGGAGCTGACGAGCTCTGAGCTGCCCTGAGCCATCTGAAGATGTCTCTCTGAGGGATGTTTTTGTAAAAAAATCGAGGTCTTGACACCTGAAGTTCTGAGCCTTTCTGACGTCTTCTGAGCCTTTCTGAAGGTCTCTGACGTCCCTGACGAGGCCGTCAGAGACTTTTCACAAGAGCCTGATGGCCTTCCCATTGACGCGGGTCAAGACGACTTCATAGAGGTTGTTCGGCATCATCTTCCCGATGAGGATGGGATTCACTCCGCCTTGGCGAGCTATGCGCATCTCTCCGTTCTTGATCTGGATATCGCATCCACTTCCGTCAATCCGCGATAAAGATATCAGGTTCGCTGCGAGCTCCGGTACGTGGAGCGCATTTCGGAACGTCACAATCGACTGTTGTCCTTCAATGATCATCTCCGCGTGGACGCACCCGACTCCTACAATTGTGAAGTCGGCTCCACGTTTTGCACTGTTCCCGGAGTGAGGAGTTAAGGGAAGATACTCAGAGAAGTGAACTCGGTCGGTGAAATAATGGTGACTGGCCCCAGAGTCGAGGTACACTCGTATGGTGCCTGCAGGTGTATCGAGCTCTGCGTGCGTGACTGTAGCGGTAGCCATGAACACGTTGTAGTTCGGAGTCGATGTGATGGTTGACGCTGTCACGGTGACGTTAGCGGTCGGAACACTCGAGGTGGGGTGGGCTAGATCTGCTGGTGATCCTTTCTTTGGGCGTGGCTGCAACTTCCAGTGAGCCGGCTGCTGACCCGCCATGCCGCCTCCCTCGCAGAAGCAGCGCTCCTTCAAGTGGCCTTTCCACAAACACCAGTCGCAGATGAGCTGCGCTTTCGACGCGGTCATAAACACCGACGTAAGTTGCTCGCCCGGTGCCGCGGTCTGTGTGACTCCAAGAGGGTTCTGTGGCTGCCCGGTTTGTAGCATCTTGTTGTCATGCACGGCGAGGATCGTCAGGATGACGTCCTCGGGGTCAGACTTCGTAAGGAGACCGGCAGTGATATGGTTGTAAACGTTGCCCATGGATTGGCATATAATGATGGCGAATTGGTGGTCGGTGAGGGGCGATCCCATCTCGCGACACGCCTTGCGGCAATGGCGTAATTCTTCGAAATGGGCGTGGATATCCGCACCCGGGACGTACTTGCATTTCTTCAAGTATTCCTCCGCATTCAGCACCGCCAGTTCGCTCCGCCTCTCCTTCACCGCCAACAGCGCCTTCCAGAACTCGGCCGCCGTTAGGCCGAGTGGTTCGACCCCGCAACTCTCGATGTCCATGTTGAGAGTACACGTAGCCTTCGCGTGAAGGTCGTCCTTCGTCCATTTCGTAAGTGCTGTGGTTTCGGCGGGTGTGGGGGTGGCGCTGGCAGGCTGAGGAGCAGACATTTTTCTGAGAAGATGGCCAAGTTTACCCTGAAGCTCGACGATGGTGAGGACTTTACTTTTCCATTGGACCCAGTTTGTGCGACTCAGATGGAAGTTCTCGGGGAGTATGATGACCTTCTCCTTGTCGTCCAACATGGTGAGTGTATGTGTTGTTTCGATGACTATATGCGCGTGAAAACGATTGTTGTATCGTGGGAATGTCGAAGACGGGTGGTTGTACCCTTAAAGTGTCATCAGGGTGAACAAGGAAGCGGCTAAAAAAACGACACGGGGCTCATAACCTGTTAAGGTTACAGAGTCTCAGTCGCGTCCTCGTGGTACTCGACTGGATTGCTACACTACCTGTTAAGGTTACAGAGTCTAGGAATACAGTATCAGTGCCCAGCATCCGAGAATAAAACTACAAACAAGCTTACCTCAGTCGCGTCCTCGTGGTACTCGACTGAGGTAGCTCTACTCTACGTGCGTCCGTTGAGTCCGTTCGTTCGTCACGTGTCTGTGTCATCACAAGCGCCCGTGTCTCGGTCCCACCTCAACAGGAGAGATCATTATCCATTAGGAGGAATCACCCCAGTATTTATACATGTCTGGGACTGATCACATGCTACATCAGTAAGCAGATCAGTAATCACTAAGTCCGAGTTTTAGGGAAATGAGTAAGCCTTAACTCCAGAGATAGGGATATGCATAAGTGTCCATGTGATCAAGGAATGTACTGGAAGGTCATGGAACATGCCGGAAGGGAGTGGAATGATCCAGAATAAGTCTGGAACAGTGTAGATCGGTCTGGAGCGAGTCACAAGATGAGTCCAGACAGAGTCCGTCAAAAGAATGTATGTAATACTACATTGCAGAACACAAGTCCATATATGTACGTAACTGATAAGATAAGATAGCACTGGAAAGTTGGAAGTTCAACACTCCCACTTGTTCAAGATGTCAAGTATCTCATCATGCCAACCGAAGACCTGAATTTCTCAATTCCACTGAATGGAACATTCTTGGTCAAGGCATCAGCAAGTTGTTGAGGTCACACCGCGATCTCGATCTCCGCCACCGTGCACGTGACATACCGCCGGGGGTGGTTCGTCCGTTTCCGTCTCTCTCCCTCTTTCCTCAGTTGAAGTCACACCATGACTGAGGTAAGCCCTAGCACACACACTATACGATACATTCTGTAGCTGACTACCTAGCAGTGTCTGACTGTTTGTCTAGGTAGATCAATATCAGTCGAAGTCACACCACGACTGAGCGTCTGACCGTTTGTCTAGTCTCTACAGGTTATGAGCCCCGGGCGGTGTTTCTGAACCCGCCCGCTTACCTGAGACCTCACTTCGGCTTTTCAGACCCAGGAACGACTTTGAAGGACCCACAAACGTGTGCTGACCCCGCATATAGTCACCTTATCGACCAATGACCATCACCCCGACCTCGAGTCCCAAGGTTTCGGTACCCAAAATGCCAAAAACGCGCACAGATCTGCTATCTCCGGCCCCCAAAATAGATCTCAAGGCTGCCGCCAAGGAAAAGGTCGAGCTCATCCACCTACCATTGTCGCTTTTCAACGGCGGTTTCATACTCGACCGCAAGAAAGATAAGTGGTTCGAATGGAAGACATACGTCAAAAACTCACTCAAGATGTGCTTCGCGTGGGCCTACCTGTCTGGCGAGGAGACCGCTCCCTCCGTCGAGGACGACCCGGCTCGGTCACGAAGTTCAGACGGAACGAGCAGGTCATCATCGCTTTCCTCAGCTCGAAGGCAGCGAAGGAGGAACAACGCTTCATCGCCGGGTTCACCGACGCTCGCGCCCTATGGATTTCCCTGTGCGCTCGTCACGAGAAGCAGCCCGGCACATATGCCCAGGTTCGTCTTCTTCAGGATTTCTTCGCCTGCCGTTACAGCGCCGAGGAACACTTCTCGGAGACGACCACGTGGCTCCAAGAGTTGGCCAAACGCATCTTCCACATCGGCATTCCCAACTTAGAGGTCTTCATGACCATCGGGATGCTGAACTCGATGAACGGATACCTCCAGCATCTTCAGTCGCAGGTCGGCACGTTGCTCACGACATCCGCTACCTCGGGTGTTCCGTACACCTCCGTCGACATCGCCGCGCACCTCGATCTTGAACAGCGAATCATGTCTGACAACAAGGCATCTTCGTCCGCAACCGCTCTCGCCGCTTTCGCGAAACCAGGCAAGTCGATGTCGTCGCAGAAGTTGTGCACCAACGCCAAATGCCCGCGCCCGAGTGGGCACACTGCCCCCGAGTGCTGGGCCCCTGGTGGCGGCATGGAGGGTCGTCGTGAGGAAGTACTCGCGAACAAAAAGAAAGGCAAGAGTTCTGGCAAACCTGCCGTGTCCTCCTCTACCGACCACGACAAGCAGGGCCGCGCATACATCGTGGACGGGAAGACCGGCCATGCATATCTCTTGAGCACAGCCCCGCCTTCGGCCACTGAGTCCAGTTCTTCGAATGATGCTACCTCCGAGACCAACTTCGCCGGCCTTGCTACTGACGCGTCCCCAGACTGGCTCGCCACTGTGGCTGTCCCGGCGGATCTCTTCGAGTATGAGACCTTGGTGTCCGTTGAGGACGAAGAATTGGTCTCGCTCAACTGGTCTAACCACTGCCGTGCTCCTGACGACCCCGCCGCTTTTTCAGTGGCGCCTGTGCCCACTGCGACTCGTCGTATCTCGACCGAGGGGACTGAGCCCTTCGTGTTCGACTCTGGCGCTTCTACGCATCTGTCTCCTTGCAAGGCCGACTTCCACGAGCTTCGCCCCATCTCGCCTCGCGGCATCCGGGGGGTCAGTGGCTCGGTCATATACGCCTGTGGTCTGGGCAAGGTGCGCCTGCACATCGGTCGTGGTGCTTCGATCGTCCTCGAGAACGTCTTGTATGTACCCCAGGCCACTGTTCGCCTCGTGAGTATCTCGGCTCTCTGCGCCTCGACCTCTCGTTACTCCGTGCTCTTCATGGACACTGGGGTCCGCATCCTCAAGCCGGGTGGGGCTGTTCTCGCTAGGCATCAGGCTCTTGTGAAAGTCTCTGACGGCCTCGTCAGGGACGTCAGAGACCTTCAGAAAGGCTCAGAAGACGTCAGAAAGGCTCAGAAGACGTCAGAAAGGCTCAGAACTTCAGGTGTCAAGACCTCAATTTTTTTACAAAAACATCCCTCAGAGAGACATCTTCAGATGGCTCAGGGCAGCTCAGAGCTCGTCAGCTCCTCAGGAATACTCAGTGCATAAATCGCCACAGAGTCACAGACACGATCTCGTTCAGAAGACCAGATCATTCAGAAGACCAGAATGCATTTCGTCATCTTTGTCAGTTAAAGTGGATTAACAAGGGTACTTAGAAGTACCTTAGGTCAGATTAACTTGGTACACTAATGTACTTCCTAATCTGTGATCCAGTATTGATCCAGGATTAGCAAATTGGATTTAGAGGATTAGAGTTTGGATCAGTGTCATTAATCCTGGGCTAATCTGGGTGGATTAATACCAGCTAATCTGATTAGGCTACTGGATTAACTGATGATTTAAAGTGGATTAAGAAAATAAATGGCACCAGCCAGGATTGAACCCCTGACCTCATGAAATATTACATAATCACCTATTTGAGTCAGACTCTCTGCACTCTAACCACTTCACCATATGGTTGTTATAAACCTAGAAACACAATGCTATATGATACATTCTCTGAATACTGGACTTAGACATATTCTGGCCCTCTGTTACTGTGCTCTGCACATACCTGGTTAATCTGCAGATTAGTACTGGATTAACACAAGCTGATCTTTCTGGATTAGTGGTGCTAATCCTCAGTCCCATCTGGTCTTAGATCAGCTGTGTTGCTGCATGGATTAACAAAGTTAATCCAAAGTTAATCCAGTGGATCAGAGCATACTGATCCAAATCTCAGTGATGGATTAGTGTACTCTAAATCTGATCTCAAAACTGGCTTAAGTGTAGATAAATCCTGGTCTCAGAATTGGATTAACTGTGAGTGTAATCTTGGATTAGAGATTTGGATTAGTACAGTTAATCCAGTTTTAAATCCAATTCTGAGATCAGGATTAGAATGTATTGATCCATGATCTATCTACACTTAAGCCAGTTTTGAGATCAGATTTAGAGTACACTAATCCATCACTGAGATTTGGATCAGTATGCTCTGATCCACTGGATTAACTTTGGATTAACTTTGTTAATCCATGCAGCAACACAGCTGATCTAAGACCAGATGGGACTGAGGATTAGCACCACTAATCCAGAAAGATCAGCTTGTGTTAATCCAGTACTAATCTGCAGATTAACCAGGTATGTGCAGAGCACAGTAACAGAGGGCCAGAATATGTCTAAGTCCAGTATTCAGAGAATGTATCATATAGCATTGTGTTTCTAGGTTTATAACAACCATATGGTGAAGTGGTTAGAGTGCAGAGAGTCTGACTCAAATAGGTGATTATGTAATATTTCATGAGGTCAGGGGTTCAATCCTGGCTGGTGCCATTTATTTTCTTAATCCACTTTAAATCATCAGTTAATCCAGTAGCCTAATCAGATTAGCTGGTATTAATCCACCCAGATTAGCCCAGGATTAATGACACTGATCCAAACTCTAATCCTCTAAATCCAATTTGCTAATCCTGGATCAATACTGGATCACAGATTAGGAAGTACATTAGTGTACCAAGTTAATCTGACCTAAGGTACTTCTAAGTACCCTTGTTAATCCACTTTAACTGACATCACTGATTTCGTCAGCTACCAGTAGATGAGTACCGAAAATAGCAATTATCGTAACACCAGCTGTTGAAAGCTGGGTTAAGTCGTACAAAACATAAGCGATGTAATACTATGTCAACCTCTACCGAACGTGTCATCCTCGCCATCAGACTGCACTGGACTACTCGGATCACAAACGGTAATGTCGTCCTCGTCGTCCACAACACGCGGCGCCCCTGTAGCCTCGATGTACGGAATTGCCATATCTACATACTTATCGAATCGGCGACGCTCGATGATCTTCGCGACGGACTTGTCGTGCCAATAGGTTGTGACGCTGCGATAGCGCTCGCCACTGAAGACGAGATTGGTGTTGTATCGCCCAGTCGTCCAGGCCGCAAACACAAACTGCACCTGCAGTGATTGTCAATACACAAACGAATCACACGACACAAGAGCACTCACCGCAGTGGCTGCGAGTGCGAGTGCGCCGCGTGCCGGCTTCGTATCGGTCTCTTTGATGCGGCTTCCTTGTATGGCAGCCAGATGTGTCGCGAATGACTTGAGAACGTAGGCGGACTGGAGAGCCCCGAGAGGACGCTCGAGCTGTGGTAATGCACCCAGGTAAAGCCACTGTGAATGTGAATTGAAGGAAGACTCACCTCGGAATCGTAAACAGCCCAGAATGCAAGCCCTTGGCTTCGCCCGGATGCACCGTTCACATAGGCTGCGATCTTCGCAGCTGAGCCATATGTGTTGACGAACTCGTTCTTCACAAATGTCTTGATCCGAGAGACAAAGCGAGCGCGCCAGTCATTCACGGCTTGGCGTGCCTGTACAATTGGTTAGAACATAGAACATATACTGATGCGATGGACTCACAATACGATAGATCTTGTCCATCCCATCAACAACATACCCTTCCTCCGGCCAAAATCCGTCTACCAGACGCTGCACGACATCGATGAGGAGGTTTTCTTCAGCAGTATTCTTGCCGCTTGCGAACACCCAGGGATTCTCGCTTTCGCCGATCAGTTGGAGCATTGTAGGAACAAACGTACTCTTCCAGTGTGGTTGGATGAAGGCCGGTAAGGCTTGAACCGAGAGCGACTTCTCGTTCGGCACAACACTCTTTGCGCGCCGCTTCTTCTTCATACTCCCCTCCAACTGCTCATCATCACCTCCCTTCGCCTTCTGAGTGACCTGCACGAGCTGTCCGTAGCCGCCCTTCGCTGATCCCATGCCGACAGTGATGTCGCTGTCGGTGAATCCTCCGATGAGCTCGATGGAGTCTTGACACCGGGTGCGTTTGGCGTTGCCTGCACGGTGAGCTGCAGCGGAGAGCCTAGGGGTCGGTGTACCTCGCTGACTAGACGATGTCGCAGGGGATGCCGATGTCGCAGAAGAGCTGGCCTGCGACTTGGGAGTCTGTGAGCGACGTGAGGCGACAGCGTTCTTCCAGTCCGCCTTCAAGCCCATGGTATTCGGAAGATCAAGCGATAGAGATGGAAGGTCGGAGGTCTTCTTGGAGGTCGTGGCTCGGTTTGTGGTTGTCGTGGACTTAGGCGCGGACTTGGATACAGGCTTGGATGCAGATTTCGATGAGGAGGAGGGCTTGGTCGTCGATTTGTTGGTCGTCGATTTGGGCCTTGCCTTCGGTCTGCGGTGATAACGCGTGTTAGATCATCTCCCGATCTTATCACACGAGCACGAGCGCACCGTGCGGCCTCCTCCTCCTCCTCGTCCTTGTCCTCCCCTGCCTGTATCGCCTTTGCTCTCTCTACTTCGCCCAAGATCTCCTTCCTACGCTCCTGTGTGGTTTTCTTCTTCTTCGCAGTGCGCTTCTGGGCCGGGTAAGGGAGGTAGTTGTGAATACTCAGGTGCGTGCAGTACTACAAGACCCGGTGATATAGCACTGCTCACCTTGGTCGATTTACCAGCCTTCCTCTTGGTACCAGCAACAGCTTCATCGTCACCACCAGAGTCTTCCAAATCTTCCGACTGCATAGGCCGAGATGCGTCAGATGCATCGCCAGGATCACTCTGCGGCTGGTAATCTTCATCGTTCTCGACATCGGACTTGGAGCCAGCGTCCACCGCGCCTTCGCCTACCAAGACAGTGAGTTCATTACAATCTAGAATTGCAGATACGTCACTCACCTTGTGCTAGATCTTCCATATCAGCATCTTCGTCGTCGAAGATGCGCTCCATGGTGTCCTCGTCTCGACGCGACTTCAGTTTTCGCTCAACACTGGCAAAGGATTGTGACTTCCGCTCTACCTCGAGCTCTCGCTGCTCAAGTTCAGCTTCCCTGCGCTGCAAATCCAACTCCCTTTCATCTCTCTTCTTCTGCACCTCCTCCCGTACCTCGGCGCCCGTTCGCTTGCTGAGTCCTGCCGACAGGGCAGGATGCGGATTGTTCGTGCGTCGAGTTGCATACCGGCGTGGCGGCTCAACGGTAACGTCCGTTTCCTCTGTCGAATTGTTCCCTGCTTCTTCTGCTGATGGACTGGCCACAGGAGCTGCTACGGGTGCCACGCTGTCATCGGTGTCCTCAAGATTCACGGTCCTTGTCCTCAAGTTCCGCGTGTTGGCCACCCGGGAAGCTGCCATTGCCCCGCTGCGCGAGCTGCGGCCTGAGAAAAGAAGACTACGTACGAGCTGAGAGGACAGATGGGAAGTGATGTATGGTGGGAGTTTCCGAAGTGGGGAGGGTGGACGTGTCACGGTACCACGAAGGGATGCGTTGGCAAAGAAAACGTACACAAAATGTTTGTATGATATTTGTCTCTGTTGCGCGCGCCTGCCAGTGTGTATGCGACTCCCTAACGTTCAATTCTACTGTATCATCCACATAGTATGCCTCGACCCCACAGCTACTGGTGCACAATATGTGCCAGATCTTTCCCTTCTCGCCGCAACTTTGCTGTACACAACTCCCGTCAACACAAGCACCCCAAGGCTGGCCTACCGAGGTTGACCTTCCGGTATCATCCTCATATCAACGGTATGTCTTTTTGTCTCATTTTCGCTGTGCTGTAGCTCACTCACGTAGGCCGACCTTGCAACTCGGAAGGTCACTTCCTTCCTCCTGGTGCACCCCCTCCGGAACCAGAGCCTATCAACTCATATGCGCCGTTTGAGAATCGGCCGGCGTTCCAGTTCGCCGAACTCATCTTCAAAAAGATACAAGCATCGCAAGGTAACATCAACGACCTACTGAGGAGTCTAGCCGCATACAATGTCACGCAAGGTGGCAGCGACCCGCCGTTCGAGGATGCTGCAGAGCTCTACGAGACGATCGATGCCATTCCGTACGGCGACGCGCCATGGACGACATTCACTGTTCAATACTCTGGACCTGTCGACGAGGAGTCGCCGTCCTGGAAGCGCACCGAATACGTCGTCCACTGTCGCAACTCCCGACAGGTCGCTCACAACATGATCGGAAACGAAGACTTCACTGGGCAATTCGATACGACTCCGTATCAGGAGTACATCACACCCGGTAAAGTATCGTTCTCGAACACGATGTCAGGGCAGTGGGCGTATAGACAGGCTGTGCGTGTATCTCATGCATTAACCTCGCTCTGACTCATGCTGTTCACAGACCAAGATCGCGCAGGATCCGGAAACTCATGGGTCAATGCTGACACCTGTCATCCTCGGCGCTGACAAGACCACTGTATCTGTCGGCACTGGCAACTCAGAGTTCCACCCGCTATACATGTCAATCGGTAATGTACATAATGCGGTCAGGCGCGCTCACAAGGACGCGATCATCCCGATTGCGTTCCTAGCGATACCGAAGGGTACGTTGTTTACCTCCGAGTCGACGCTGGCTTCTTTTGTTAATGAGATTCATGACCCCACAGCGGCACGAGGCAAGGCCGAGACTGATGAGTTTCGAACGTTCCGCAAACAATTGTACCACGCCTCAATCGCACACATCATGTCGCCGCTGCGACCTTACATGGAGACCCACGACGTTGTACGCTGCCCCGACGGACACTTCCGGCGAACAATATACGAGCTCGGGCCGTTTATTGCGGACTATCCCGAGCAAGTTCTCCTCGCAGGCATAGTGACAGGGTGGTGCCCGAAGTAAGTACACGGTCACCTGTGCTGTATGATTGCTCACTACTCCCTCGCAGATGTCTCCTTCCACCCGAAGATCTACATAAAGCCGGAGGAGAGCCGCGCTGTCTCGAGCACACCGTGGAGCTTATCAGAACATTCGATGCTGACGAAGCCTGGGTCGCATGGGGAGTCGATGCAAACATCATTGTAAGTATGAATCAACCCACACTACGCTATCTTCATAACAGCTAGCATTCGTTCGCAGCCGTTCACGACCTACTTCCCCCGCGCCGACATCTATGAGCTCATTACCCCCGATCTGCTCCATCAGCTCATCAAGGGGACATTCAAGGACCACCTCGTCGACTGGGTGGAGCAGTACCTGTACCTTGTGCATCCCAAGGCCGAGGCTCGTCGAAGAATGGACGACATTGATCGCAGGCGAGACTGTTCTCAGTGTGGATTGATCGAATCACTGATGGCCACTTGCTTACCTGTAGGATCGCAGCCGCGCCTCAATTTCCGGGGCTTCGTCGGTTTCCCGAGGGCCGGAACTTCAAGCAGTGGACTGGGAACGACTCGAAGGCGCTAATGAAAGTAAGTAAAGTAATATATTGAAGATTGAGACTGACCTCTGTTTCGTCGTGGCAGGTCTACCTTCCAGCGATACGGGGGCACGTGCCGGACGACATGGTTCGCTGCTTTGCGGCTTACCTCGACTTCTGTTACTTAGCAAGACGATCTACTCACGACGACAGTTCACTCGCGGAGATGCAAGAGGCATTAGACCGCTTCCACAGACATCGCGTCGTCTTCGAGACCGTAGGTGTACGCCCCGAGGGTTTCTCACTCCCGCGACAGCATGCTCTCGTCCACTACATCGCTAACATCCGACTCTTTGGTTCTCCGAATGGCATTTGCTCGTCAATCACCGAGTCCAAACACATCCGCGCAGTCAAGCAGCCGTGGCAACGGTCAAGTAGGAATAACCCGTTGCCCGAGATGCTTCGCACCAACCAACGGCTCGACAAGCTCAGTGCCGCACGGTCGATCTTCGCCAACCGCCACATGCTTGACGGTGATGTCCTCGCAGATGCAATGAACTTGGGGCCATTCGTAACGGAAGACGTGTTCCTTTCGGACGACAACGAGCCTGAGGATGAGGTGATGGATGTCAATGGCTATGTGGAGGGTGTCGTCGAGCTTCCGGCACGACAAGGTGAGTATCAATTATTCAATCAGAAGCTCTTTCTCAAAACACGAGTCTAGTCTATATGCGTTCTGTTGAGGACCTCGCCGCGGAATATCAGCGACCCGATCTTATGGTTTTGGTTCGCCGATTCCTATTTGATCAACTGCATGCTACGGACGAAGTCGACTCGAGCACGGTGGACCTGTCGGAGTGTCCAAGATTCCTCGGGAAGATCGCCGTGTATCGGACAGCACATGCAATGTTCTTCGCCCCGAGCGAGCTCTCCGGTGATCGTGGCATGCACCGGGAGCTGATTCGATGCAATCATTCTTGGCGCGGCCACCCTCGTTACGACACCGTTCTCATCAGCATCGACGCGGACGAGCCCAGCATGAAAGGCATGGCTGTCGGCCGTGTCATGGGGCTGATGACAATCCCATACAGTGGTGAACGCTACCCGTGCGCACTGATCGATTGGTTCGAGGTCTCGGACGATCCGGACGACGTGACGGGTATGTACGTTGTTCAGCCCGAGCTAGACAATGGACAGCAGGTATCATCTATTGTACATCTAGACAGTGTGTTTCGTGCTGTCCATCTTATGCCAGTATATGGGGATGTTTCTATGCCAATTGACTTCCATTTTTCGTATACCCTTGATGCTTTTGAATCATTCTATGTCAATAATTACAGCGACTATCATTCACATGAATCTATATTCTAGTATAAAGTATTATTCACATTGCCTCGTATCGAACTGTCTGAACCCGAGCTGTCTGAACCCGAGCTGTCTGAACCTGAGCTGTCTGAACTCGTCTGAGCTCGTCTGAACTTGTCTGATAATGTGTGAGATCTGAGGTGCTCTGGTGCTCTGAGCAGTGCATCTCAGATGGCCAGACCGTCAGGACTTGCCCAGTTTGCTGATGTAGCGGCACGCTGACCTCCAAGCGCCTCTACTCTCTCGATGGCGCCCCTCCTTCCACCGAGCACGCCCTCTATTCGGGTCGTGTGCCAACACTCGACGTCTGGCATCGTCGTCTCGGTCACGTCAACCATCGTACGATCCACAACATGGCCCGCCTCAGATCCGTTTCAGGTATGCCCATCATTCTCTCCCCACCTGCCAAATGTGAACATTGCATTCTCGGCAAGCAGACGAGAAGTGCAGTTCCTAAGGTGCGGGTGGGAGATAAGGCGAAGCGGATTCTTGGTACGGTTTTTGTGGACGTGCAGGGGCAGCAGGATGTGCGTTCAGTGTTAGGCAACCTGTATTCTATGAACATCCTCGATGATTTCACGTCACATACTTGGGCCATTCCCGTGCCCTCGAAAGTCATTCTTGAACGTTTCAAGGCTTGGGTTCTCGCTCGGGAAGTGGAGACAGGCAAGCATCTCGGCATAGTGCAAGTGGACAATGGCGAGCTCCTGTCCAACGACTTCAAAACTTGGATCGAAGGTCGTGGCTCACAATGGCGCACGACGGCGCCGCATACGTCCGCGCAGAACGGGCGCATTGAGTGGTTTCACCGCACACTGATGGATCGCGCGCGCGCCATGCGTCTTGCGGCGAATGCCCCGCCAAATCGCTGGGATGAGTTTCTAGTCACTGCGAACTACTTGTCTGTTCGCACACCGTCTTGTTCTCTCGCTCCGGGCGTGTAACGCCCCCTTACTCACGCCGTGATACGCTGCACCCAGTCTCTATTCCAGAGTGGTGCGGTATCGGTGACGAGTGTAAAGGAGCTCGAACTCCCACACTCGCTGGCGCCGTCCTTAAGGGACGGCGCCTACGCACGCAATCGTAGATACATTATATGTCCTAATTTAGTAACTACGTGAATGTAACGTAGCCACGTTACACTCTCCCCCCTTGGACCCGTCCACGGTCCACAGCAATGTACAGTAGAATAGAAAATAGAAATACAATTGGAGATGCGACGACCCGACGGTGGTAGCAAATGGTACGATGAGGACAACACTGTACTGTAGACAACGACTCGCGAGTCGCGTCAGTGAGCAGCACATCCGCCATCGTCGTCACGCATAACTCGAGGGAGTTATGCGACCTTGGATACGTAGCGGGCCAGTGGCCGCTACATGTCACGCTCCGCACCCGGGTCGTTTGCCTGAGTGTCGTCGTCCATCTCGACGTCATTGACTACATCCGTGGGGATGTAGACGTTCGCAGGGATGGGGGGCATGTCGTTGATGTGGACGACATGCTCATGGACCACGTCGCTCCCTACGGACGGGTACGTAGCATACGGCGCCGCAGTATCAATTGCCCGGCCCTCGTGCTCGTTCCTCCGACGCCGATAGAAGTCCTCGAGGAATCCTACCTCGTCCGGATGGTACCCCATCCGCGAGAACCAACGGGCGACATCAAATATAGTGATGTCGGCCAGGCTCGCGGGGAATGCGACGGTAGCCCATCCAGCTCCCAGCGGGTAAGCTCCTTCCTGTACCAGTCGTCGGTACAGGCCCGGGATGGAGAACAGCCGTCCCGTAGCGACTTCCCAAGGACGACACGACTGCGTTGTCGTTGGGGCCAATCGGCGCGTGAGGTGCAGGGCCTCAACGTCGTCGATGTTCGGCCGTCCTCCACGGTCGACTCGCATACCCAGCGGTATGCGGTCGCGATTGACGCAGTACCACTCGCGCCATTCGAGTGCCGTCGACTGGTTCGTCGGCTGGGCCAACCCGCCCCTCGACTTCTTCTTGGGCGGAGCAGTGGCCGTTCGTCCCGCCGGCGACCTGGCCCGCCGCTTGCTCGACGTCGCTCCCGTATTCGACCACGTCGCCGTGGTCGTCGACGAGGCAGCAGGGGCCATTCCCGCTGAGGGTCCTGCCGTTGAGGCCGCGGTACGACTCCCCAACGGCCCTGCGCCCGCCGTTCCGGCTGGCGGTGCGTTCGCCCGTCGTTGATGCTCCTCGCGGCTCTCCTGCATGGCCCGGGCCATGTCGCCGACCTCCTGGTCCTGCGTCCGACGGGGGGGTTGCCATTGCTGCATCAGCCAACGCGGCCCCTCAACCGCTCCTATCCTCTGGTCCACCTGGGCCTGGTGGATGAGGTCCTGCACCCGGAACCTCGCCTGCTCGTCTACCAGGGCCCGTCGATGGATGATCTCCGCCTCGGCACAACTACGAGGGATGTAGTTGTGCCACTCGCCCGCCTGCAAGACGGTCGAGTTGTCGGGGAGTGGAGCGGAAGGCGGCCAGTTTGGGGGTGCCTCCGGTGGTGCACCAGTACTCGCCAGAGTACTGGTGTTAGTCGCCCGCGCCTTGCCCTTGCCCTTCAGGCGATGGCTGACGACGGCTTTCTTGAGACGGCGACTTTCTTCGTCGGCGTCGGCGTCGGTCGGCGTCGTCGTCGTCGTCGTCATCGTCGCTCGGGTGAAAGTCGTCCCAATCCGCGGTCATTGGATCGTGCGGCTGGGCCGGTGGCATCTGCGAAGATGCCTCCGGTGTTGGCCACCTCGATGGCTGCGGGGGCAAGGCTGGGGTGGGCTGCGTCTGCGAAGACGCAGCCTGGTTGTCCTGTCGAGCCTCCTTGGCGGGCTCGTTCGTCGCTGCGGGCTTTGGCGACGGCGGAGGGGGGCTTGGCGACTGCTGGCGGTCGTCCAGTCGTCGGCGGTAGTACGCGATGTCGTCGTGGAGGTCCTCGATGTCGTCCACGAGACGGCGGGTGTGCTCGTCCCTTCATCGCACCCGGGCTTCTTCATCGGCGAGCCGCCGCCGCATCTCCTGCTCGGACTGCACGGCGTACTCCACCTGTTCGCGCAGTCTCGCGATGATTTGGTCGTTGACGACCGCCTGGTTACGCAGTGCGTCGACCAGGTCCCTCCCCCCCTGCAACCAACCCTCCTGTGTCAGAGAGTGTGCCACGTCCGCCCGCATGTGGACGGCCAGACTCTCCGTGATGCGCTGGTACTCAGCGTCGCCACCACCTCGGGGCAGGTGGTGGACGAAGGCCTCGCAGACGCTGCAGAGGCTGGTGGGGTGTGTTGCCAGCGGCGTCACGGGGAAGTACGGCACCCAGTTGGTGCCAGAGGGTGCGAGCAGCAGGCTGCTCGTGGTCGCAGTACCAAACTGGTACTGTGACGATGCGGTCGGCCGGTTACGGTCGACCTGCATCATTGTAGCCGCCTCATTGCTGAGGACGACCGGCTCGTCGAGGTGCGGGGGAACGTGCAGCTTGGACAGCGTCAGCGACGTTAGCGGCAAAGCCGACGACGGCGGCGACGTCTGTGCGGGCGCACCACCGTCAGGTGGTGCGTCCGTGGTGTTGTGAGGCGCGGTGAAGTTGTTGGTGCTCATGATGAGGCGAGGTGCGGTGAGCGGTGAGGTGGGTGGTAGTTTGAGTTGGGGAGTGGCGGCAGCAAGAGTTGTGGCTTTGTTGGCGCCTGCCGCGGTCACCTGACTCCGAGCAGCGCGTCCGTGCCCAATCCGGTAAGAAGTCCCGCCCTCGAGCGTCTCCAGCCACCAGCTGCCGCAGCCACGACCACCACCTCGGTGGTCGTGCCGCCCTGCCTGGCCATCGCGCACCACCACTTTGCAGTGGTGGTACGTCTACTTGGGACTCTTCTTTGGGAGAGTTCGCCATGATTTGGCGCCATGTAAGGTGAGGTACTCGTCGAGTGCCGCTAAGTCCTTGCAGTGGGCGTACGGCTCCCAGGATGTGTCGCCGAGCGTCCATCGGACGTGGAATTCGACACGGTTGCCGTCCCATCGATGACCCAGTATATCGTCGACCAGCCATTCCTGCTGGTCGTCGTTGCCGAAGTCGTAGAACGACTTGGCTTCCCGGTTAGGGAACAGACCGTCATCGTTGGGTTCATGTCTCCTAAGCAAGGAGACATGGAACATCGGGTGTATGCGCCGGTCCTTCAATTCCTGCGGCAACTCCAACGTATAGTTGGAGGTGCTTGGATTGCACGCCGTCACTGTATACGGCCCAATGAATTTGGGCATCAGTTTCCGAGCACGACCCTTGGGTAGTGCTAGGTTCTGCGTGCTCAGGTACACTTGAGATCCTGTGTGGAACTCTGGTTCCTCTTGTCGATGTTTGTTCGCGTGGAACGTTTGGTGTACACAACTCTCAATTAGAGTGTCGTGTGCCATTTCCAGATAGTGCCGTGCTCGCTGGGCAAATTCACGGACTCCTGAGTACTTGGAGTCCGTGGAGAATCTGGCCATCATGCGGGGCATGTACCCGTAGTTCAACTTGAACGGCGCGAATCCAGTGGATGCACTGGATGCTGAGTTGATAGCGAACTCCGTGAGGGGTAAGCTATCTACCCAGTCGAGTTGGTCCGGTGAGACCATTGACCGCATTATCTGGGATACCGAACGTATCGCACGCTCAGTCATGCCATCCGTCTGAGGATGGAAAGACGTCGACATGAGTAACTTCACTCCTAGGAGCCTATGAACTTCACGCCAGAATTTTGACGTGAATTTCGTGTCTCGGTCGGAGACTATGGACTCAGGGAGTCCATGTAGTCGTACTATCTCGCGAACGTATAGTTCAGCGAGTTCGGCGGCCGTAGTCGTCGTTTTGATAGGTATGAGGTGTACCATGGACGTGAGGCGGCATACGACTACCCACAGGTAGTCGTACCCATTGACTTGCGGGAACGGTCCTACGAAATCCATGGACATGGAAATCCATGGCCTCGTAGGAATTGGTAGCGAGTGCAACCACCCTGCTTGTAGGTGGTTGCGCGGTTTCGCCATCTGACATGTTCCGCACGTTACGCAGAACATGTCGACATCCTTACCTATTCTCGGCCACCAGTACCAACGTCTGATGTATTCTGATGTTTTCTGCGGCCCGAAGTGCCCCAGTGTGGTGTGTGCGTGGTCGATCACTACCTCAGTGAGCGACCGTCGTTTCAACGGCACCCTCGGTACACATAGAACCTCCACTCCTTGGCGGTTCTTTGTGTAGATCAGACCGTCGCGCACTGCGAATGTCTTGAAGTGCTGGGGAGTCTCCAGCACTTTACGAAACGTATGGTCATTTCGGTACCCCGACTTCACTGTCTTGATGAAGTCGACGTCTCGTTCCACCTTCGTCCGCAAGGGTGGTCCCGACGTCAATGCCTCAGCCACCGTCGGGTCGCTGAGGTCGATAGCTTCATTGCTAATGTCCTTGTTCTGCGCCGCAGCCATTGCTGCTGCCTCAGCTTCACGTTCGTGACACTTCTCGTCCAACCCTTGAGCCGCCATCTGTCCCATTCTCAGTTCGAGAATGCGATTGGAAGGCAGATCGTCTCGCATGGGGTCGAGCCGTTCGTCCGCATTCACCATGTGGTGAATGGGGATCACGTCGTCCGGCGTGTTGTTCTCGTAGTACCTTGACAAACAGTCGGCGACCTTGTTGTCACTGCCTTTGATGTATGATATCGTACAGTCAAAGCGGGAGATGTACTCATACCATCGAACCTGCCGGTTCGATGGATTGGCGACGCCGTTGAAGAACGTCAGGGCCTTATGGTCCGTGACAATATTGACCTTTCGGCCAAGCAGCTTGTCCTCCCATTTGAGGAGGGCTTCCATAATTCCGAGTGCCTCCTGCTCGTACGTATGGTACGCGCGTTGCGCACTCGAGAACTTCTTGGATAGGAACCCTGCAGGTCGACACGTCTGCCACTCGGGTCCTTGACCATAGACGGCTCCGACTCCGAAGACGGAGGCGTCTGTGATGACCCAGATGGGCTCATCGACCTTCGGGTCGATGGGCTTGAGTATGGGTGCGCGACTGGCGAGTGCTTTGATGGCTTCAAAGCACTTGACCGCGAAAGAAATGTCTGGACGAGTACTGAGCATAGCATACATGATGCTGCCAATAATGCTCTGGTAGCGGGTACGGAAAACCTCAGATGCAGTGTGTCCTGGACAGCCTGCAGTCCAATGATGGGGCAGCAAAGCAGGACAGTTTTATGGTGCATATCTACTGCTACCACTTTGAGAACAACCCCACTGACTGCATGGTCAATCACAACGCAAGCCAGGACATACATCAATTAGATGGGAGGCATCTACATGAGGGCAGTAGGCTGTTATGCAAGCAATTTATATACATGCAAGAACAATGGAGCAGAGAGGTCAATTGAATGGTCAAAGCAAGGTAACATAGGACAAATCCATCCAAGATGTGACAAAGGATTAAAGAACCTGATAAACAGTGACTGTACCTTTATTTCCAGTACATATCACTACTTAGGTGGGGAGACCACAAGATTTGGGGGATAGCAAGTCTGCATATACAAATGCACATCACAACACAGAGGGGATAGTGATGCCATGGGCAGAGCCTTTTGAAATTCACCATATCCCAATGGGTCACCCCAATGTTACTGTGGGTCAACATTGAGCAGAAACTCAGGGTAGACAACAATTTAACTGAAACACAGGCAAGATGTGGCATTGTGCAATGAATATGAATAGTCTGCCACATAGACTAGCCTCAGAGAAGAGGAACATATTAGGTTGATTTACTAATCTTATCACTGAATACTGCCTTATGTCACAGGTTTTTCACCAACATATGATAAATAGGGCTGGGGGATGAACATGACCAGCCCATGATGTGGACATTTTCATTGAGAACTTAATGCATTGCTACTTAGTAAGTGACACAACTGGGACCATGATTTCTTATAAAGAGCATGATCATAGCCCTACTACTATATCGGGCCGGGATCTCGGCCACCTTAGCACTCGACAAGCCCTCCTTACTGTGTATGGGCCGTAATGCCCTAGATCCTTGTTCAGAGGTATGCTAGAACACCTCAGGAATACAAGAAAAATAATAGAAAAAATTCAGCATCATTGAGTGGAGCTCAGTACACAGATTTCTCGTTGAGAGTAGGGTGAGCCACACAGACTAGGAAGTCGGCCACACCCTTGGAAATAGCTCACTACATTGAAGAGGCCCATCTGCATGGACTGTAATCCTTGAAGATATATTCAAGTATATGATTCTGATTATTTCTAGGCCGCAATGCGCCAGAATCCGAGTGAGGTACCCAGTCATGGGCGAGGGGTTCGGGATCCCAAGCCACTGCTTACCAAAAATGGGTATCATCGGACAAGATGATTTTTCCTGCACCCGGATCTTGGTGTATTGGCTTGAAAGTTTGTACAGGCAGTAAAGGAATGTATAGAATCATGATACAATTTATTTCATGGCTGTAGAGTAGGTGGTAATTGGATGAGACTCGAGTGACCGACTACCTAGGGTGGCCGAGATCCTGACCCGATATAGTACATCGCTGAAATCCTGGATTTAGTGAATCAACTAACAATGCATCTATGCTAAATGTAAAACTGGAACTGCAGGTCTAGTGTTCATCTCAAAAGGGCCTTGTCACAGTATCCATACTGATCCTTCTTATGCTATCAGGAGTGGCCATGTCACAGATGCCTAGCAAAAGATTAAAGTAAACAATATCACTGGCTGTCCAACATGGACAATTACATGGTAAGATTCAGTCTGGTCATATTTTGTATTTCAGCTCATGAATACATGGCACTGGAGTAGCTATCATTGTGAGTTAGAAAGATGAGGTCAGCATGATGGCACCCACACTGTAATGCACTTGTTGTCATCATTTTGACAACTTCAGCAGTCTATGTATACACAGCACAGACTATCTGACTAGCAGTTACCATATTCTACTGTTGAGCTCGGAATTTATTCCGCATTTCTGCGAATTATTCTGAGCTCCATTGCCCTGTCCAAGTCGTGGAATGTGTCCTGGTGTGTTCTCCTTTATTCTACATGGACACCATCACTATACCGTGCATACTGTACATTTTCCGACGTCATTCCCTTCAGTCTACCATTTTCCATAATGTTTGCATCTTCAGGGATTTGAACCCTTGCACTCATCCGGTTTTTTCACTGCTTCGTTGATTTCGACTTTGTGGCTGTTTCTACTGTACAGTTATGGTCACCTTACGTAACGCACACCGTAGACAGTCCGCCTTGTCGAGCTCTAAGTCCCTAAGACTTTACAGAGCTCGACTTAGGCCTTTGGAATTGCTCTGAGGCGCACTGCAGCCAACATCTACTGCAGGATTAGCACTGCAGTAGTCCATGGGTCACATGGGTTCATGGGTCAGATTTTGGCTACCCATACCCATACCCATGCATATCCATACCCATGACCCACATGGGTTATCCATACCCATGCAATGCACTACTGAAGTATAATCCGAACACCAGCGACAAGTTTGCAGAAGTTCTCCCAGTATTCTGTCGGCATTATCCCATGCAGAAGTGCTGGACCGAGTCCGTACATCCAATGCAGGAACTCCCAGCACTTGTAACCACTCGAGATCTTCTCGGCTGGATTGCGTGGCGGGCGGTCGAAGGACCCTGGAAGATATACCCTCACCACTGCAACCTGCTTTTCATGGTGCTGCCACACATCTCCAATGAGACATACCCAGCCCCATGACACCTTGTTATCGCTGTTACCCGCGTCGCAGTTGATCGTGCCCCGGAGTAGTTTTTGCATGAGGCCGGTGATATTCAGCCCAGTTAGATGCATGATATCACCTGGGAAAAGACACAGGATAGGGAGTGTGCAACCACGCACCAGGCCAGAGAAGATACTTGGCTTTGAGATCCCTGTATCAAGTCGCTGCACCCGGTAGTCGGTAGCTGAGAAAGATGCCTGTACGCAAAGGACATTGTGTTCATAATCAATGGGCGATGCTTCGAGTACGTCTGAGGGATCGTAGTCAGGATGATCACATCCAGACTCATCATAATTGTCGGGCTTCGCGCAGACAGAGTAGTAGTGTGATCCACCAGGTTTCCTGCATCCAGTACAATCACATCACAGGCGACATCCTCTCTTTCCATGGTGTCCTACATAGCCTGTCAGTTCAGGTGCCCCAACTGCATCCGCTTCAGCGAGGATGATACGGGGACGCAATCAAAATGTGACACGCCGTGCTGCATCCCAGATGACCAGCCCTTCATTCTGCAAGGCAGCAGCATGATGGAGACCAGTATAGAGATACAAGTCGGAGTTTTTGGGCTTCAGCGGGCCAGGCACGATTGCGCCTTGGAAGAGCTGCTTCTTTTTGAAGCGTAGGTCAGGGAAGACATCAACCAGGATCCATATATAGATCCAACAATTTGATGCCTTGTGCTCGTAGAGCTGGGCCCCATCCATAGAGAAGATGAGGCACACATCATCCGGTTTGATATCGCCACACTGGTAGGCATCCCAGAAGTCCGACCCGTAAGGTATATCCTCAATGATGTCCAATTTGCCCATCTAGCGCAGCTCCACAAAGATGTTGTCCATGACATTCCTGTGATATGCCATGTTCTCTGCACCCTCAGGGGATCGAAAGTGCACCTGAATTTGAGGGCCGATAGGAAACGTACTGAACTGCTGTCGCGCCTTCTTCTTGCCAGTTGAAGCGAGAAGTGCGGGATCGTAGCAGGGCTCGCTGCAGTAAGGGCACGTCTCAGTGTATGCAAGACAACTGTTGATGCACATGTCCTCGAGGATCACAACAACCCCCGAGAGCTCAGCGACCTTCTTCTTGACAAGGTGGTGAGAGAGGACGTCGCACTCGGCGAAGCGCTCGAGGATCACGTCGTGTATGCCATCGTAGATCTTCTCGGATCCATCGGTGTCTGCAAGATATAGCTTGATGGACAGTTGTTTGTCGGGACTGAGGTCAGGACTCTCGGTTATGGGATTTTGCAACTGTGAGATGTTGTCTGCGTCAAGCCTCTCGTCTGCGAGACAAGGATTCAACCAGAGTTTATGGATGAATTTGAGGGCTGTGTCAACTGCTGGTATGTATGATGACGGCATGGCGTCCCCTACAGGTGGCTGGTGTACAGGCTGGTCTTGGCCAGGTTCGCCTGCCTGACCACTTGGACCGCCATTGGCTGCCGCCTGCACCGGCGGACCACCTTCGGGGGGCTCCTCTGCTGACTGCGGGTCCGCGCGCTGATCTGCGTTTGGCACAACAGAAGTGTCCTAGAAATGATACACGAGTTAGTATGTTCAAAACATATACAACCAGTGACATACCTCTGGTTCTACATCCACAGAGTTCCCGGCCATCTCCTCCTTCGAGAGCTGTCCCGGTACAGAGACACCCTCTGCAACCGGATCTGGGATGTCCCTCGCCTCATCCGTGGGAACCCTGTCCGACTCGGATGCAGGTGCTGCTGTGCCACCTGCCTGTGCCGGAATCTGTTCATGCTGCATAGATTGCAGGCCACTGTTGTTGTTGTCGTGTTTGCGCAAACACTTCAGCGGAGTAGCGCGCAAAGGATCTGGAAATGCCTTAGCAGTTCCCCCAATAAGTAAACTGGTAAACATATCATGTGACTGGCAGTTTGGTGGGCCATTGCTCCAAGCGCTCACACACTGTAGGGCCTATATAGCCTCAGCCAGTAACAAATCATAGTATACATAGTATGCTCATCTGATAGCCCTTCATTCAGAGAGTATACAGAAATTCTATTGAGTGTATACAGTGGCTGGCTAACCCAGGAAATGCAAAGCAAAAAAATGCACATGTGCCTCTGCAGATTCAATCTGCCTGTTCATGACTCAAATATGGTCTATATGTACACTGCAATGTATATGTCTAGTTCAGACACTGTGGACTACTCAGTAGCTTCAATAATACAGGTAACAAGGACTTTAATGGGTAATCTGAGCATCTTTTGCCATATTATGGCCCTTGCATACAATGTAATGGTAACCATTGCAGCTCAAGGCAATCATATACTTGTCTTTGATGTGTCTGTATATTTCATAGATTTTCTGCATTTCTCTGAGCCCTACATGCCCCTGTTTGTGTATGATTCCTCTTTGGGAATGTGACATACTCCATATGGTAATTATGCATCCACTACTGGCTTTGTCTTGCTCACAGACACAATCTAGGGATACATACCTGAATGTGTACTTACACTACCATCTTATAGGGTTGTCCAGTACATGAGCAGTTCCAAAAGTGAAGTAGCAGGCTTTTATAAGCTCACTGGGGCCACAGCAACCATCTTACCAGGTTATTGAGAATGCTATCTTATCTGACGTAAACCCATGCCATATACAGCTTCATTCACATTGCCTGGATCATTTTGAATATTGTCTCAATTTTCCGCTTTTTTCTGAGTCTAAACAAGCTCTCTTAAGCACAGTAACAGTCGGCACTTACATCGCTTACTAAGCGCCCATCAAGCGCCCAGATGCCGTTCGGAGGTGCATCCGTGCGGAAATTTGGCACGGTTGCACCTCCGAACGGCACGAGAGGGATGTCGAGCTGCTCTGATTGGTGCAACAAGCCCTTTTCTGCCCTAATCAGGCAGGCTGGCGAGGTTTTGAGCTGAGTTTGAATCTCAGCCACAGGCTCCTTAGTGGCACTGTACCTGCTGTACTGTGGCCCCACTAAAATGCGGAAAATTCCCAAAATAATCTCTGTGATAGGTATGATGTCATAGAGTCTATAGCTGCTGTGACTTGCCCATTACCTTCACTGGTCATGGCACAATTCACAAAACAAAAAAACATGCAAATGCCTCTGTGCACATGAGTGCATCCCTTTTCACCTCAATAGTCTCTCTTTTGAAGCCTATATGCTGCCCACAGATTCTCTGACATCTCAAACCTGCTAAATAGGGTAGCTGACCTTCCAAAAATGGTAATTTTGCTTAACCTGCTCAGTCTGGGCTCACAAAATGCAGATAAAATCAGGGAATATTATGTGTAATCAGACTCATCTGTATTGCCTTGTATATGAAGGCAATTCATCTTGTATGGAGGCCCCCACAATATATCACTAGTATGACTTGCCCAGTTGGTTGAAATTCAGGAAACAGAGAAACACATGCATGACTGTGTGGCATTTGACTGGGATACACTGACTGAAATCTAATCAACTCTTATAGAGGTTATAGAGATGATAAACTCATTTGATAGCCCATCATTTCAAGGGTTAATCATACATTGGAGGAATGAAGAACAAAGGACAACATTTAGAGAATCACAAGTGACTGTGCAGATATGAATGGCTTGTTGTCTCTGAAACACATTGCCTATGACCTGTATAGATATGTGCATAGTTTACAATGCATGGATGTGTCTGGAAGTTGCACAGCACAGCTATTGGTGGGGAAAAATGGTAATAACATGCATGTTTTGATGTCTCAGCACTGGAATGACTATATAGGGAATCTTCTCCACTTGTAAATATGCTCAGGTATGCTCCACATATATCCTGGAATATTATCTGATTAATCTGCATTTTCTTGACCCCAAAACAAGTGAATTGTGCTGCAGTAACAGTGTGCACTTACATCGCTTACTAAGCGCTCGATTAAGCGCCCATTGCCGAAGCGGAGTCGTCGACAGGCCGGAATTCCGGCCTGTTGACGACTCCGGTCACTCAAAGGGGATTTTGGAGCACTCCCATTGGCTGAAATGGTGACAAATGTTCCCTTTTAAAGTAATCTTTCAGTCTCAGCTCTTCATGCCGAGTTTTTTGATGGCTTCAAGCCACACTAACTGAGCTCTTACTAAAACCCCATTAAATGCAGAAAAATCCCAAAATATTGCTTCTCCATGGAATGCCCCTTGAGTACTGACAAGGGTGCCCAGATTAGGTGTTCTTGTTGTTTTTCACAGAGTACTGACCTTGGCAAGTGATACTGGGGATATAAGCAAATGTTGGTGTGTGTATGATGCTTGTACAAGACAGTTCCACATGTATGGGCTATGTGAGGTGGAGGATATCAAACATACAAAACTGCCATATATGGTTAGTCCCCTGCCCATTTGGGAAGTTGGCCATGCATGGCCTCTGCAGGACTGGATAAATAGCAGGAAAATAAGAGAAAAATTAGATAGTACTATGGATTTGTATTGGGTTGACTGTTGAGGCCATATGGCAGAAAACATAATAATGCAGAGTTTCCCATGCATAGCCTGATACAAGCCACTCTTTCAATGAGTCTTGGTCCATCTTGTAAGCACCATTATCACCTGGAATTCTCAGGGACTGGCAGCTCCAGACAGGATCCTAGGCTATTCTGTTCAGTTCAACTCTTCAATAGGCCCTGCAAAGGCAGGCTATTGGGCTGAGTTTGAATGCAAGCCACAAGCTCATTAGTGACAATGTATTTGCTGTGCTATGGTCTCCCAAAAAATCAAAAACAATTGGGAATATTCCCAGTCATGTATATGATGTCAGAGAGGCTGTACATAGTATGCCTTCCCATGGACTCATATAAACATGGCACCCACCATTCACAAAGCAAAATAAAATACATATTCCTCTGTACACACTGGTTCTTTCACTTTGTGTTTCCTGTGATGCTTGCCAACTGCCTATGGATTGTGTGGCTATATGAGACCTGAATGAAACCTGCCATATGTGGTACCTGACCTTCTCAAAATGGAAAGTCCGAGTTATCTGCTGTGTCTGGGCTCAGAAAATGCGGATAAAACAAGGGAATATTCTGTATGATTCCACTCACCTTGTACTGCTTGCTATAAGTATTGATTGGCTCATGTCTAAACCCTTTGGCAGGCAATGGCATATGCAGAAAATGAAGAACACCTGTGGCACAAAGGCCACAGTTAATGCTGAGTATGTTCATAATATTGGCTCTGTCTCACATGTGAATGGCATAGCTATCAATATTATGGGTTCACAGAGCTTTATGACACTGTACTGATCCTAGAAAGTGATAGAAAGACATTGTACAAGTTGTGTTGTGCATCTACTACTGTTGCTAGAAAGTCTATAGGCTAGCAATGTCATAAAGTAGGGACACCACACATAGGTGATCAAATGCTTTGATGGTCTCTGCAATGCTAGATAAATGGTAGGAAATGAGATAAAATCAGATGATCCCATGACATTATATTGTGCTGAATGTTGTAGGCCAATGCATGACAGTACATCTCAGATGTGCTAATGCAGAGTTCACAGCCTGATGTCTGCCGCTCTATTGTCCCAGTCCAGTATAAGCATGTCTTTGACTGATTGTATCAATATGAAGCAGTGCCAATTATACAGTATGATGGTGCTATGCTTGGTTGTTAATTGCTCATATAATTTTTGCCTGGGGCATATCTAATGTCTGTATGCACTACCATCATCCTATTCTCATGCAATGGCCCTTGGTATGTGAAGATAGAATAGGCAGCTCTTGGCTTGTTCATATGGGCAAAAATGTATTGACAGTGGTGTCTGTTTGTGCAATGTCTACTATCACTCATATTGCAGTGTATGCCGTGATTTCTTCCTGATTGGGCTCAGAAGAAGTCATGGTTGCCATGGAAATAATGCAGACTTGCATTGCTTACTAAGCAACAGTGAAGAGGCCATATTACAATGGACTTCTGAGCCAATATATGGCTGTCCTTTTATGGATCTCTAGTCAATAATATGACTTTGGGAGTGCTCACATTTGCTGCAGCTGTTTCCTTTTACATGTGATGATAAAATATCAGCTACTCATGTTGGGTCCTTTCATGTTATATGGAAAGTGGAAATATAACACTTTAGACCCAGGTGTGAACATGTGTGATATTTGAACAGCATTGGAAATTTGTGGCACTGTGCCTACCAGTACACCATTTGGCAGTTGATCCTGGGTGGTATCTGCCATGCCCAAGGAATGTCAACATGAGAAATATAGTGCGTAATCCAAATATAGTACCATACATTGTATGTGCACACAAAATAATGAACAGTCAGCCAGAAAATGACACTGGTGATTATCTTGGGAGTATGTCTGAAGATATAGAATCCTTGGACTTATGATCAGAGAGCATGACCATTGATAGTAGGCATTACTAGAATACCCAGGAAAGGCCCATGTGCAAGTCTTAGTATGCAGTCTGTTGTTAGGGACAAGGCATTGAAAACCCTTTTTCTACAAGAAATTCCATAGATATGGTCTTTGAATAGGGTAGGCAGCAGGAATTGTTATCACTCCTGGGCTTTGTTATCTTTATTGTAGATCCTTTTAATGGACTTCATTTGGGGTTCACAATGCTTTCTGACCAGATTTCAGTGATCTTTTGTTCCCACATTGTTATTATTTGTGGCACCTATTGGTGTATGTTCTGACTGGACTATTACTAAGTTTCTAGTGCTCTCCTTAGACCCCTTGTGACCAGATGCTTTGAAAGATATTACTGGGGTTCTATTAGCTCAGACTATGTTATCTATTGATATATTATCCCAGCTGGCAGGCAATCTATGAGTGACTAGTGTTCATAAGGCTGTGCTAGTGTTTCAGGACAACATGCAAGTGGTGTGTCATGAATCACAGAGCACATCCTTGATGATCAGTGAGAATTATTGGCTCATCTACCCTTGCCTTACAATGAGCCTGTGAGCTTATTGTGCATCTTGAATGGCCTTGGAAAGTGGTGTACTGAGTCTTCTACTATTTTGTAGGATTCTATGAAGTATTTTATGTAGCTAAAAGGCTGTGCATAAATGCACAAAAGGAGCATCCCTATGAGCAAGTCCAAACATTTATCTCATCTACCACTTGCTTCTGTACTCTTATGCCAGTGTACCTTCAATTCATCAGTGATCAATCCTGCCCATGACTCTATCAGTCTTGATGTCACTTACTATGGTGATACATTGCTTCACATTGTACTACATGAGCCCATTACTATTGACTCAGGAGCTGAGCTCCAATCCAGTAACATACCTTAGTATGGCTTTGTACTACTGGTCAGTGTCTGGTAACTGTTCACTTATGGTGAGAGCAAACTGCACATTCTTTGGTTGTATTCCTTGTATAACACATCAATTCTTGACAGGCCTTTTTCAGAATTCCTTACTGGTATACTTCTCCTCTGTATATTGGTTCCATCCTCCACTGTTAATTGGTTGGACTTGGGGAAGTACTGTTAACAGTCTACTGAAAGACATCCTTTGGTATCAGAATTTCTCTGATCAAGGGCTAATACTTGTACAACAGCACTGACAGCAAGTCCCAACTGAGTAGTGGTTACTGTAGTCAACCCCCCAGACTGCCCTTCCTTGAGTTCTAGTTGATCTAGAGGCTCTCCTTACTTCTTTGCAACATTCCCAAGCTATTTGCTCTATGTTACTATCAATACAAACCAGTAACACTGCGCATTAGTATTCAGATCATATTGATAAGCAACTTGGCAATTTACCAAGTAAGAAACAGATCCATAATGTCTGTTCCTCATGATTGCAAGCTATGATCCTCATATTACAACAACCTAATAAATTAGCAGGCTACTCTGAAGTGCAAAATGTGGAAGATATGTCAGTACTCTATGCATAGACAATATACTAGCAGTCTTACCAAGCATGACTTCTGATGTGGGCAGCATGAAGTTGTTCATAATTTGACATGTATCCTACCAAAGGGATCGTACTGCCAGCTATGGCCCTCTCCCCAGCAAGTCCTGCAGAGGTTTGGAATCAGACATCTCCGGAGACTTGATCACCGACTGGAAGAGACTCCAGACGAATGCCGTGTCGGGTGTACCAAATGCTGATTTAAGGGCCGCCCACATTTCCTTAGCGGTCTTGAGTTCACCACTAGATCCCTCGAGCAAATGATGCATTGAGTGATCAGTCCGCATAAATAGAACACCCTGAGCACGGGCATTCTGTTTCTTGTACTCTGTGTCAGTAGTTACTGTTGCAACAACAGTGGGCCAGGCCTCTATGAATATTAAATAACCGCGCATAGCGGCAGACCAGTCAGCGTATTGGGACACTGAAGAGAACTTAGGGATATTGTCTGGCTTGACGTCACCCATGGCAGCGGATAAGAGGATAAATTTGCCTTGTGTGTCAGGTGAAGAAGGAGGTTCTGGTGTAAATAACTCGAAGGGTAATTCCTCCGGTTCAGGTGTTTGAGATCTCGACTCAGGGAGCAAGATTAGATGTTCAGGTTTTGCAGGTGAATCCAAAAATTCATTGGCAAATAGAAAATTGTCTTGCCAAGCTTCGACAGTGATACCAGCTTTAAAGCCTCAAGGAAAATCACCAGATGGTGTGTGGTAACAGTTTGGACAATGAGTGTTGTCACAGTTCCACCAGGTTTGATTGTCGTCTCTATAATGAGTGTCGCAAACCTCCTCATAGTCGTATAGATGGTAGTGGTTTGAACAATTGTATGAGTCGTCTGACTCTTCGCCTGAAGAGACCTGAGTCTCTGCAAATGTCTCCTCTTGAGATGTTGCCACAGTTGTGATGCTTCACTGAAAAATATTCCAGGAACAAAGATAAAATTTGTGACACAACTACAAATACTTGTCTACCCAAGCCAAGTGATTGCCCTTGTGCAAGTCCCCAACTTCCTTAGTAACCTTAGAAAGGTTCCTTCTAAGCTCCTTGAAGGAGATCTTCCCAATCAGCTCGCAGACAAGCTTGACGTCGTTGAGCGCATTGTGCAACCACAAAAGACCCTCTGTCTCAAAATGAGAACAGACCCAATTGAACCGACATCCAAAAGTGTTGAGGTTGTCAGTGAGCGACCAGCGAACGGTGTTGCGCAGCTTGTGGGTGAAGAGAGGGTGAAGGCACTTCTGAACGGCGAAGAGACACTTTGTGAGGATGGCGGCCTTCTCCGTCTGAGACTTCTTCTTGAAGTCAGTGTCAAACAGCTTAAGGGCGGTGGTAGGAAGGGGAAGAGGTACACCTTTGATGCGTGCGATAAGGGAAGCCTTGGCAGCTTCTTTGGCAGCGGTTTCAGCGGCAAGCGTAGCAGCGTACTCCGCATGTTGAGCTTCAAGGAGTGCCGTAGAGTTGTCTGCCTTCAACTGGAGCTCCTCAAGCTGCTGCTCAAGGGTCTTGCGACAGGACACCTTCGGGGGATGAGAGGTGTCAGGCCGACGATAGGTGGGACAGCGAGGGCGTGGGGTAGGAGTGAGGATGATATCGATCTGGCGATCAATGGGTAGATGACCGTATACACACGCTGATGACGCTCAGCAACAGCACTAGTGTTGGTGTTGCCTACATCGTATCTCTCACGACAAGACAGTGGAAAAACTTCGTAATTGCTCTTGCGAGCTACCCTGGAAATGCGCTTGGACAAGGCTTTGGGCACTTGTCACAGAGCGGCTAAACAGTAGTCCAAATAAGGACAAAATATGCCAACTCACTCTTTCAAGAGTTGGGCTTTGGTTGCGCAAAAGGTACAGGTGATATAAATGATCAACGCACGGGGCTCATAACCTGTTGAAGTGAAAGAGATTTAGAAGGGCTGTAAAGCCAGTGGAAGTGAAGGACTAGTAGATGGAGTGAACAGACCTATCTCAGAGGGAAGTCTCTGATGCTAGGCAGGCAGAAGAGAAGAGAGATCGTTATCCATTAGGGGGAATCACCCCAGTATTTATACATGTCTGGGACTGATCACATGCTACATCAGTAAGCAGATCAGTAATCACTAAGTCCGAGTTTTAGGGAAATGAGTAAGCCTTAACTCCAGAGATAGGGATATGCATAAGCATCCATGTGATCAAGGAATGTACTGGAAGGTCATGGAACATGCCGGAAGGGAGTGGAATGATCCAGAATAAGTCTGGAACAGTGTAGATCGGTCTGGAGCGAGTCACAAGATGAGTCCAGACAGAGTCCGTCAAAAGAATGTATATAATACTACATCGCAGAACACAAGTCCATATATGTATGTAACTGATAAGATAAGATAACACTGGAAAGTCGGAAGTTCAACACAGTCTCCGTGGCTACGACGGCATCGAGGAGGGATGAGCACTTACATGGATGTCACAGCATGATGTGTGTGACTGTTGCACGTTGCGTGTTGCACGCAACACCCCTCCCAGTCGATCAGACGTTCTCCCCACTCCCGACCTAAGGGGCCACTCAATTCTAAAGGGGGGATTTTTTTTTTGGAGGGCTTGAAGTGGGTGGCCGCAACTAACAATTGGTTAGCCTGGGTGCCCAGCCAGCTAGCGGGTTCCCCCGCAGATGCATCCAGGGAGAAAATGTGTTTATGCATGGTCAATTTCTCGACCAGTGTGGGACTCGTTACCTTGCACGTTGTCGGTGCATAGGCTAATACCCACTAAAACCTGGGGCCATTGTATCCAACCTTGTGGCAAGGCTGTCTCGTCACGTAGTGCACCGCCCCATGTGTTTAGCACTTTATTCTGGGGTATGGCGGATTGGCCAAACCGTTGGTGAGTCATTGTTATTTCCTTGTGTAGTCTCTTGTTTAATACATAGTTCCATTGGTTCATGATTTCTTTCTCGGAGTGTTCCCAGTCTGTGTCTTCCCCATGTCTGATTACTCATTTGCAGCGTAATTTCCAGATGAGGAAGGCTGCTTCCAGGATCAAGATGTGCCATAACCTTGTGGCTCCGTGTCTGGGAGTTGTAGAGTTGGGGTTTGTCCAGGTCTTCAGTCCTGCTCCCAGGACATCCAGGAGTGTTAGTTCCTCAGGCCAGGGTAAGTCTTTCCTTTTCCAAAAGTTCTTGGTTGTGCTCCATACAATGTTTTGGCCTATCGCTCCACAATTGGAGAGGATGTGGTCTATTGATTCCATTGTTTTGCAGTGAGGGCATTTGGATCGGTCTTCGTATCCTGGTATCTTTGCCCAGAGTTTTCCGCAGCACAGGGCACCATGCATCAGTTTCCACATGAAGTCAGACACTGTGTGTCTTATGTATAATGTCGGTATGCCGGATCAACAGCCATATCTGTGGGTGAGGGTGTTTCCAGTCAGTTCTCTTTGATGTGTTTGATCATGCTGGAGATTACTTACTGTCTCTGTCAAGCATTGCTGGTTTAGTTTGTGAGATGCTCAGATTCCTCAGTACACTATTCATTGTGTTAGGCACACCAGTCTGACCCCCATGAGCGAGAAGAGGGGGTCTGGAATGAATTTGATTTTGTGTACTGCGTGCTGGGGTCTTGGATCTTCCAGCTGAGCTTCTCTGGCTTTATTTATGTTTTCCCAGTCAGTTTTGCGGGATGCTGTTATGATCCCTGAGGTACGAATGAATCAGTCTTATGACTGGAGAGAATGTAACACTTAGCATGGAGCTCAATGTGGCAGGTTTTTACCACAGTGCATGTGACTGTTTGAGTGCCAGATAAGCAGAGATAAGGAACACTTACTATGCCATCATTAGCTGAGTTTCAAATTTCAGACACCCAGACAACATGACTTGCATCAACACACCCAAACAAATGCTGTGGCTGACAATTCCCTATGGATTGGGGGCTCCGGTAACATCTAGCATCAAAAGTGGTGAACATGGCATGTGACCTGACCAGTGGCACTGGGCTCAATTATAATCAATCACTTTTTGCAACAGTAAGCACCCACAAATAGATATGACAAGTATATAGTCAACTTGTAGCCCTTGTTTCATAGAGTCTACAGTAATTTTGTTGTGCCCCAATAGTGGCTAGTTAGGCCAGAAAATACAAAATACAAAAGAAAACACAAGTGACTTTGCAGAATTTAAACTGCTCATTTTTTACCCTAGATATGGAGTACATGACCCATACATGTGTGTCAGACATCATGAAAATGCTTTATGGTGCCACAACAGAGTAAGAAGAGCTAATTTGATGCTTGGACATGGTATTATAGCTTACCTTCCATATATGGCAACATGTTGTAAAAATCACAGGCCTCATCAACATGCCATAGTACTCTAGGAATATCTTCTCATTTATCTGCAATTTATGAAGCACTAGATATCCACTTCATTGAGAATTACTGGATTTGGAAGGTTATTCACCATTTAGGGCAATGTGAGCTTTTGTGATACTTCCTGTGCAAAAGCCCTCCCACAACTTGCCTGGAATGTGTATTTTCCTGGATAACATCAGTTACAGATCACTGAGTATGTACACATATCTCTGTTGCACCAAAAAAGGCACAATGGCCACTGTGTCTAGGAAACACCACTGCGAGTGCTGCGACCCGCACATCATGGATCATGTGACTGCAAAAAAGTGGTAAAAAATGCGCGGAATATTCATTCTGAGGACAAAACCTACTGTTTTGGGCCCAGAAAAATTTTATAAATTCCCAATAAAATGCAGGAACCTCAGTACAGCTATCCTAGTGGATTTCAAAGTCAGTTGGCACCAACATCATTCCAATTGAGGGTGCCACAAGGGTGCCAGTCAGCTTTCAAGATACAAAAGTAACAGTACTGCATTGGGTGTTACCTATAGCCACTCTATGATACCTTGGAGTGATTTGCTTAAAATTGAGAGCATAGGTTGACCACAAGGATGGTAGCCAGGAAGTTGGAGGGGCTGACTATGTGCAGTGGGGCATCAAGTGGTACCATTTTTATGGTGAGGATGGCTGTGGTGAGTTCTCCAGTGTGGTTCTGTGGTGTGTTGTGTTTTGGAGGGGCTGTGGCGACTAGCGTTTGTGGTTTGGGTCCGAGGATGTAGACACTACCACATGGGGGGGAGTCTTGCTCACGGTGCGAGCTGTTGCCTTTGAGGTCGTAGATGTCCGCAACATATGCGGTTGTGGATTTGTCATGCACTACGCCGCCGGTACGTGCTTGTATAGCAGGTGGTCTGTCGTGAGCGGCCGGGTTGACAAAGGCTCTAAAGGCTTCTGATATTTCTCCTCTTTTGGTGACCGAGGGGTTGAAGCACACCATCTTTTCTGCTCCATGTGCTTTGATGTTGTCTAGGTGTCTGTGTTCTCTTGACGTGTTCCACCTGCTCTGAGCTGCCCCCACCTGCCACATTGGTTCTGTCAGCATCTTTTCACTGTGTTTTGTTGCTTGAGACACCATCTTAGCTCACTAACGCGCTATGACCATAAGCCTTAGTGCACTAATGCCACTCCCACATCTCATTAACGCACTGATTGTAAGCCACACATGTTAGTGTGTTAGCACATTGGCTGTCAGGCTGTCTTGTAAGTGGAACAGTGCCACCCTAGCTTGCTATCTCACACTAAGTCCCTTCATTACCTTTGTTCCTTCTGATGATTGCTTGTGTCGACTGCTAGTGGCCTCATATACACATTCCAAGTTGGCAGCCATGGAGAAGTTACCACTTCCGGTGTGAGTTTCCCAGAGGTAAGCAGAGGGACTTGCTTGATCGCCGTATGGACAACAGAAGCAAATCCTGGGTCAGAGGTGGGCATTTGAGCGGCTATATGCGGATGGATATCAGTGTTGGAGGTATCTGAAGAGGAAGCTTCCAAGATCTGGGGTGTACCTGACCAGCTGGATGTTGGCGAGGGTGTAAGTGGCGAGAGGGGTGACAAGCGCTCAAGAGACTGAGAATGTGAGTCAGGCGGAGAGGGTGTCAAGCGGGGATTTGGTTGTAGATTGGTTGTCACCCGAGAGGCAGCAGCAGAGATGGAGCGAGTGACAACCACAGTGGGCAAAGAGGACAAAGGTGAGGAGGTGACGGTCAATGGTCAAGATCTGGCAGCTGCTCTAGCGCACGTGGGGTGACAAACGAAGGTTCCAGTGAACTGCTCTAGTGTGCACGGAGCTTCCAGGGATCCTACAACCACTCTGGCTGATGAGGGTAGCCAAAGAGAGAGAAAGGTACAGTGTCCCTGCGACTCGCACGCAAGGAAGGTAGACACAAGGTTCAATGTTCACAAAAAAGGTGTAAGCCTGGCGTACCACACACCGGGAATCACTCAAAGCGAGAACAGAAACCTGTTGTCTTCATGGCGCAACAGTAGAACTCTGTAAGTAGATGAGACTATCAAATATAGTGAATGCTTACCTTTGTTGCACAACAGTAGAACTGAAGAGCAACAAAGGACAAAACTGAACATATGAGGGGAGGGTTGGCTTAGGTAATGTGAAGTACATGAAGTGTCTGGAACTGGGCGAGAGCATGGTTACATACTCTCTGACTTCCGTCAGCTACCTGACAGCCTTGAGTCTATGGGTTGAGCACCAATTCACAACATCATGGTTGACCAGTGTCGCACACACAGCACCCTCGTTGGGTTGCTCAGAAGCCTACTTGAATGTGTCAATACTGACCGCAGCTTTGACACCAGTCTGTCTGTTCATAGGGGTAGGGGTGGTGGTCATGGATGTGGGAGCCAGGGACATAGGCACAAAGGATGTAGCAGCCACCACTAGTTAGCTCAACATAGTCTTGTACTAGCCTAGCCATCCTACCAATGTAGTGACATCTCTAACATGCGTGACTTCACTCCTAAGGCCTCGAACACGGACACTTGAGCTTTGAACATCGCACACTTGCTTCAAACAGATGAGCAGCACATTGAACGTGCTGACTTTAACGGGTTGATGTATTGACCGTGCATTGACCGTGAATCATGTTTTCGGAGTGTAGGTGAGCTAGGGGCTCATCAACGTACCCACAGAACCTGAGCCCATGTCTGCCAGTGGTTTCAATGGTGAGTTCAGCTCTGTCCCTACCACCACAATTATGATGTTGATCAACTGTCAACTTTGACACATGAAGCTGAATGTTGTGGACAGCCTGCAGTTCATGAGGAGTCTGCAGTTCATGACTGGGATCAACCTTTGGGCCATGAGGAGCTGGGAGTTCATGAAGAGCTGGCAAACTTTTGCAAGCAGGCTGTGGTTTGTGAGCTGCAAGCAGGCTGTGGTTTGTGAGCTGTTAAACCTTGAAAAAATGTTCATCCTGATGCTTTATGAGATTTGCAGGAGCCAGAAAGAGCCAAAGAGGCACCTCACCCTGGGAGTCTAGAGGATGTGCATGCCAGCAGAGGTGGAAGATGTGAATGAACTGGCCAAACCCCATCACACACCTTCTGACACTGGAGAAGATGTCGAAGTGTTCAAGCTCCCAGATGCAGTGCATCTGAAAGAGCCTACTGAGTGGGAAATCATGTTTCAAACGGTCCACCCGGAGTGCATTTGGGCTCAGCCGGAGCACTCCGGGTCTACCATTCCAAGTGACCGCTGCTAGCGATGAACCGGCTGGAGGGAGGGTGGTGGTTAGGAATGGTCTGGCCAGAGTTTTGAGTAACGTTCTGGCCGGACCTCTGGCCAATGTCCCAGCTGGAGGCCTCGAAAAATATGGGTTTCATATGGTCTGGCCGGACAGATACCCAATGTCCCGGCCGGAGCTCTGGTCAACGGTCCAGCTGGAGGCCTCGAAAAATTTAGGCTTCCTACGCCGTAGTCCAGCCGGACAGATACCCAATGTTCCGGCCAGATCTTTGATCAATGTTCCAGCTGGAGGCCTTGAGAATTTGGGCTCTCAACGGTCCAGCCGGAGCACTCAGCAATGATCCGGCTGGAGGTCTCCAAAAATTTGGGTTCTCAATGTTCTGGCCAGGACCGGGGTTTGTTTCTAACCTTCCCGCTGGACCCCAGATGAAATGAGATGGTCCGGCTGGGCAAAATTCCAGCTTCCAAACATCCACCCGGAAGCCTTGCAGAATCTGGGCTGTAAGCGGTCCAGCCGGGCTGGTTTGTAATCATCAAGCCAGCCGGACCCCAGATGAACAGACCAGCCAGGCTTCTCCCAAACCAGCCAGACCCCTCAGAATTGATACACCAGCAATATAAGAACAAGAATTGTTAACCACCACCAAGCTCAGCAGGAAAATGACCAAGGTTGTAACAATCATTCAGCTTCAAAGAATAAGACTATCCCTGTTGGGGATGTAGTCTGTGCATTGAAATAGCACATTCTAGATGGTCAAACATTGTGGGAAAAGAAAACTGGCTTCAGGAGTTGAATAGTATGTTCTCAGAGAAGCCTGTGAGCATATTTTGTTTTGTATTCTCTGACCTAACTAGGCATCTCTGTACACTAGGGAACATATACTGTACTCTGTGAATGAAGGGCTACCAGATGATACCAAATTTCCTTATACTTCCCTAAACCCAAGCCAAGTGATGTCTCGCCAGCCTAGATGAGAAGAAGGGTTGTGGCAAGGTGCAGTTACCAGCTTGAGATCTCAAAGGCATGACCCCCAAGCCACATGCCTTGAGGAAACATTCACATACAGCGAGAGTTATGGCAAGCTGAGTTAGCTGGTGGGTTGAACTAGGCTTGTTCATCTAAATGTGTATATGAATTGCCTGGGATGCTGTCACACAGTGACAAAGCAACACAGATACTACTCCCACTCTGCACGTCAACCTATGCTTGTCATCGGTAAACATTGATCTGTGACACAGAGGGGCTTGCCACAAAGGAAGGACCATGCTACTCACATGAGGCCAGCATATGTCATAGCTTGGTGGAGTTGGTTACTATGTGCTGAGACGGGTGTCTATGATGGATGTTGCAGAGCCTGTGATTAGGTTCAATGAGCAGTGCATGGAAACTGAAGTTCTCTTCCCCAGAGAACAGCATACAGCACGGATTATAATGATTTTATTGGTATTTCACAGGCAGTGAGCAGTATCACACTCTATGCAGCAGCAAGTGGAAATAACGTTGTGGGGAAGCCCCACAGAGCAGGCCCAGAGCGAACAAATATCGGATATGGGATGACAGGAGAAGAACAGGCAACATTGTGTACGGATGGGACATCAAAGGGCGAGCTACCGAGGCAACAGTGTTAGGGACAGATAACCCATTATCTGGCCTCTAGATTATATTATGAACTGATTGATAGTGTACATCTCATCTTATCTCCATGTACCTAGCGATCTGACTTCCATTTCGGGAAGTAATCTACTCTTAAACCTGAACTACCACCTCATCCGCATGTGAATTTGCACTGTCCAAGTAAGTTCTCTGAGTCCTCGGCTAGGCTTGTCGCCCCGCCTAGGAACCATCCTCGGCTTAGGCTCGTCACCTTCGCTCAGGACTCCCCCTCGACCGGGCCCAACAGCCCAGTCTAGGACTCACCACTTGGCCCAGCTCATCGCTGGCAACCAAGGACCTCCTTGTGTGTGCTCCCTTATAGCACGGCTCGTTGCCCTGCTAACAACACTAGCAGGCGCTCCTCGCCCTGCTCACGACCTCAAGACACCCTTTCCCCCTCTGGTCGTGTCGCGACCACCAACTGTAGGTTCACGAGGCAGCCGGGCGGCCCCTGAATCTAGGGTTCCGAGCCCACTTGCCCTAACAAACAGAATTGGTACACAACACAATAGGGCAACCAGAGGCAGCCGTGGACGGCACCGGAGGGTACATGAATGAACTACTCCTCACGCACACTCTCGCCCTCATCCATCAAATCCGTCTCAGTCTCGGTTTGACACCCCCATCCTCAAAGTTGTCGCTAGTACGTGCCAGAGGGAACTGAAGGCGGCGCGTAATACCAGAATAGTCAGTGTCCGGAACGTACACGCCATGAGAAAGACAATTGTGCATGCTGGCAACACTGGACACCAGGCCGGAGAGAATACGGCGGGTGCATTGAGCCTCGGACTGGAAGGACTGGAAGGAGGCGGACACATCGCGCTGCATGCTAGTGTAATGCTGGAGCTGGGAAATGAGCACATTGAGGCTGTCGGAGGAAGCCCGGAGGGAAGAGAGCTGCATGGGCCTCTCGAGGTACCAGACTGGAAGCAACAGACAGCCCACGTCGACATCGGACTGTTCAACAGCAACACAGTTGGCAGACCAAGCAATAGTAGGGTACGGCTCGCCAACAAGGCTATGCTCGGACACAATGGTTGAGAACACCTGGTCAAGATAGTCAATCAGAGCCTGGACGTCTGAGAACCGGCGGATGAGGGGGAGGGACACGTCGCCATGCGCAGTAGCTCGCGCCCAGGAGTCGAAGAGCATGCGCTATGCACCGGAAGGAGAATATATGAGATGAATATCACCCATGATGATCCAGCGGGCGCCGTGGGCCCAGGCCAACCATTCGGTAGGACTGTCAGCAACAAGACATGGCTCGACGACTTGTTCATCCCGGAGGAGAGCGAGAAGACGGCAGAAGCAGGTGGAGTAGATGATGGCGGAGGGATTGGCTGGGGCATCGGAGGGCATGGCACTGGACGGGGAACGGTAAAGGAAGGACTGGAGGAGGCTTAAGAGGGAGCAGAGGGAACGGGAGAGCATGGGGAGAGGTGCCAGCAAGGCAGGGGCGTGGGAGAGTGAGCCGGAGGGAACATAAGGGAGCGAGCTGGGCACTGGATGGGGGAGTGACTACCTACCTACCACCTAGGAGTAGACTGCGAAGCTCAATTGCATCTCTGTGTTTTCTCTGTGTTCTCACTGTGTTTTACCTGTGTCTTACTGTGTTCACTGTGTTCACCTTCAACGAGCCCCATGTTTCACTCTGAGTTTCCTGAGTTTCACTGTGTTCACTCCAAGTTCCCCATGTTGCACGACGAGCCCACTGCCCCTCCATCTGTTCTGCAGTGTCCCTGTGAGTATCCACGCTCGTATGTCCCCTCTGGAGCTGTATCAACACATCCCCTTCCCCTCTGCTTGCCAACAGCCCCTGCCCATTGTTTCTACCGACACCCTCAATCCCTCCCGGTCTCATTCCGGGAGACTCGCAACCTACACAACAGTT